GGCTCGCCTACGGTAATATTCGCTAGCGTACGACTAAGTAATATCCCGATATCCGCTTAGACCTTAAAGTTCGTTAAATAGGTTAAAACGGTAGCTATATAAAACCCGGAGTACTAAGCCTAGCTAGCTAAATTATTCGGTAAGAAAATAAAGTTCTAAGAGGGCCTTCTCTACCGACGAAACCGCCTCTAGGTACTAAAGGACCTATAATAGGAAGTAGCTAAATCGAAATACGATATTAAAGTAACGGAATATATAGGTATAAATAAAACCATAGAACTTATTACTCGAAACTTTTAATAACTTAACCTAAAAGTAATAATTAGGGAATTCGTTAGGGGATATCGCGAGTACTAATAAAATAAGGTATCCCGATATACCCCGTTCGGATTACTATAACTTATAAAACTATACTATCGATTATAATAAATAATCGCGATAGACTTTATTACGGATTTATTAATATCTAACGGCTACGATTTTATATAAGTTATTATAGATCCCTTTACTAAGATAGCGTACTTTATTCCGCTAAAGAAGGACGGTAAAAAAGCCGAGGACTTAATACCTATCTTTATCCGTAACTATTAGCGGTTATATGGAATTCCCTTAGATATTATCTCCGACCGAGACTTACGGTTTACCTCTTATATATGGAAGGATATTCTAAAGCTCCTAAGAGTTAAGCCTAGAATAAGTACCGCCTTTTATCCTTAAATAAATAGGTAAACGAAAAAACTTAACTAAATCCTAAAAGTATATCTACGCGTCTTCGTAAATTACGAAATAAACGACTAGGAAAGCCTATTTCCTATTACCGAATTTACCTATAATAATACTACTTTAATAGCTATTAATATATTATCCTTTTACGCTAACTACGGATAATACCTAGTAACATATAATCCCCTACTAGGTATCCTTAAGAATCTAGGAAGTAACCTTTATATTTATTAAATAATTAAGGTATATAACGAAGCTAAGTAATATTTAGAAAAAGCACGGTAGCGGATAAAAGGATAAATAAATAAATACCGAAAAGAGGAACTCCTTTTAAAAGTCGGATAGCTAGTTATATTAAACGCCCGTAACATTAAAACCAAACGCCCTATAAAGAAAATAAATAAGAAGATACTCGGTTCTTTTAAAATCTAAAAGGTCGTCTCCCCTACCGCCGTAACTTTAATACTCCCGAAAGGCTAGCGTATTTATAGTACCTTTTACGTATTCCTTATCGAACCTTACCGCGCTAGTAATTAGGAATTACTTAACCTTAACTAAGTCTTACGAGAGGTAGCCCCGATTAAGGTAGAAGACTACGAGGTAAATAAGGTACTAAATTCCGCTAGAACCGGAGAAGTTATTAAATATTTAATAAAGTAATAAGAATAGCCGGCTAAGCGCTACTAAACCTAGGAGCCGTAGGAATACTTTACTACCGAAGGAATAAGAGGAGCTATTAAGTTATTCTATTAATAAAACCCTAATAAGCCCGCTAACTAACGAGCCTAGGTACCTAATTAACGCTTAAAAACGAGCTTCTTCGATAAAGAGGAATAATATTATACGGAAATAGAACCCTATATTAATAATTAAGCTATAAAGGTTAAGAGGATAATATCGGGCATTAAAGCCGTTACCTCGGCGACCTACTAAGGAAAGTCCTAAATAAGCTTCGGATAGCTTCGGTAGTAAGGTATAAAGGTATTAAGGTATAAAGGTACCTTCGAGATATATTAAGCTAAGAAGGGAACGACGGACTTAGAAAAAAAAAAGACAAGGACCTAAGAGACCCCCTATAGAATTATTAGTTAAATTAAACCTATTCCAAGCATATCCCCTTATTACATCAACCCAATAGTATGTGAGACCTGCCTATAGATGAGGCTAGGATATCTCCAACAGCAGCGTTATCTGCACCATTCTCCTCCAGGAAAGTCTTACTGTAGGAATACGAAGGAGAAGCTCTCTGCGTGCAAGGAGGACCCTACGAGTGCCAGCACATGTCTCGTGGCGTTGTGAGGTGCAGAGTTATCAGGGTTGCTATCCGATTCTCAAAGTGAAGTCGGGTATGCAGCATCCCGTGTGGCATCGCGGGGCCGAAAGCTGTTGGTCGTGGTGCAAAGTGCCCACATGGAGTTGCTGTAGGCCTCGAAATCTATTACCCCAACGCCAGCCAACGCCGCTCGCGGTCTGCGAGGCGAAGACAGCAGAAGCCAACGACCTAGCCCTCATCGGGTTACCTTGTTCGGCCTGGGGCTTCTGATATCCCGCGGGACGGCAGAGAGATGCATGCCGCGAAAAAGCCATGGCTGGCGTCGATTGGTCTTCCTGAGAGACTTGTATAATGGGCGAGAAGGCGGTGTGATAGAGTGGCCCGCATCCGCATACACATGTATAGGCAGTCTTGGTCTAATATTTCGTGAAAACTAGTGCTTGCTGCAGTTTATATGCGTGGCGAGTCTCCTCTAGGGGTACCCTCCTCACCAACTAACATCCTCACCCCTCCTCCCCCTCCCCCTATACTCACGTAAGTGGACAGAGGTTGCAGGAGATATCTGCCCCCCGAGTTTCTGCACCGGCTCCCAGAAGAAGACCCGCGGGACGGCTAGACTAACGTTGAAGACGTGATGAAATGCACATATATTTAGAACAAGCCACCTGGACACACCCTCATCACCCCCGGCCACGGCCACGGCCACAGTGTGGCATGGTTGGGCGAACCTACTTGCCGGATGCCTACATGGCTTACCCAGATGGATGTGGAAAAGATATGTTCGTCTCCAAGTCGTACGGCATACGGGGCTTTTGGATGTTTTGCATTCCGCGCAATTGTCTTAGTTGCTTTTTCCCTCGGTATTCAGAAAGGGGTCACACACATGGAGGGTAAGCTCGTTTATTTGCGAGTTTCCCAATTCGTCGACGGCGACGTTGGGAACGAGTGTTAATTAATATACCTTGTCTCGAAGTCATGTGTTGGATATGTATTCAATCAGGAGGCGAGGGGACATGCCACATAATACGGTCGAGATATCAGAATATCAGCCGCATACGTAACCTTAAATGAATTACCTACATGATCCCTATCTTACCCATGCGAGGCTACTGTTCGTATTCAGTCGAATCATAAGCTGGCCAATCCTGTGAGTCTCTCTGAGCAGAGTGACATGTTTTTTTCTTAATGTTTCGGCGTTGTCATCGGCGATGGGACTCTCTTGTTCATACGTTGACCTACTGCTTTTGGTAATCTTGAGTAGACAAGCATCAAGTCCGACGGTACTTATTTGAATGAATTAATACGTGTCATCAAGGGAGCAGGCTGCAAGATATTGCTGTAGCATAGTCAATTCTAGTGCTCTCTACTATCTAGGTTGGTCTTCACAATTAGAAACTAGGGCCACCTTGAGATTGGTATAATATAACCAAACTCCGTGGTAGTTAATTAGATATCGAGTTGGATGCGCTATTACGTCTCTCCTTTTCTACTTACTTTTAGCCAGAGTAATACATAACGCGGCGAATGAAGATCTGGCTTTTACGGATGTGTAAGTATATCTAGACTTCCTCACCGTAGAACTCGAGCCAGGAAGTGCGCCAATCATAATAAGGACGAGTATAATAGGACTCGTGGCTGGGGAATACTGATTGGCGGACAGAATCAATGCCCGTCCGAAAACGAAACGCATTCGTTTCAGGCCTATCCCAGCACTCCGGCGGTGTCAGGATGTCCAGACGGCCAGAGTTTCCGAAATTCTCATTCACCTCCTATTCGCTCGAGAATTCACATGATTGCGCAGGTTTCTGCATGCGTAGTAAGGAATACCGTGTGTATGTTGGAGGCGAGATCAGCGATGATGCGGCCGATCTCTGCGTCGATCCCATCACCGACATTTCCCATTCCCCGGATTATGCCCACGAAACCCCCTAACCGTGAACGTTTCAACCCCCCCTTCCTCGAGACTTCCAGGATTGGAGTCGAGCCCAAATTCCGCCTCGTCCGATACCGTAGAAGGTGTTTCCCCCGGACCAAGGCAGAATTTAGACGGACGAGGAAACAGACCACCTCGGAACATGACGCGGCCGAACCATCCATGAGGAAGGAATTCACAACGTGGTTTTATGTGTTTCTCAGGAGCCGCCGTGTGGCTCGGAATTCGTCTCTGTGTAGCAATTGTAGCAACATTCCCGTCGTTAGAGAAATTCCTAGATCTAAGCATCTTATGATATGATTCTTCAGAAACATGCTCTTCACGGTCTTTAGATTTGTATTGCTATCCCTGATTCCCGCTCCACACTTCGCTGAATGCTTTACCTACAATGCTACTTACAATGTATATACACACATTTTCCATGTCAATTTATAACTAGGTTAGATCGCAAATAAAGCCATAAATCCCTCATCATTAACTAGCATAGTCTTGTGAAGGAGTTGTACCCAGCACCCCCGGGACTGTACTAGAGAAGAGAGTCTTTGGTTATATCGATTGGCACCGACCCAGCGCCGGCAAGGCGGTAACCAGGTCTTCTCGAAAGGAGAGGGGGCCTCGAAATCGTCCGTGTTATACACGCCGAGGGAAAAGTTTACCAAATGATTCCGCGGCCTAGCTATTCGGCGCCCTCCATCTTTTACCGCTCGCTAATTGCGATGCGCGACGTATCAAACAGGGGGTGCCCGGAGCTGAGGCCGCAGGCGTAGCAGAACCCACGGCAACCCAGCCTCACGGCCCAGCACGAACCCGGCGTCAGGGGGAGGGGTGGTCGCCGCTGGGAAACATTCGAACGGAGAGAGCTAGGCTGACGTATATCGCACCCGTGAGGCATACCGCTCGCTTGGGTATTTAAGTCTGGCGCGGCCGCTCATGGCTAGTGTCATGATCACCAGCAAGAACTGCAAACCATCAAGCACCAACGAGATATCCAAACAACTGCCAACTCCACGCCATCAGCCACCTCATCGTCCCCCTCAAAGTCTCAAGTCGATACTTTTCTAACCAAGCAAAATGGTTCGCATTACCTCCCTCGCGACTCTCGCCCGTAAGTACCCCCTTTTCTATGCTCACTCCATTCTATCCTATCCCACCCTTGTCACACTAGAATACTCTCGCTCACACACACCCGCTCCCTCGCAGTCTCCACGCTTTCCCTGGCCTTGACCCCGGACCCGGCGGGTGAGAAGAACGTGGGCAACGGGCAGGGGGTCCAGTTCATCGGGGGCCAGTGCCTGAGCTCGGCGGACTGCGCGTCGACGTGCTGCGCCGTGGTGACGGGCGAGAGCTTCGGCGTGTGCTCCGGCCTCGGCGCCCAGTTCCAGGCCGGCAAGGCCGGCTGCGGCTTCGGCGACGCCGCATCCCCCGTCAGCGGCACAGCCGCCCCGTCCGCCTCGTCGAGCGCCGCCCCCAGGAACGGTACGGCGGTTTAAGGGCGTGGTAGGGTGAGGGTATCGTGGATGGAAGGGAGGAAAAGGGGGTAAGGGGAGGAGAGTGAGGGAGCGGGGATCGGAGGGTGCGTGGTTGTAGACTTACGCGTGAGGAGTACTAAGCAAGCTGCCCCCTCTCCCCCCTGAGCGACGGAACAGCTTGCGACCCTGCACGAGAGGGGACGGGGAGGGGAGAGGCGTGGCAAGATCTTTGGCTCCCCTTCTTTGGTTGGACTTGGTTCGCACCACCCCGCGGCGCTAGAGACCGCGTGGGCTCCGGCATCGCATTATTGGCATTAATTGGGACATTCTGTTTTAGATATAGACGCGGTCGGCGTCCGCCAGGCAGGTTACATAACCATTATACATATCTATTTTTCTTCGATGTAGACGCTCCGTTGCGAGCTTCCTGAGGTTGACGTTACCAGGACAGGCGCTTCTGCGTGTAGTCGGCGCAGTCTCCTATTGTGTCCACGGTCCGCCGGGCCAAGGGACAGACTAGAAGGGAGGTGTAGTAAGTAAGAGTTGAAGATTCGGTTGGGTAGTCTCCGTGGGCGCGATGGGCACAACGCTCCGAGATATAATACCGTACTGACATGCGGGTAGGCATGGTTATCTTAGTGCTGCAATAGAGAGGAATAACCGGCATGGGAGAACACTCGTACATGGTGGATGGATAAGGCCCGAGTCTTTGACCCATCATCCTATGACTACCTACTAGCCAGGGGGGTTCCCTGGCAGGGAAAAAAAAACGACTCTGTTAATCGTTACCCTCAACTGCTCCACGCTGGCTTCTAGACCTCTAGCACGTATATTTCATAGCTTATAGCAAGTGCTGCTATAGCGTAATGCAATGAGTCCGGGGATAAGACGGCAAAGATAAACTCTTGATTTGATGAAGGTTATCGTTGCTTAGGCACCATATCATCTCTGTGAGCACATCATTACAAATAGTTTCTCTCCCCTCCTCCCCCCCATCCCGTTCCCCGGTCCCGAAGATATTAGATATATCTCCGCTAGCTCCCTAAGTTCCCTTTCACATAGGACCCTAAGGTGTTACGGGCGATGATACTATATCCCCACGAGGTAGACTACGACATGTCAACGAATGGCGCACCCATAACCCAGGCGAGGGTGAAGAATGACGATCCCTTGACACCGAGAAACCCAAATCAGGCAAGCCTGTCATGCATTATTTCAGGAATACTACGTAGGAAGCCGGGAGACACGGCCTGTGAGACAGCACTGACCCTGAAGTACAGCCGAGATCGCCTGGCGATTGGCAAAGTCTCCAATTTACAGACGGGAGGATGGCAGCTAACACGGAGGGTTGGTTAACAGTGCCATCGAGAAGGCGGTGAACCTATTCGATCACCCCTCGGTCCTCGAAACCTTCTCTCCGAGCGTACATACATATCAATATCACGTTGAGAGATGAGGCTTTTATTAGGTATAGCAATTGTGAAATTTGTACTCAAACATCCAGCGTTATAGACTCGAACTCCGAGTTCGTTGGGACTGCACTTTTTGATAGATATACATGTTCAAGACCTAGGAGCTGCGAATGGCTCCCAGGCGTCCGAAACCCAATGTGTCAATAAGCCTCGCCGCCTTTTCTCCGCCGTATACTAATAGCATCGGTGACGACCCCCGGCCGCGAACCGCCACGGCCTCCCTAGCCCTCCCTCCATCAACACCACTAAATGCATTAGTTTCCTGATTCCACGTCCGAGTCGTCTGACATGCGTAAACCATAACTGGGCTTCCCACCTTTCCTCCCAAGAGTATAGAGACGGCTTAGGCGTCTCGTCCAAATCTAACATCAAACTCCTTTAGCACGCCCATGATACTAGCCGTCTCGACTTCTATAGGTAGTCGCGTAGGCGTATTCGCCAGCTGGGGGATAGCCTTAAGCTTGGGAAGCCATGTCCCGATGTCGTCCGCGGCTCTCTCGAAATTGCGGTGACTAGATAGCGTCTTATAGGCATCTGCGCATGACACACTGAGGCCAAGTGACGGGGTGGAGACGGTCGTTGCTCCGTCAGTGGACTTGCAACAGCCAGATCCCTCGGAACCACCGCAGCATCCACTGCCGGACCCGCTCGCATCATGGGCGAAGGTTGCGGCAAGACTGCGGCAGAAGAGTCCGGACTTGGCATCGTTCAGACACTGAGCACAGGTTCCAGGTCCATTCGGACTGCAACCGGCCGAGGACCGTACCGCCGGGATCGACGTGCGATGCAGCGAATTGATACCAGGAAGCTTGACCGCCCCCGTAGAAGTGAATTCCATAGGGGTGGGGCCGACATCGTTCTCCGAAGGCGGCGGGGTTTGAACTTGGTGAGAAACCGGGGGAAGAGACTGCGCCGCGGCGGTCTCGGCGCACATGCAATAAGTGCCTTCTTTACAGAAGCCACAACCGTCACGCGGCGGCACCGTTGCTTGCGCGACCGGTTGATACAGGACCGGCTCGGCGACAGCCGGCTTCTTCTTCGAGAATACATGGGTGAAGTCTATCTCATTAGGATAGGGGTCAGGCATCTTCTGTCTCTTCTCGTCTGGTTCCAACGCAGGGATCGACGAAGACTTGCGCTTGAGATCGGAATCCGAATTCGGAGAGGGCCCCTTAAGCACAGCTTCGATGCACTCGCACTTGGTGCCGACCGCACACTTGCCGCACCCGACGGGAGCGGCGAGAACCTCGTCGACGCATACGCACGGCCCATTAGCCTCACAGTTGCCGCAACCCGCGGGATCGGCGGGAGACTCGTGAGAGGCGACCGGGGAATCCGACGAATCTGGAGGCGAGATGATCCGGGATATGGAGAAAGCCGTGTTCGAGTTGCGGTGATCGGATGCAGTATTCGAAACACTTCCTCGAGATCCCTGGGGCCCATTGAGCGAACTGGGGCCCCCTCCGTGGTGAAGAGCGAAACTTCCATTCCTCGACGATACCCTCGAGCCCTCTCGATTCCACCTTCGTCGTAGCGCGTCGAGTTCGTTAGCGATCCTGGAGCGTTCGGAGCGCTCCTTCTCAAGAAGGTCCTCGAGGGCGACGCATCTACTTCGCAGTGTCTGTACTTCGCTTTCTAGTCCCTGGACCTGGTCACGTAGCTGCTGTTGCGAACGGTCGTGCTCTTCCTTCTGTTCCTCCAGCTGTTCCTCCAATTCACCGACGCGAGCGGCTCGCCTCTCGCGGAATGCGCGCTGGGCGGCCCTGTTTTGGGCCTTGCGCTTCGTCGGCGGAGTATCGGTAGCAGGCTTTCGACCGGGCTTCGGCCTGGGCGGGATTACCCATTCTTTGCTAGTTATGGAGCCTTTGGCGATGGCGGCGGTCGCCATGGCGGTGTTCTGTAGAAGGGTAGTGGCGGGTTTGATGATAAGCGGATGGGCGGACGTGGGCGTGGATACGTTTGAAACAGGTGAAAGAGCTGAGGCGGGGGAGGATGCGGCGGAAATAGGGGTAATGGCAAGTTTGGCTGGCTGTGGCTTGAGATTTGCTTTCAGATTTGCTGGCGAGACGACGGCGGTGGCGGCAGCGGCAGCGGCAGAAGTAGTTGGGGTCGACATCTTGTTCCGATTCTGGAGCCGTTAAGCGGGAAAGGCATCGAACGACCCTTATTCGCTGTCAGTGGTCGGCGATGCAATGCACCTCGGACATCCAACGTGTTATGAATTGGGATATCCGCGGAACTTGGCTCCGCAAAGATGCAGATGCGAGCGTGGGCAGGTAAGCAGGCGGATGATGAATAGTCCCGATGACCCAGATGGTTGTGCTATGCTGCGCCTCTTTGTCTTTGTTTCTGCGTTTCCCTTTGAATTGCGGGATGTCTTCCTGCCTTCCGATCCGGCGGGAGAGGGAGAGAGAGAGAGACGGAGAGGGAGGGAGGATGAAGAAGATGGGAGGAAGAGCGCAAGAGACAAGAAGCTAGGCAGATAGATTGGTAGGATTCTCCTCCACTCAAGCAAACTTGCAGGTGGCAGGCCGAAGTGACGAAGCCAATAAGAGTGGGAACTGGCCGAAGTGGTCTTCGCAGGCCCAGCCAGGCCGTCCGAATTAGGGCTCTGGCTTTGACGGGAGAAGTCCTTGGGGGCTTGGGGCTTGGATGCTTGGAGAGAGAGAGAGGGGTTGACTAGGTATTTGTCTTGAGTTATGAGAGCGAACCGGTTGGTAGAAATTAGGGACTAGTTAAGCCTGCATTCCGTTCGCCGGCTCGAGACCGACACTGCAGGAGTGAAGATTTCTTGGGGGGGGTTTTCCCGGCTTCGTTCGCCCTTATTGTCCCTCCTGACTCCCCGGCTCTAACGGCGAGGCCGATGCGAACACGGCCTGGCCAACAGAGAAGAAGAGAGAGAGGGGGCGGAGATGGAGAGAGGAGCGCGTAGGTAAGTACGGAGATGTAGGGGTGTGTGGGGAGGGGATGTAGATAATGGAAAAGGTAGAAAGAGGCGAGTGAGGAGGTGGCAGATCGATAGCGAGCGTAACCCAAGACCGGCACAGATGGCGATGGCTCGAGATCACTGATCAGATTGATAAGATTATGCCAGGTCCCCCAACGGTCTCCCAGCTGTAACCCACTCTCGCCCAGACCAGGCACTGAACGGATGTCACATGGAGACCCCCAAGACGACCAAGAGGGGATAGGTGCGGGAAAAAGAGCGAGAAAAAAAAGAATTTAAAAAAATTAGAGCGCCGATCCACCCTTGCGCCCTCGGGCCTGTCGGATTCCGAGCTCGTTCGAGCGGGTCTCCCAACCAGGGTTAGCAGCGTGTTGAGTTGAGTGCGTAGCGTGTTGGGTCTACTCTAGGAGTATCGTCTGTTCAGCGGCCGTCCAAGTTGATCGCAGGTTCGACGGTCTGTATGGCCTTAGATGGTGGTGTGATACGGCTAGCACGTCGGCACGTCTCGCAGGCATGTACGTCTGGTCGAGTACTGGGGCGATGTGTTCGTGGGCACCAGGTACGGGTCCCTTGCTTTCGCGGCCTGCAACCTCTGCCGTGTGTGTGTGGCGGGTGTTGATCCACGGGCAGACAGAGAGATAGGGAGGTGAAGATCTACTAGGTACGTGGGTAGGTAGTAAAGTAAGGGGAGGATGGAAGTCTCCGTAGCCAGCGGAAAGCCGGGAGAGGGGGGAAATCTACCACTGGCTGTGACGCGCCGTTGGTCGGGTGAGTCCGGAGGCCGTTTCTGGTTATTGCGCCCGAACAAGCCCTCGAAGCTAGCTGGGAAAGCCCCCACCTGGTCCACCCGGTATCGGAGCGTCGCCCAACATGGCGCGTTTCCGCGATGGAAGCCCAGCCTCAATGTCGACGAGACCTCTCCGCGCAAGCCACCTGGGTGCACCTGTGGCAGCCCCAACCCCAGGTGGCTGATCTCCCACCTACGATTAGGTACCTACTACCTCCTAGTGTGCGCATCAGGTCCCGTCTAACCCCCTACCTTGGACAACCACGGACTCGATATATCATATAGCCATGTAGGTGCTTCTAAGGCGCATAGGTATATCAGAAATCGAGAATTTCCCTAAAGTTCCAGCGAAAAGGTATATACCTAGCGGGTGCCTACCTCCTATTCCCGCTTTCCCATTGTTCAGAACATCTCGAATGAACCATTCACCCGAGAACCACGTCTCGCCGTTGTAGATACGATCACTAAATGCACCACCCCGCGAAATCCCGAAGACACGATCAGTCTAATCTCGAGATTCCAAATCTTTAAGCACCATTCGACGTGTGCCGGTCGATCTTCTCCGACCGACTCTAGTTCTCTCTCTTCCTCTCCGTCTCGACTTGCCGCAACACCATGGCCAACCACCTCTCGGCCCAATCGCCGGCGAGGCTGCTGAGCGCTAGACCCACAAGCTCCCGTTCTTTCATCCTGCCCTCCTCCTCTTCCTCCTCCGACGCCGAAGGCGACGATGCTCCCCTCCCTTTCCCCACGGCGCTCCCGCGCTCCGACTTCCTGGCGCCTAACTTCGACGCCGCCGAATACCTCTCCTCGCTCGCGAACCGGCACCAGACACTCGAGGACCTGCGCTCCGACCTACGGGAGCGCAGCGCCTCCATCAGCACCGAGCTCCTGGAGCTCGTCAACGCAAACTACACTAGCTTCTTGAGCCTGGGCGACGAGCTCAAGGGCGGCGAGGAAAGGGTCGAAGATGTCCGCGTGGCCTTGCTCGGCTTCCGCCGCGCCGTCGAGGATGTGCGCGGCCGTGTGCGCGAGCGGCGGCATGAGGCCGCCGGTCTCACCAACGATCTAGCCTACGTGCGGAGAGAGATCGAGACCGGCCGGAAGATGCTAGAGCTCGACCAGAGGATTTCCGCGCTCGAGGGCCGGCTAGCTCTCGGAAGCGCGAGGTCCGGCAGCGATGACAGCGAAGACGACGAGGAAGAGACCGAGGCAGGAGACTCGCAAGACGGGACGGAGAGTGGTGCGGCCAAGCTCGCGCAGCTCGCCAACGACTACCTGACGGTGGACGAGCTAGCCAACGACGTTGGGCGGGAGACGCCCTTCGTACGGAAATTGGAGGAGAGGATGATCAGGTGTCGGAACACCATCCTCCTCGATCTCGGCACGGCGCTGAAAGAAGCTAAAAAGGCGGGCGTCACGGGCCAGGCGAGACTACTCAAACTCATGGGCATCTATTCGCTAATGGATGCACCGGCCGAAGTAGTAAAGATTCTCAAGGCAAATTGACGACCCGTACAAATGGAATGATGCGACACTAGAGGGAAAGCGTAACAGGCAACGGAGATACCCAAGCCTCTGGCTTGTACGGAAGACGGCCGAGGCCCTGATTTGATATGATATAGGATTTACGTGTTTATTTGCTCGCACCGGTTTCTTTTCTCGGGAGAAATGACCTTATGATGTACGGGTTGTACAGGTATCTACATGGCCGTGCTCAAGTGCGCAGGCTGGACCTTTTCGTCCGTAGAATTGAAGCCACCGCTAAGGGGGAAACCCGGTCCGTTCGAAGAACTGAGCGCAATTTCGATCATGTCTTTCTTGACCTTTTCCTCCAGCCTCACCATATTGCTCTTCACCGATGCGACCAACGCTCGGATGTTCTCGGAAAGCTGCCTGGGCGTAAACTGGATGTTGCCGATAGGCATGCGGATCGAGCCGATCCTCTCCCTGTAGTTTTCGGCGCCCGCCATCTCCTGCATGAGCGTCTTCACGCTGCGGGTGATGGTATTGGTTTTCAAGCTGGGCATGAGACCTTTGGGACCGAGTATTCGGCCGAGTCCGGCCTTCTTGAGCGCAGGCTCGGAATCGGCGTGGCAGATGAGGCGGTTGAACGGAAGGTCGTTCGGATTGTCCTTGATCAGTTGAAATAGAGTCTCTTCGCCGAACGCGACAGCTCCGCCTGCACGGGCGTCCTGCATGGCACCACTGCCTTCTTTGCAGATGACGGCGATGCGCGTGTCGCTCTTGACGGGATACGGCAGTTGTATACGGCTTCGGAGGACGGGGCTGTTCTTGGGTGTCCTGACTCTCATCGCGATCTCGTAGGTGGCCGATGCTGGGGGGCGGCCAACTTCAGCTGCTCGTAGGTATCTGCGCTGATCGCATTAGCTACGAACCGGAGATGAAGAACCCTACAGGGAGCTCGGGTTTGTCATCGCGAAGAGGCCCTACGCACCGCATCGCATCGCATAGCGTGAATCGCTCCTCGTGGCTGGCGACGGCATATTTATATTCTTTGAAGCGCGACTGCTTCCGCTTCAACTTAGCCTTTAACTTCTCTTTTTGACGCGCGCGCATTGCCATCGTGCCAGCACTGGGGCCGCCCTTCCATCTCGTCTGGATGATAGCCGGGGCAAGGAAGAGGGGGACTGTCGCGTATACGGGCCTGGAGGCGGTTCCGAGGCCTATCCTCGATAGCGAGGCGATGCACTGATTAATCGCAGCCATTGGGACTCCTCGCGGGTGTGTGCAGAAATATCCGCCGCTGCTACGGGCACCAGGTGCTTACTTTTTGGAAGCTCGGGATCTCATCAAGACAATTCGGAGGGGAATTCTTAGCTGGACCCTTTTTTTTCTTGAGCCTCAAATGACGACGGCGCCTCACGCGTCGCCCACACCAGCCACATCGTTGCTTATCTCGCGCTGGCTATGATCATTACCTACCACCTGCCTATCGATAACACCGTCCCGCTGTAGTGGGGTGACCCCGCCACAATAAAGATGAGCCAAACCGGCAAAGTTGTCTGCTCCGATTGACTCGGCTCAGCCGAGAGACGCTGATATTATAGGTACTGCCTACCAGCCTGACGAGCAAAGCCATTGGGTGTCGACGCAAGAGCACACATTCACTGTCGACAACCCCTTCACATCTAGGTACATTTTCGGGGAGGGTCATTCAAACCCGTTCACGATGAAGGCTGACGAGCTCGTCGCCGCCTCGACCTCCCTCGACGGAGACTTCAAGTCCATCGAGCCCCATCTCCTCCAACTCGGGAAGCACTTGACGCTAAGAACGTACCTTTCCGGATACTCTCTGAGCGACCTCGACGCCAAGGCATGGGACGCCATCAAGAGTAACCGCGTCGCCGTTTCTTTCGTGCGCAAAGGATTCTACGTAAACCTCTATCGCTAGTTCACCTACATTGAACAGGTTCACACCGAGATCCAAGTCGAAGCCAAAGCTGCCGACTCGGCGCGAAAGACTAAACCCCAAGCCGCTAGTCGAGCTGGTGCGAGTTACAATCTCGCTCTACGGGCCGAAAAGGGCGTCGTTACCCGGTTCTTGCCCGAGCCTTCGTGAGTAGACGAACCCATCCGCTCTTCGGGCGGCTCTAAGCTACAGAAAGCGAATGTTGCTAACTCACGTGCAGAGGCTATCTTCACATCGGACACGCCAAAGCAGCGCTGCTGCTCAGCGACTGCTTTGCGCACCAAGCCTACAATGGCCAGCTCCGCCTGAGGCTTGAACCAACCCGAGCAAGGAGAAGGAGGAATACCAGGATGCCATCATCGAGGATCTCGCTCTCATGGGCGTCAAGCCCGATACCGTTACCTATACCTCAGATTACTTCGATCACCTCTATGAAACTTGCCTAACCCTGATCAAGCGCGGGAACGCCTACGCTGATGACACCGACGTGGAAACGATGCGCGACGAGAGGGGAAAGGGTATCGCATCCAAGAGGCGAGGCCGGACGGTGGAGAACCTGGCCATCTTCGAAGACATGAAGAACGGCACAGAGGAAGGGTTGAAGAATTGAATTCGTGCCAAGATTTCTCTCAACAACCCGAACAAAGCCATGCGCGACCCCGTCATCTATCGGTGCAATACGAACGGCCCTCGCCACCGGACTGGCACCAAGTGGAAGATCTACCCCACTTACGATCTTGCGTGCCCCGTTATTGACAGCCTGGAGGGAGTCACCCACGCTCTGAGGTCAACCGAGTACACAGATCGCAACCCCCAGTTCCAATGGCTTCTCGACACGCCGAAGCTCCGTCAAGTGCACATGTGGGACTTCGCCCGCATGAACTTCATTCGGACCTTTTTATGCAAGCGAAAGCTGGCCAAGCTCGTCGACAACGGCAAAGTCTGGGGTTGGGACGACCCGCGGATGCCCACCATCCGCGGTGTCCGGCGACGAGGGATGACCATTGCTGCGCTGCGTGATTTTATTCTCAAGCAAGGCCCCTCGAGGAACGTCGTGTCCATGGACTGGTCTAGTTTTGGGGCCGCAGACAAAAAGGAAATCGACCCTGTTGCGCCACGACACACCGCCATTCTCAAGAAAGACCACGTCAAGGTGTCCGTCACGGGAGACGAGGCACCTGCGGAGCCACGTTCCGAAGAAAAACCCCTGCACACCAAGAACCCTTCCGTTGGAACGAAGAAGGCGGCATACAGCAAGGAATTAATACTGGACCAAGCGGATGCGAAGTTGTTCAAGGACGGTGAGGAGATTATTCTGATGCAATGGGGCAACGCGATCGCGAAGACCACGACTGGCGGTGACCCGATTACCAGCCTGACCTGCGACCTGAGCCTCAAAGGAGATGTTCGCACAACCGAAAAGAAGGTCACCTGGCTCTCAGCGCAAGGACAGAAGCTGATCGACGCGGAGCTCTCGGATTTCGACTACCTGATCACCAAAAATAAGCTTGAGGAGGACGACGACTTGGAGCGGTTCCTTAACCCGGTCACTGCTACCATGGAGGAAGCCTACTGCGACGAAGGCGTGGCCAAGCTTAAGAAGGACGATATCATCCAGTTAGAGCGCAGGGGATACTACCGCGTAGACAAGGGCTACGAGGAGGGTGACGAGAAGAATGTTGTCCTATTCTACATCCCCACGGGTAAGAGCAAGTAGGTAGGTAGTAGATAGACGACGCACCGTGATGTTGGAGAAGAGGAGCCACCAATACAAAGAATCACCGGCAATTGACCCGGACCAAGTCACGACCCGCGACGCGTCTCGCCTCACCTTGTGTTCGTTTTCGGGCCTCTACGATGTTCTACGATGTTGGGTGTTGGGTGTCTCCGTGTCGCGCATAAGCCCGAACAACAATCACACAGTCGCCGCCGTCGTCATCATCGTCATCATCTGAAGACACCCGAAGCACCTCAAACTTGGAGATCTACGGGGAGTGCCGCCTAACGGGCAGGTAGGCTAACCCCGGGTTATGATATCGCTCGTACATAGGTAGCGCGGTTTCACGCGTAGGCAACCGGATGGTAGGTAGCTAGCGGCGCCAGTCATATCAGTTACGTAGCCGTCGAGAGAACCACAGGGAACTCCTGCGTAGTATTCCGCGTCGAATCGTGCCACGCCTTACCACATCTGATATTAAGCGTCGTAGTATTAAGGAACCCCTAAGCCTTGCCCGCGTCTACGATAACACGGCAGCTAAGATTACTCATACCCAACAACAATGCATTGGCTGGCACGTATTACAGCTCGAGCAGGAGCTGGAGCTGAATCCGTGCCCGCAGGAGGGAGGGAGGGAGGGGGGAAGTAGAGAGAGATAGGACGTAATAGCCAAGCATGAATTTTAGTTGTCGGATTGTTGGCTAGGGCGAGGAGGGGAGGAAGAGGAGGAAGAGGAGAAGGGGGACGCGCGGAGGGGGCGCGGAGGGTTCGGTTCGCCATTGACGTTGACACGTAGATAGGAACGATAGGCTCCTTCTCCTCCTCCTCCTTCTGCCTTCCTGCTGAAAATGTCTCACTCCGAGATGCCGGTCGGGCTTCATCTAGCCCACCTACCTTGCCTACCTACCTACCTACCTACCCGCCTGACATTACGTATGTCCGATTTGGGCGGTAGGAGAAAGGGGGGGCCGGAAGGGGGCGGGAGGGGCGGAAAGAAGGCATGAAGGGAGGGGGAGAAAGCTATGGTTATTGGTGTAAGTGCGTCTGCGGGTTGTAACTGGAGAGCAAGCAGAGAGGCCGGAGGCCTGACTTGAAGGCATTCCCGTGCGGCGTTGGAGCGGCGCCTATGTAAGTGCGGAGGGGATATATTGGTCGAAGGAAGGGTCGGCAGAGGGGCCCAAGTCAGCTTGCCTTCGGGCTCGAGCGGGACGTGGGAGGTTGGGTCGAGGTCGGAAGCTATAGGGCAATGCTGCTCAGACAGCTTGGACGAAAAGGGAGCTCGGTCGAAGGAGGCGGCCGAGCTACTGGCCAAACGCTGCCCAATAGTTGCCACAGCAGTCTTTTTTTGAACCGAGCCTGCGGTGATATTCCTGGGGGACACGTATGCGTCTGGAAGGGAGTAGCTCTCGGAAACGAATCGATGGATTGGAACGAATGTGAACGAACCGAGCTGCTGGTTCCCTTCGATTCTTCCATTTTCTTCCAGAATGCTAGGATGGTGACGAGACTCGGTGGTAACGTAACTAGGTAAAGTAGCAGTTCGGGGAGATAGGCTAAAATGAGTCGGCTTGTCTCGATCGCCCGTAGGTGAATTTCCGGAGGTTGAGTTATACTCCTCTGCCATGTATCTTGGCAGATAATTTGTTCCTGATCGGTGTTGTGTGTTGTTGATATTCGCTGACAGGTACCTGGCTGACAAAGCCCGGTCCGGCCTCGGCCTTTGCCCTTTTGGGACGCTGGGCACGTGATAGTACCTACCCATGCAGCACAAAGAAAATTGGTGCTCGGTATTTCGTATCCTTCTCACTATCACCGATTTCGATCTCTCCCAGCGCCCTGCGCTCCACCCTTCGCACGCCATGTGGCATAGAGCGGTGGGTGATTTGCTATGCTCTTTTGACTTACTCCGGAGGCCAACTCTCCCAGGCCGCGGCCGCCCCGTGAGCTCGATGGCTCGGCCAGGAAAGCAGTCGTGTCTCGAGTCAACGCCCATTGAGTCAGTGTCTCGCACGTACATCATTCTATTGGCATTCGTACCGCCGCTCGTTTAATGAGCGCGACGGTCTCTGACCGAGCGACACCTTCGCATAGCCCAGAGATCGAGTTCCCCTTAGCATAGGCCTCAGCCAAGAAGGAGGCGTCGCAAACCTTGGCGGGAAACTCGTGTAGCGCCGTGCTGTTAGTCTCCCGGAGGGAAAGCTCGTTAGGAGCGGCGACTACGTGCCCTACCGATGTATGTTTCACGACAACACCTGGCCCGCCGCGAGGAAGTTCACGTCCGTAGGCGCCACCGAGGAGAGCGCTAGCAGCCATAACCTCAGGACTGTCGAGATACACTTAAGCATCCGAGAGCTCGTGCGCCTCTTTTAGTTCCGATTCGAAGCGGAGATTCCAACCTCGCCGACTTCTAAAAGACTAGGCCCTGATTCGATATAAGATCCATAGGAGGCCGGGGGTGGGATGCTGCGAGCTACTCTCCTTCGGCGATCTCGTGCTTATAAGCTGAAGCCACCACGATATGCAGCTTGGCGCCCTCTGCAGTTTTAGGGATCTTGCTACTATTAGCCTGTGCCGCATCCTGAAAGGCCGTCGGTTAACTCGAGTGTGATCTCGGGCGTAAGCGTATATAAGGTCTTAGTGAATTACTTCGGTATGGATTTAGAGTCGATGATTAAACCTAATGAAGTCTTGGTATCCTATTGAACGCCTGTGTGCTACTTTTACCTCGGATGAATTGTTAACTCGACGGACAAGTGGACTCCGACGTCGGATGTGAAGCCAGGTATAACAAAACGACTTTTCGGAATATCGGTAAGGACAAGTAGAGTAAGGGTGACCCCGGATGCCTATGGACTCGAGAGTTACGAGGTGAACTTGAAATGGGTTTGGTGTACTGTGAGGCTTCAGGGTTGGGCCGCCGCCTTTTACTGGCCAAGGATCAGGATCAAGCTTTCACCGGCACATTCAACGTGGTTTCCTCAGACTGGGGATCGTTCGTTTGTAATGGGTTCCTCTCGCCTCGTTGGTTCTATGCGGCGGTTAACTGCAACTTAGACGATATAGGCCGATGATAAATGGCTCCCCTTTTGCTATAGAGATTGCTCGTGCCCAGGCCTCTAGTTACTGCCTAGGTTGGTAGGTACATCGCGATATATATCCCTACTTTACGATGTGTCGTTTAGGCCGATACACGCTGGCGACACATAAACACCCCCGTATCCATGGACAGCGCACTGCCTGCTCACAAGGCGACTCTCCACGGAACCGGACCTGGGTGGGTAACGCAAGCATTCGTGATGCATGCGTATTTGACAGGAGCCAGTTGCTCTGGGCTAATACAGCTATTATGCTTCCACGTCCATCAACGTGACGCGGCCCCGTCGCGGGACGGCAGCTGGGTACCTAACCTACGTGTGCTGGGCAGGCAGGGAAAACGCAAGGAGCTGGGGAGAGTACCGGGGCAAGTTTGACTTACACGGGTTACGAGCGGACCCTGCAGGTTCTAGTCGGGCAAATGGGACCGCCTTGCCCGTATTAGCACAAGGAAAGGAAGCGATGAAGCTGCCAGGGTAGCCAGGGCTCGATGCCTAAATCCCGCATTGGAGAAGACGGTGAATGGGGTGGTGAAGTTAGCCGCGGCTAGACGGTCGTCGTCGCCGCCGCCGCCGCCGCCGCCGCCGACACAGAGCGGCCGCCTGGTCTAGCTCGAGGGCGTTCGCTCGTGGCGCAAGCAACAAGGTATTAGTTGTCAATGTCGGGAAGTGGGATTTCGTAACATGCTATTGGCTAGTCGAGACTGGTTGAAGGCTTTCCTAATCGGGCAGGTAAGCAGATTTTCACCTCAAAATAATTGCTCGGACTTCTCCATCGTTTTAAGCTGAATGAATATACCTGTGTGCATATCACGGCATGTCTACATATATGTTGGCTTCGGCCCCAAAGAGGGACCGGATATGTTGTAAGCCGATGACTGGCATTTCTCAGCGCGGGTGGCCGTGCCAAGGCGATGCTGTTGGAGTCTGATCATAGTGAGTAGATAGGTAAGGTCGGGACGATGGATAGGTTGGATCGCGGTGCTGTAGCATCATGGCCGGCCGGCTATGCACCTACCTACATGGCATATTAACCCCGATCCGATGCAAATAACTGGATTGAGGGTTACTGTTTCCAACCCGGGACGTCTCTCGAGACTCGTTAGGAGAGTGAGGGGTGGACCATTGGCTCGCGCTCAACCTGCCGTCACGGAACCGAATGTTTTGCGAACGCGTTCTCGCATTCGCATTCTCGCGAGAGAGGCTCCACTGGCGCTCAGCAAGGTGCAATTGACGTGCATCCACGAGATCTGTACAAGGCTGAAAGGGGGAACGGGAGACTTGGTGAAGATTGGTATCGCGTTTCCAAGCTAGAAATGAGGCCGGGGGCAGTGTTGGGCTACATTGAGAACATCCCCAACGTGAGAACGGATCTGTGAACATGCCGCCTGCCAGTCAACCAGCCGCTGGTCATCATGCATGTGCGCAGCTGAGGTTTTTTTTTTCCATCTGTCGCATCTCATCCCCGTATTGATTTCTTCTTTCCAATAAACGCGAGAGCCCGCATCGTACCCGCAACGGACTATCAGTATTCCCAGCCAACCATCGCGGAAGGGTCGGGGTCGGGATGAGATAGGAAAAGGATTCCGGTATCAGACGGAGGAAAGAGGAGAGACTTTTGTTTTAAGGAAATAATACAGCGAAAATAAACGCCAGAAGAAGTAAGATGAGGAAAGAAAAAAAGAAAAGAGAGGGCCCAGGCGCATCGTTGTAGTCAGACGCATTGCAATGGGAATATAGTGGGCTTGAAGGTGGTAATTGGATAGATGAATGTGTTGGCACCGCGTGGACGATGAGGATTGGGCGCTGTGGAAGACCCTGTTACTGTATAGATGCCTTCTCACCAGCTATTATTATTATTAGCGAGCCGCCAGCAGGAAATATCCCTAAAGGGCTATCGAAGGCCCTGTCGGATCTCCGGCGTTGACCGCCGTCGGGCTCTGTAGCCCAGGAGGTCCAGGGTAGAAGCGACGATTTGGGTAAGAGGCATGGCGGCTTGGGCAATGCAGCGGCATGCAGGGCCAACTCATCGTCCATCTTGCCTAGCCCTCTCGTTGTGCCCCCTCCCTTGTGTCCCGCTCCCTCTTTTTTTGATATTTTTTTTTATCGCGCGGTTGCGCCATCTCCCTCTTCCCTCCGTCCCACTGGACACCCAGGTGTCAGGTAGCTAGCGGAGAGGTGTCGGTATGGGCACCACGCGATCAAGCGAGATGGATTCTGGCATGCGGTAATACGATTCCTCACCCGCCTACCCCGTTTTCCCTACCTGTGTCACTGCCTACCAGCCGCCATCGCCCCTCCGGGCCGCTTTGGACAGCACCGCATGGGCGATGATGTGAGGCATCGGTAATTTCTTGGTTGGCTTGCTTGTCGCCACATGTCTGGACCGTTTCGCGGGCCCCCTCCCTCCTTTCGTTTTGCGCCGTTTACGCATCGTCGTACGTATCCAGACTTCAAGGGTCCGAAAGCGACAGCGATAGAGGAGCAGAGGCGCCGACCTGGAGACATTCACAGAAGACGGTGGACTTGTCCTGACTGTGCCGTGTTCGTACCCTGGGGTACTTTGCTTCTTTGCTGTCATCCCTGCACCCCCCCCCCCCCGCCTTCTCGCTCGGTGTGTAGCCGTCGTGAGGGACTCGACTTCGGATGCGGTGCTCAGCACCAGTAAGGAGGCTCTGCGTCCGATAGGGGAGCGAGCAGGCGAGATAAGAGATAAGATGGTGGTGGGTTCAACCAAAAAAAGGGAAAAAAAGAGAGAGAGAGAGAGAGGCGCGTAGCGGGACTCGATTGATGCCGAACCAAGCGTTAGACAGGTAGGGAGGGAGGGGAGAAGGAATGTCACTTCTCACGTTGCCAATGTCGGCCGGTTGGGGCTTACCGATTTTTGTTCGCGAGCGAGTTGACGCGCCTCAGCCTTGGCTATGGTGGTGGGGGGAGCGGAGGTGAAGGGTGAGAGGAGGGTCGTGTTCTGAATTGCATGTAGTGTCATTATTCAACGTGCCAGGGCTCATCACCTCACTCTATGCGTTGTCCAACATTACCTGAGAGGAGGGGCGGATTCGATTGGCTACCTGAACTTGAGTGGGTGGGATCACGGTGGCTTGAAGTGCGGAGGGGTTCATGTGTACCTCTTGTACCGACGGCCAACCGCGGCCTGTAGGTAATCAACGACGCCAGCGGTACCTACCTTAGGCTAGTTAGGTTAGGTACCTCGGGAGGCACCTAATCTTCTAGCCTCCAATCATGTAGAGTGGAGAGATAGCAGAGGAGGTACTTGTAAGTACCTACCTAGTCCCAGGACAGCCTGGAATCTACCTACCCGGGTACACGACAATGCATGAGAGATCCCGGTGCGTACATGTGGAAGAGAGACCGACCCGCACCAATTTAATGCTCGAGAAAAACCCCAACTACACAAGGGTCCGTAGCCTCTTGTAGCTACCATGGTTAAATATAAGAGGTACCTACCTACGACGGGTACGGGAGGTTAGGCTACCTAAGGTACTGAATGTAGGGTGGGGGAAGGGGGGCGGCATGGGTGAGATGGCATGTCCTGGTACTGTTGCCCTAATAGGAGCTAGGTAGGCACATGCTGTCCTCCTCTTCCCCTCTAGGCTGGGGGGCAATGCCGCTGCCCGAGGCAACTGAGATAAGTCGTTCGTCCCGCCAACGACGGTGCGACAAGACAACTCTGTTCAGCAGCTTAGGGTGTAACAGGTTGTCCTCAACAGCTCGACAGGGTTCCAATCCACACCTGATTGTATTCGGTCTGCGGGTTGGTTGGTTGGCTATCGACGGCCAAGCGATGATGGCGATGAAGAAGATGAGGGAAGGGAGGGGGGAGGCAAAGGCGAGAGGAGGAAACTCGGGAAGACACATCATCTATCGTCATCTTCATGTCCGCTCTGACTTCGGCCTCCCGACTCTACCGCTCTACCACCTCCCTTTCACCGGCTGCTGGCTTGTCCTGCCAGGGCTATGTTGTCGTTGTCGATGTTGTTGTTGACGTCTCTGTCTCTGGTTCATGTGGCTTATGTAGGTAAGTAGCTGATTTTGTTGAATCCTGCATTCGCTGTTTTCCCCGCCACCTCGCCATCTGCATCTCAAGCAGCCGTGTCTCAAGTCGACAGACGGCGATAAAGGACCAATTGCTCCGTCGCTCGCCTACCAGGTATAAACGTGTTCTCTACTCTTAGCACGGAGCGTGGCAGCCCCTGACAAAACCATGCGCACGCCCGATTCGCTGTCGAAGGCTGCATACCAGGTTGCCGGAGACGATAATAGGTAGCGGCCTCCAGTATACGTACATGCGATAACGTCTAGGTGATACATACAAGCATACGTGTACTGCCTTGCCTGTAGGTACCTAGAAGCTAGAGGTACCTCATCCCGCTGTATGTACACGCATACGTCTATAACACCTACACTCTAGGCGCGTCCCACCTTGGATAGAGTATAGAGTATGGGAAATACGGGCTTCTGCCTCCCAGGGCACCCAAGGGATATTCCTAACATGCCCCGGTGGAAGCGCATATCCCGGCAGATGTACCGACGAGCGGGCGAACGAGCAAAACGGGGACGAAACGAAACGAAACGCGGCAGGGAGGCCACTTTATCATCACCGCCAGCGAACCGACCCTAAGGCAAGGTACGGCTCGATACCTTAGGCGGTAGTACCTACACCTCTAGCATAGCCCACCAATTGATAATTACATATCAGCTTGTACATACATCGTATACAGGTATGTACGCTACGTAGGTGCTCTCGGTCTTACATCCCATCCACCCACCACCCACCAGCCTTCACGTACATATTGCCTACACATCACCTACACACCCACGCTCGTTCGCTGACGGGACTTGACTATAATACCCTTGTTGATATAGGATCAGCCCAACCGCGTGCGCCTAGGACTGGGACTGTCCTCCAGCTATTCTTAACTACCTGACGCCCAACTCTGCCCTACCTACCCTGCCCTACCCTCCTACCTCCTTACCTACCTACCTGATCTCACCCCCGATCCTCGCTGCGGATTACCCACCTGAGCTACCCGTCCGAACACCACAGGCGCCACCGCCGCTCCTCACTCGACCGACTGCCACCGACCGACCTACTTGTCTGTCTTTCTGCCTGTCCGCTAGCTAAGACGACGCTCATGTCTGCGTGACTGCTTTCGACACCGATCCGACAACGACGACGTCAGCGACGACCGAGTACAATCTCGCCATCGTGGCTAACCAGCAACTCTGCATCCGGGGGTGCTGTTGGCAGTAGTAGTGCTGGGGGACTGATAGCAGCGGGCTTGCCATATCTTCTCATACGCGCCCACCATGATCTCAATGCAGCGATCTCTATCGTCGCCCGTCTGTATACATACCTCTCCACGTGAGTCGAGGAGTGAATAAGGAGCACGATGAGTAGTAGTGCCGACATCCGCCGTCCGACTTCCCGTGCCAGCTTGCTGACTGCCCCGACCTCGACCTTAGCGGCAACTCCTACCGCCACCCGTCCGTCCTCGCGATCTCCGACGCCCTCTCTCGAGACTCGACCCGAAGCGACGCGCCCGCGACGCCATCGATCGCGAAGCCCTGCCAGGTCCACTCACCGTCGGCGAGAGTCGTCCGGGTCGGTCCGCAGAAGCGACAACGGCAACAGCAATAACGACAGCGATAGTCCTCGCGATGGAGCCTCGAGGCAACAGGCGACCGCCAGCCCGGCCGCCGGCGCGAGTGCGCCCAAGAGGCCGGTGATCGATCAAGCTGTAGGCCCGTCGAGGAACCCTTCCCCGACTCCCTCTTCCAGCCCGCCCGTCCCGTCGAGCCCGCTGCAGCCCATCCTGAAGGATCATGAAGACTCAGGTCCCCTTCCGCGGCCGCTTCTAAGCGACGTGTCCATGTACACCAATCATCACCTGGCTATTGAGAACGAGGGCACCACTCTCGAAGAACTTGCCCACCTTGTCCGCCTGTCCAAATATCAAGAGCGCAAGTGCGTCAATACCCGCACTCGCCTGCAGAGAAGTTTGATCTCGACTGCTCTCTCGGCGCGCCTAACTCGCTGTGGAGAGACTTCGCTGCGAAACCTGGCGGACAGCTTCCGAAACGACGACAAGAGAGCCTTTGCTAATCTGTTTGCTGCCATCCATGATATTCGGAACCGCTGCGACGAGACCCGTCGCCATGCCCTCTTGGAGCCCGACGTGGAGTCCCTGCAATCGTCGGGGGTGGCGTCCGTGGAAACCTTGATCTCCCCACCCCATTCGGCTGAAGCCATCGGTTCCAACAGTTTCGTCGTCCCCTTCCTCGCTGACATTTCCGCCTCGGCTAGAGAGGCCTTCCTCAACTTCCTCACCCAGATCCGGACCAACCCGGACTACCTAGCCACGAGACTATGCGCGCTGAATGCCACCGAACTCCAGGCCCTCACTACGTTCCACCAGGGATTGGAGCCCATAGAGTCCGTACTGCCCTACCACGGCCGCACCAGCGGACGCGGACACACCAGCGGCCCTAGTAGACAAGGAGGCCAGACTGCCCTGAATGCCGTGGATCGACTCTTGTCCTTCCAGCGCCACGACCCCCTTTCTGCTCTCATACACACCTGCTTTGCTAACTCAGCTGGTCCGGACAGCGCCGAGGACAAGCGGAGAACCGGGATCTGGGCCACCGCCTTTGCTCGCCTGATCTCCACTAGGTCGACTAGCGAGCCGGTTTTGATTTCCATCCTCAATGCTTGGTCTGCTATGCGTGACTGGTCCGGACGGGCCAATATGGAATGGTACCTTATGAAGATACTGGAGGATGGCGCGTTCCTGCTCGACCGAGCTGAGGACCAGAATGGGACTAGGTTTAACCTCTCGGATTGGTCTACGAAGGATACTATTGCCGCCGAGGAGTTTTACGAGCGTGCCGTGAACGATCTCTTTGCCGTCATAGACGACGAAGACGCGACCGGCATCCCCGAGGGCGTTATCGAGCTTGGAAATGAGATCCTTCGTCGGCTCGAGATGAAGGATACCACGCGTAGCCTCGTCGATTCTACTCGGAAATGGTTTGTATACAAGTGGCTCTTCTCTAGTTGGTTGTTGGCCGTCGTCATCCACCCGGAGAGCTACGGGATGATGGCGGAGTACCACATCACCGAGTACGGCCGCCAGAAGATCTTGAAGCAGGTTGCCACGTTAGCACAGCATTATGTGGTGGAGATGCTCGCCAATTCCAACCCGCTCCAGAAGCCGGTGTCTACGCCCCTGAAGGTCAAAGGCCACATTGAGAATATCCTAGGCCGTTTCAAGCCGACGGCAAGCCAGAGGATTGGGAGACTGCTTCCAGCTAGGTCCATCACGTCTCTGAGAGAGACTGTCGAGGTGCACCCTTACTTGGTAATTAGCCCTGCTGACCTATCCACGCTTGTCAATGCGCTCTACCCGGACCGTCGGCCGCCGTCCGCCCACTCTAGCATCCGCTCTGGCGCGCCGTCGATATCGGGCTTCTCTGCCATATCCCAGCCGATATCTATCGCCACATCAAGAACTAACTTTGAGACTGCCTCCGTCCTCAGCATGAGCGCCTCATCCGTCTTTAGCGATGGGACTACTTCGGGTGATCCCTTGCTGGACGACCAATTAGCCGGCACACCCCAGAGATTGTCGCCTCCTGGGTCTGACGGGGCCAGGCAGAAGCACGTCAACAACTACGAGGATGATGGGTACCGCCTTCGCCTGGCCATGCATGAGATGTCCCAGATCCTAGGCTCGGACGTCATCTCGGGCGCGTGCCACCCGTGCGCCGAGCGCTGGGCGGTCGTGTTCATCTCCGCCGATGGCAACGGCCTTTCCCTACAAATGACCTACGACCCCGACGATGATCCCGAGGAGGAGAACTCCTCTACAACCAGTGACACGGAGGACGACGAGCCCGACGACAAGCCCGACCTTGACAAGGATTATCACCAGCTGCGAGATTCGGTACTGAAACTGGTCGAAGATTTCGAGATCCCGCAAGGTCTCGAAGACCATGGTACCAAGACGACGTTTAGCAATCGCGCGTCCGGGTTGAAGAGGTATCGATCCAGGAGCAAGATCATCACCCCGGGCACGTCGATGGGTAGCCGCAACCCGTATCGCACTAGGTGCGAAGATGAACAAAAGTCCAAGCGGGCTGCCGATGAACCTGAAAGCGCCTCCGAGGGAAAGGAACCGGCAAGTGAGCCTGAGAATTCCGCCTTGATCACTATGCTGGCCGCCGCCTCCTCACAATCTCGCATCCAATCCGACTTCGTATCGGCGCATCTCTACTGGAAGACCCTCCAACAGTTGAACGCCCTAGCCTCGCCGTCCCTGCGTAAAAACGGATTCGCCACGCTTCTAAACATCTTCTCTCGGGGTCCTCGCGATTCTATCCGGCGCTCCGCCTCGGCGATCGAGGAATATGACGCCTGGCTAGTCTGGCTGAAGCAGAGCCAGGAGCGCCACGAAGGCCTCATCGAGACCATGATGAAACGCCTGAAGGCGCTGAGGGATAAGATGTGGTATGTGACAGACGTTCATAACTCGGCTCCCTACGAACATACTCGAAACATTTGTAGCGCTCTCAAGATCATGGGCATGCCGAAGAAATGGAGCGCGTTCCAGCGCAGCCGAGCCCAACTGTCCCGTGGGGCAGCCTCCGCCTACATCTATCGCAACGAATCCCAAATGCTGGATCTCTTAGCCGCGAGTGAGGATCAAGGCGGCCCCAACAAACTCAGCGACGCCCAGGCCGAGATAACTAGCAAGTGGTTAGAACAATTCGGTATTCAGAATCTCTGCCAAGGCGAGGAGCGCATACATCGTTTCTGCTGCGAAGTCGATAGCTGCGTAGGAAAGCTGGTGGGCGAGAATATCATGGACGGTCCTGTGCTCTGGTCGAGTGAACTATACTCACGGGACCGGAGGACGTTCGAGGGCCCCCGGACATCCCGTGAAAGAGAAAGCGTATGGGGCGACGACGCCTCCAGTGTCATCAGCAGCGAACACGATAGACGATATGCTTCTCCGTCGCGTCGGGCGGCCTCGGTAGCTCGAGACCCGAGAAACATTTCCGCATTCAACACTAGCCAGATCTCTCTCGATTCCCACCGCCGCTTCAGCTTTTCCAGAGCAAGCACTGCGATGTCTGATACCTTGGACGCACACGATTATTATGGAGCGTCGCCTCCGCTTCATGCCATTGACTCGTTGTCGACTTACTGGTCCCCTTTTCAGTCTACGATGTCAACCGTTAGTTCGGCGACGTCGCGCGCCCAGTCCCCTACGACGAGTGTCACTAACCTCTCGAGCACCTTCTCGCACTCCAACAATCACCATCCGTTACCATCTCATCACTCCTCTGCCGGACGATCTGTAATATCCGTGTCATCGAACGAGACTGTTCACTTGCGGCAGCTCTCGGAAGGGAAACAGCGTTTCCTCTCCGACCTTCGTCAGACCCTTACTAGCTTGTTGCTGTCGGAGCTGGGAAACCTTGTGTTTTCGTCGGGGTCGGAGACGGACGGATGGTTCGGCACCTTAGGGCAAGAGTGCATCGACCGTCGCGACGCCGAGGAGCGGAAAGCGCGGCGACTATCGAAGAGGGATCGTTCTAGCAAGAACCTCGCGAAGCAGCGGGTGATCGAGAAGAGGAAGAGTTTCGGTAACCTTCGACAGGCCGGCGAGGCCTCTAGAGCCGACCCGAACGCGGACAGGCCCGACAGCGCTTTCGGGTTTAGTAATGATAGCTCTGCCACGAGCGACACGACGTCAGCGCGCGCGAGATCTTCAAAGAAACGCGAAGTCCCCGACTTCCCTTATACGAAAGCCTACCAAAGGCTGCTGGGAATCTTCTCTGTCCACCCTAACCCATACACGAAGCTTAATGCCCTCATTGAGCTAGAACACCTTATCGCTGCGTCGTTGGCTAGCGGCGGGCGTCGCTCTCGATGGCTGCCGCGACATCAGTCGATATCCATCGACGACGATCTAGGCATGTCCGGTAGGGCTAGTACGATTGATCTGGGCACGGACAGTATGAGGGAACGGCGCCCCCAGTCGTTCCAGTCGCATATGGCTACATTCCAGCCCCGTTCCAACAAGAACTCGGACGTTCGCTCCGTCATCTCCATAAAAGACACAGCTAACGCAGATGCCATTGCGCAAGTGCTTCGGTCGCTTTTCAAAGATGCGGGCATCCGCCCCAAGACATTATTCCGCGACTTACAGTTCATCAACTCATTTGTCTCATCCTCTACTTTAGACACTGACCGTACCAAGCCGTTCTGGGACATCGCAGCGGTGGTCGTGTCGCTCAAGCAGGACGTGATCACGACGATGGTCGAAGTTGCAGACGAAATCTTGACCTACTACACTCCAACGAGAAAGCGACCGGACGGCGGCGAAGAGATACCAGAGGTAGCGCGGCAACCGCCATCTCATTCGCTCCGCGATGCAGCAACAATGTGGACTATCGCAGCGAAGGAGGGCAGCGCAATCGCGCAGCGCGAGCTAGGACTCTTTAACCTCAGTAAGCCCGAGCTCGTCGAGAGAAGCATGCTACCGATGTCGAAACCACGTGATGTCTTCAAGCAGGCTGTCATGGAGAAGTTTGGATCGCGACCCGGCGGTGGTGCGCGCCACGCCGCTGACCGAGGCCGTAGCGGCCTGGGTACGGTGGGAACAGCATCTTCGGGCGTACCGGATGCGAACGCGGGCGTCGATGGCGATGTGAGGAGCGACCCGGCTCTGATGTGCATTGCTCTCCATTGGATGGAGGAGGCCGAGCGCGGCGGAGACGAGCTGGCCAGGCAGTTCATCGGCCAGCACGAGATGGGGTTGTGACGATCGCCATCTAAAAGTCCGTCGGTCGTGCTTTACCTGATTGCTTCCTATTTTCTCTTCTTATTTTATCTCCTTTTCTCTCTCGCTCTGCTATATTCTCTTTCTCTGCCCTTTCATCCTCTCTGATTGCGAATACACATATCCCCAGCCGCGAGTTTCCGGCTACGGAGGTCGAGTTATGAATTTCCCTGCTTAACACGTTTCCCATCGTTCGTTGGATACCCCGGCCCGCGTCTGGCCCCTTTTTATGCTTGTTCCGATTAAAAGATTATCAATACCCCCATCGGTCTCTTTGTCCTCACCTCGCACCGGACTTTATGGATACCGCAGGATAGGCAATAAGAATAAGGTAGGAATGGCATGGGATTCGTTGGGAACGGAAACAAATATGTACAACGTGTTTTGGCTGTCCGGGAAGGGGGGGAAAAAAGATTAAAACCCCCCAAACCAAACGAAGATACCAACGAAGACACCTCCAGCATGGAGGAATGGGAAGTCCTGCGATAGGCTCCTGTACCAATACCCAAAACACCCCGCGTACGTGCGTTGCGACGCTCTCGGTCTAACAAAAAAAAGGAAAGCTCTGTCTATTTGTTATGCCAGACCGGATGGGATGAGGCAGAATGAGACGGAACGGATACCACACGATGATGGCAAACGATGACCATGAAAATGACGGGATACTCTAGGCGTATATTTTTCGCCTCTATACAAGCCTCTTCTTTCTCTTCCTCCCCTGGGCTCCTCTTCCTTTTGCCTCACTCTTTCATATATAGATGAAACTCGTACGCATGCACGAGCGTGACGGATATACCATTCAGATAGGCCTTTCCTTCCCCTGTCTCTTTCGATCACCTAAAATCACTTTCCTCCCCTTTTCGCAATTGAAGTATTCCTCAGGTGAAGTTGACTTCGCTTGGGTTGGTTGATGGGAGCGTGCAGTCTTATGCGTTGTCTACCTGTATGTATGTGTTGGGTGAATTGCGTGAGAGAGTAACAACTGTAAGAGGTATTGTTGACTCAGGTCGGTAGGAGTGTGTTCAGGGGAGGTTCCTTGTGGGGGGAAATATTTATGTAGTCGTCTACCTGCCCCCCTACACGGGACACCGGAAATATGTATGGTTCTCGTCGCCGCAAGGGTTACTAGATGTCGGCGGGTTTGGCAACGATGCAGATGCCCAGACTCGGAGCAACAATAAACCAAGAGTCGTAATAGATGGTAAATCAACATGCACACATCAAGCGCTTCAAGTAGGATCGACGAATGTACTAATTATTAATAATATATAGATGTGTCGGGGTATCTTCAGAGAAGTATCTACGTCTAATATTAATCTACCTTGCCTCGTGTCGTCGTGGAGACACCGTTATCGATGCTGCCGCGTCCGTTCTGGAGCAATGCCTCGGTGCTCTCGTCTTCGGGGGGATCGTCCACCGCGACGACCATCATGTCCGACCGGACGCGGAACCGCTTTCCTCTCCAGTTCACCGAGGTGCCGAGGAAGACGGCCCACGTCCATATGGGCAGGGCCAGGACCTCGCGGCCCAGCCACGCCAGGATCCACTCGCCAAATGGGCGCTTCTCTGCACCCCCGCGGCCGGCCCCGCGGGCGAAGGATGGCGTATGCTCGTCTAGGTACATGCTCTGCCCGGCGTGTAGCTTCTTGAATACAGCTCGGTCGACAAGCATCCAGAGCACGACACCGGTGACCCAGCAGAACCATAGAGCGCGCCATGTCTGTGGGATACCGAGGGTTTCGTGAAACCAGGGGACGCTGGTGAGGCTGAAGGATAGGTAGAAGCAGCAGACAAGACTTTCTACACCGTGCTCGACGAGTGTTGCGGATAGCACAGTCCATTTCCTGGCCCGCAACCATCGGACCCTGCGCGAAACGTAGGCAGGTATGGACATGCCTGCCATAGGCTGGATTGCCAGGTCACCCCAGACGAGGCCGTGGTTGGCATAGCCGGGCAGGTCGGAACGCCACAAGAGATCGCCGATGACGTGATCCTCGCACATGAACATCGAGAAGTAGTCTAGGCCCTTGGGGAGAGCTGCAGCCTTGCCCGTCAAGATGGGATTGCGGGCAGGATCGGTGACCTGGTCGAGGTGGGACTTGCGGAACATGTTGCTCTTCCCCACGATGCATGGCGCAATCCCGACGGTATTGATGGCGCCGTAGAATTTGGCGTGGGTTGTGGCCATAAACATCTCTTCGAGTCTACCGCCTCCATGGGCCCAGGATCTCGAATGTAGGGAAGAGGAAACGTACACATTCGACTCCGCGTCCGAGCCGCCGGTGATAGAAGATCCCGAGAGCAGGGTTTGACCCTCGGAATTCAAACTGCTCATGGAGCTGACGGTATCTACGACCAGCGGCAACTGGTGCACGAACTTGAAAGGCTTCGCGCGTTGGCCATCCGGCCGATATCCGCAGAGCTTATCGACCATGCGGCCGGCTACATCCCTAGCGACCCACACATTGCAGTCAAGCGGCCAGATGATATCGCCCTTGGCTTCCCTATATGCGCGGCTCAGGTTGCGAATCTTGGGGTTCGGACCGAGGTTGTCGGCATGACCGCTGTCGCCGTGAAGGTAAGGGTCTTCCGCCTCGACGAAAACCTTGGCGTCGAAGTCGGTATGGTCGTCGAGCAACTTGAGGATGACAGGGTAGGCGGCATCCTCCTTGGACGATACGCAGAAGTAAATGGTCAACTTGTCTTTGGGATAGGACTGGTGGAAGACGGAGGCGAGACATTCGTAGAGGCCGGGTTCCAAGCCCTTCGCGGGCCGAATGATGGTCACATGCGGCACTTCGTCCTTGGGTAGCGACGGAGACACGGGCTGGGCGGGCACCGAGGAGTAGTAGCGGAAGCTGTTTAGGCCGGGGGTTAGGGATCCGGGGTTACCGGCTACGGAAGGGGTTGAGGAAGTATAATAGCTTACATCTTGTAGGAGCCTATGCCCTGGACGACAAGGACCACGGCACCCCATACCAGGCCGACATAGCCCAAAACCTCGAAGATAGTAGAAACCATCGCCATATGCCAAGGCAAAGATGGGATGGTGGTTGGGAGGCCACGAAACAGCTACGACATGTGAAAAGAAAGGCGAGGTTGTGAGGAATAGATAGGGGGCGCTGTACGTGGATAGGTGAGATGGATATCTCGGATGGCTTATTTAATAACGAGGGGATTCCTAGATAGGCTTGGACTTAGCCTGGAGCCAGACGCGGGACTGGATATCGAGGTAGGCTAAGGGAGAAGGAAGGGCGAAGAACGACGATGGCAGAGATCGGCGACAGCTGTCATTTCCCCCCCTTAGCAACCGGTGCGACCTTGCTGGGGCTACCTTGTGACGATCGGTGTTGAGAGCATCGTCCCCATATCTCGTGATCCCACCGCAGAGCTACGGCGACGTACGCGAAATGCGTCCGGCTACTACGTGGTATGAACGGTGTGCGTATTGGTGTGGACGTATTTTGTAGGAGCGGGTGGCCGACAAGGGGGGGATTAGTGGGCCGCCCGAAAGCCGGGTCAGGAAGAGGGTGTAGATACGGGAGAGAGGAAAATTTTTTCTAAATTGCAGGTGACCAAGGGAGCAGATTCAGCTGACGCAGACGAGGTTTCCGAGGGGATCTTAGGTTGTGAAGGTGGACGATAGCTTTCCACGGCGTTGGTTGGACGGGGCTGGGGTGAACAAGGGCCAAGTCAATATTTGTTGTCTACAAGACCACGACCAATATCTGAGGCGTACAAAACTAGCATAAGCTGCACTATTATATCGTACTTTATGTACCCAAGTATGCATAGGTACTTGCTTCTTTGTGCACGACTTCTGCAATCCCACGGTCACATGCTCACAACGGGCGGATCTTCGTCGGCAGACGGAACAATTCGCTCATGCCGCCCCTCCTTTTCTCGGGCATAGACGGACCGGAAAGGGTATTCAGAGGTATCTTCAATCTCTATGCTGCCTAGGATATACCTACATTGTACATCTGGATCGGAACAGACCAATGGGCCTCGCCGGTTTTATTTTTCGAAATCACGATTGCACGCCCGTCGCAAAATCTATCTGAATCTTCCTCCTCTTCATCTTCTCACACTCACTAAAAATCAACAATATAAAGCCACGACAGTTGCTGTCGCCCGTCGTCCTCGATTTCAAAGTAACGAAAGGCTGGACAACAGCGAGGCCGACCTAGCGAACGATTGCTAGCTGAATCCCTGCGCGGCCGGCTCCAGAGGATAGATGCTCTCTTATATAACGTGAGTGGAAACAACCAGTCTCTCTCTTTCCGCAGCCACGTCGGTCCTCTCTGCCCCTCTACGCACATCGTCGCCGTGATGACACCTTTATTCGGAGCTTAGAGACGATATGTTCTCGATGAGTGTCCCGATAATAGACTACAACGGTATCTGAGCGATTGAACCACGCCGTCTTAGTTGGCTGACGTGGTTGGCGGCGCGGTGGGGATGGGACCTGGTGTTGTCGTGATGATGTAACTAACGGCGTCGAAAGCAGGTCGAGATGATGTGCAGCAGCCATGGCAGACACACCCTGTGCCGTCCCCACCTCGCGCCAACATGAGAATTCTCCCGCCTCCACTGCTATAGAGTCTTCTACAAAATCGGCACCTCCATCCCGGGCCCAAGCCAGGTCGGACCGTCGCTCGGCTATCCCAAGCGGGCCTCCGCTACATAAGATCTATGCTCTGCCCGCCCCGATCCGCACATTTCCACTGCCCACTTTCTATCCGAGCAACCCGCTCTCCCTCTTCCAGCTTGCCTTCGCCTGGGTAAGCCAGCTCATCTCCCCACCACCCGCCGAACCGGCCGTGATTCACCAGGGATTCTGGTCGCCGGAGACGTGGTCGGTTCATATCAAAGACCCCAGGTCGATTCGCGCGCTATGGGAGCAGGGGTTCTTCGGCAAGGGCAATTACAGCCGTAGCGAGCCAAATTGGCTCAAGCGCGAACAGGCCCGAAGAGGCAAGCACGACGGCCACGTCGCCGAGGAGTGGACCAACCAGAGGCGCGAAGAGCGCAAGATGATGAAGTGGGATAGGGCCCGAAAGGAGCAGGAAGCTATCCGGCGAACAAAGCTCGAGGAGGCATGGATTGCTCCTGTGGGCCCCTTGGAGTTGCTTGCCCTCCCGAACTCTATACGCGATCAGAAGCCTGACCGTCACAATAACGACTCGCCTAATGGACAGTCGGCTCGGGTACCTGCTATGAATGGCCGGGGGGTTATCGGCTCGGTGGTGCGTGATGCGATTCCGAATGGTTCGCCCTCACCGCAATCGCTGGCGGAGGCTGCGAATGGCACCGGGCATCCTACGGTAAAGGCGGACGACCTGTCGATATTGCCTAAGGCGAATGGCCATATCTCCCCTCCACGTACACCGACCGATGCTACCAGGCCGATCGACCTAGAGAGTGCGCCAGAAGCCGGTGGCTCTGGTAAACGGCGCAAGAGTGTGCGATTTTCGGCCAAGGTCGAGTCGACTACTTTTCAACTTGCGGATCCTCCCAGTCCCCGCCACCGTGTACAGCCTAACGGAGATGTCGCGCAGGGTAGCTCGACCGTTGGTAATTCGCCGTTGTCTCAAATGTCGGATTTGGCTGCATCACCACCACACGGCGAAGCCAATATCACATCCGACGCCGCTGCTGCGCCTGGTACTGAAATTGTGGACAGAGAACATCTTCAGCTAACCGTAGAGGAGGCTTTCTATCTCGTCTTTGCACTAGGAACTCTAACGGTAACGGATTCTAAACTTGATACGCCATTTACCACCTCGGATTTGTTTACGCTCTTCCGTCGGTCATCGTACTTACCAGCGAGAAAAGCAGATCTGCAGCCGGATGACCCGTTTCTCGTCCAATATGCCGTATATCACCATTTTCGCTCCCTGGGCTGGGTGACCCGACCTGGCATCAAGTTCGGTGTAGATTGGCTGCTGTACCATCGCGGCCCCGTCTTCTCCCATGCTGAGTTTGCTATCGTCGTACTGCCGTCCTACTCGGATCCGTGGTGGACGGCCGAGGGTCGCCAGGCCCCTCGCAGATCGTGGCACTGGCTTCACACCATGAACCGTGTGCAGTCTACGGCATTGAAGACTTTAGTAGTTGTGTACGTTGACATACCACCCCCGACCGACGAGACGCTGGGTGCCGCCGAGATCTTGGAGCGCTATAACGTGCGTGAGTTTATCGTTAAGAGGTGGCTCAGCAACCGAAACAGGGATTGAGCAGTTACGTTAGAGCCGAAATCCTATAGGTTTATGTTCTAGGAGCAGTGGGACGACACGATGGTTATAGCAGAGCTTGCTCAGAAATCACTAAAAGGCAACAATAGACATCCACAAGAAAATAAACCAGAATATTATTAAACTTTTTGATGAGTGAATCCCCCAAAACCTGTCTATCCGCAGTAATGCACACTGGAGCCTGGATTTCTACGTTGGTGACCAGGGAGGTGAGGATGCTTCCCCCTTCCTCCCTCCGTCTATTTTCCCCGAACCCCTCGCCTACCTCCCAATAATTATCCTGCTTTAATTGCTAGTTACCTCTACCCGCGGCGACTCTTCGGCCCCCCTCTCATCGTCGTCGTCCTCCCCCCCTTTGTCCGTAGCCGGCGGCATGTACGACACGGTAAAGAGGAAGCCCACAGCCAGCGCGGCGACGACGAACCAGACGAAGTAGCCGCCAAGGATATTGTGTCGCACGCCCAAGGCGAACATGCTGTTAAAGGCAGCAGGGGTGGCGGCACGCAGGCCGCTGGTGATGGAGAGGGACATGGAGTTGAGCTTGTTGAGGCTTGACTTGGCAGGGCAAACCTGGTTGAGGGCGAGCTGGACGACGGTGAAGGCCATGACGACGCTGGAGCCGACGACGAGCATCGGCGGGAATATGACCCAGAAGAGGGTGTGGGCGGGGTCGTTGTCGCGGCAGAGAAGCCAGTTCATCGAGGGCATGATGGCGAAGAAGAAGGGCCAGACGACGCCGCAGTAGCGCAGGAGGGCCTTGGAGCCCCAGCGGCGGTGGAGCGGCGGCAGCACGAGGAGGATCCAGAAGGCTTGCGAGCCCGCCGTCAGCGCCATGTAGATGGAGATCTGGATCGAGGTGAAGCCGAAGCCGCCGAGCTCGGGCGTCGTGTACAGGAAAGTCGGGATCAGCGTCGTGTAGGCGAAGCCGAGCAGCATCGCGTACCCGTAGACAACGAGCACGATGCCGACGCCGGGAGCCTTGGCGAGCTCGGACACGGTGGCCTTGGGCGCGGGTCCCGGGCGGGCGCCCTCGACGTCGTCTCCGCCACCCTCTGCACCGTCTTTCATGTGCAGGGTCTCGTCGACGCCGACGGCGCTCGTGACGACGGCGGTCAAGCCGATCAGAGCGACGACGATGGGGGCGAGGACGAAAGGGTGGGTCTCGAAGAAGGGGACGCCGCCGAAGAGGCGGGGGAAGGTCTTGGCGGGGTCGAGGAAGAAGCCGCCGATGAGGGGGCCGACGAAGATGCCGACGTTGCCGGCGAAGGCGAACCAGCTGAAGGCGCGGGCCTGGTTGGAGGCGTCGCTGTGCTCGGCGATCATGGTGCGGATGGTGACGACGCTGCCGGCGCAGATGCCGGCGACGCAGCGCAGGAGCATCATCTGCCAGATCCGGGTGGCGAGGCCGAAGACGGAGGTGGCGGCGGCGAGGCCGGCGAGCGACAGGACGAGGACGGGGCGGCGGCCCCAGCGGTCGGACGCGCGGCCCCAGAACATCATGACGAGCATCTGCGTCAGCGAGAAGATGGACTCGATCGCGCCGGCGTAGAAGCCGACGTTGGCCTCCGGTACTGCAGCATCACGGGGGCGGGGGGGTCAGCTACCGGCGTCGGAGGACGTCTCCGCTCACGTTCTATCACAGCAGCACGCCGAGGTGACGGATGCGCGTGTATATGTGTGCGCATGCCAGTCGGCAGATGCAAGTGACAGGGGGTTTGGGGAGGACGGGGACTTGTGCGAGGACTGTAGCCAGTTGTTCCAGGGAAGCCGAGAACAGGGAGGCCGAGAAAGGGAAGGCCGAGAAAGGGGGGGGGGAGGGATGGGAACATGGACGGACGGACGGACGGTGTGCGCTTCTTGCTCGCTCTCTCCCTCCCTTCCGCTCAAACAGCAGGAAAAGGGGGGTTCAGTCGACCGTATGGGGTGGGTTCACGTACCGTTGCCATTTTCCTGTACCATCCGATTTATGTACGGGAAGATGGAAAAGAAAGCTATTGGCTCGACGAGGCGAGCATAGCACAGGAGGAGGATCTGGAGTCTCGGCAGGGGCGTCTCGGGCTTCTTCTTGGACGGGAGCGCGCGGGACGGGAGCGCGCGGGACTGGCCCGCGGCCCGGTCGAAGGCCGGCGACGACGGGACTTTCCTGTCCGGATCGTCGTCAGGCGCGAGAAGCGGCGTGCTCTCGCTGGCGCCGGCGAGACGGGCGCTCACCGGGCCGGGGCTGATGTTGCCGCTGCGGCCAATGAGGGCGGAGTTCTGGAAAGCTCTCGTCGCCATTGTGGAATCGCGTCGGGAGAGAGGAGGTAGTATGTGTGTGTACGGTATGTATGTGTGTGGTATGAGAGTGATGCAAGCAGTGCAAGCGATGGATGTGTTGTGTAAGTGTAAGTGATGGTCGTCTGAGAGTGGTAGTGGTGGTAGTGGTGGTGGTGTGTACGCTGTGTCGGTTCGCATCAGTCCGTCTGTCTTCTTTTACCAAGCCGTGGACGGGTAGATGGCATGGCCAGTCGATTTCTCGTCCCTGCCGCGCGACCCGGTCGGCTTATATCGAGAGCAGAGGGCGACGACCTGGCCGGCGCTCGTGGTGCGATAAGATCTCCGCCGCTCCTCGCACGATGGCGACCCAATCCTGGTGCCCGCCGACTGCGTCACCGCCGTCGGGCTGGCTGAAGCCTGTCGAGGGTAGGATGCGCGCCGCGCAGCAGACCTGCACTGCGTCAGGGTCGTTTCTCGCCGGTTATAAAAGATAAGCACCAAGCATCGTCCGGGTTGGGGGTTGGGAGCTGGGGTGGTAGCCAAAAGGTTGACCCGCCGGGGTGCGACGCAGCTGCGGCGCCGTCGATGAGGACGGCAAAGCAGAGAGGCGGTACCGTATTATTGCATAGTGTACACACAATATTGGCACTGTCTTAGACACAACCACAGTGCACAATTCCTAGTCCGCAGGTCGATCCCCTTTTTTTTCCTTCTTTTTACATATTTAGTTGTTTTATGCATTTTTATATTTTTATATTTCATCCCTGTATCCATTAATTTTTGTTTTACCTTCCTTTTGTCTCTGTCCATCCGCTAATAAACAGGGGCATACATGGCCGTCGGAGGTGGCGGCTCGTCCGCTTCACCGTCTTCCTCCTGCGTCGCAGCAGCGGAATTCCAGTAAGCATGTTCAGGACCATAGTGCATAGTGCGTCGCATGCCGCTGGGCGCTGGCGAGCTGCAAGCGACGAACTCGAACAAGTGGCCAGTTAATATGACGCCGTGTGGCCTCGCCCAATGAAATTGGAGACGAGAGCAGAAGGGACGGCGCCTATCACGACCCCACGACGATCTATCTCGCAAGGATTGGCGTGGATGTCGACGGGTGTCTCTCCGGAGCCACCGCGCCATGTCTGAAGAAGGTCGCGGGACGCGGTAACACTACAGCGTTGTATCACTTCTCTGATGTCTACTTGTCTGTAACCTGCTCGCCTCTCCATCCTCAGCCGTGGCTTTCCCCTTTGTTTCTGCACGATATCCTTCTTCGCCACCTACGCCTCTGCGCCCTCCTCGGCCGTCGCCTTCGCTTCCAACTACCTCTGTACGAGATGCGTCGTCAGGCCCGGTAGCGTCGTACCCGGCAGCATCACCGCTCCACAGAACACGATTAGGCCTCTGTGGCTTGCGATGGCGATGGAGGCAAAGAAGGTAGGTACCTATCATGACCGAGACCCTACATGTGCTCGCACACGATTTCCACCGACGCGGGTGCCATGAGCGATACGAACTTCCCCTCTCCCCTCTTCCCGGCGAGGACCGAAACAAGATTGCGAACACGATTGCGAACACGACCAATCCGCGCAACGAATGGCGGTAGTTGATGGGCGGCTAGATTGCGAGAATGGTGGCGGCGGCGAGATACGCATTAGCCGTGATGATCCCCCAGAGACGAGCCAATGCCGTCCCAGAGCATGCTGGGCAGGATCCTACCAAACACCGACGCAGCACTGTCCCAAGTTGTACCTTTGCCGGCCGGCGTGGAGGCGGTGGGGGACGAGCATGTAGAATGGGGAGTTGTCCGATGTCACCGCGGTTCTGTGGTGTGCCGTGTCGTCTGTCGTCTCGACCAGAACTTCCTTCATTCTGGACGCGATATTGAGAGATGCGGATGACGTCAAGGCGTTCCCGCCGGAGAAGAGGGGTTGAAGGTCGAAAGGGCCGAAAATACCCCAGGAGAAGAGGAAGCTTCCAAAGACAGGGGTGAGGAACGCAGGCCGCTCGAAAGCCGCGAGGCTTATCGGCCGTTGTTGACCGGCCTGACCCTTGGGGGGGCAACGCATATGTGACGATCACGCCGGCCGATGAGGAGCATCACTCCAATCATCAGAGACGCCCATCGTAAAGTAGCTCCGAATCCGATACCGTCAAACAGCTCAACCAGCATACTAGGGAATATTACTCCTATGTCTCGGTTAGCGCGCGCGAGCAAGCCACAACTGATGCCACCTTTCTCGCTCGCTCCCCCCTTCTTCACATGCAGGCGATTCGCGATTCAGAGATATGTGCGCATACGGCATGATCTCCCACCGGCTACGATCCCCGAGGCTGATGCCCAGCGCTTCTTCGAAGCACCGTCCTGCAACTACCAGGCCAGAAATAAAGGCGTCGGCAGTGAGACCATCCTTGGAGAAGACGAGTGCCGGCAGGAGGATGGCGTGGTGCCAAAGCCGGCCAGCTGAGACGAGAAGACGAGCGAGGATCCACGAGATCGCTGAGGACGTCTTGATGGGGGATATTCTCCTCGTAGATTAACCGGGACGTCCTCGGCGCGTTGATGAAACCAAGCGAACAGAACTAGGAAGTCCAACCATCGGCCACGGCTAGTCCAGCATAACGGCATTCACCTGGAGGGGCGAATGCCGGCGCAGGAGCCGGTGCCGATACCTTCGTAGTTGGAGACTGCGTATAATAGGCTGGGTGTTGTTTTGTTGCTTGTCAGCCACCGCGTTAATATGAAGACGCCAGTGCCGTCACGGCAGCGAACGGATATGATGCTAGAAACCTACCCATCTTTGTCCTTTCAATACAGACGGATACCATCGTACTCTTGTCCTTCCTTTCGCCCCTTCTCTCGGCCCAGGAAGAGCTGGCTAGGTTACGGTCCGTATATGGATAATGTTAGAAAGGGAATCTCTTCCCAGGTCCGGCATCCTCTTAGCTTCTACGCATCTAGTGACAAGAGATCTCTGTGTTGTTGTTTTTAGAAGACGTGACTGTTCGAGAGGACGGCCTAAGGCCGCTACGATTACCTAAGACGAAACCCCCTCCCCTTTTTTTCTCTCCTACCCTGTGGGTAGCACGATAACTCGAACACAGATCATCCCCGTTCTTGATTTGATTGCGTGTGCCCCGGTATGTTCCCTGCTCTCTAGAAGCCTCGAGACTTGCTTAGAATACTCCACGGGCCGAGTGGATACCTACATCCGATCTCCGAGTCCGTAGGAAAGCGGCAACAACTTGGACCGAGTCCGGATGGTTCTGATTGTGTCTGCCATCTCACCACACTCGCCACAGCGGATTTCCCGATACATCTGAGGCCATTGTTGTCCTCTGATCGACATGGATGTTGTGCGAGACTGTTGTGTGAGACGGACAGTAATATGTGTCTGCTTGCTTTCTCTCCTTTTGGCCATCCAGAACCCCCCCCCCCCTGGACCAACCATCCACACCCGCGCTCATCATGGACGGCTGCCCATTTCTCCTCGACCCAATCACATACCTACGTACATGTGTGGAAGTTGACGCCTCTCCGCATAGAACTCCCCCTCATCTCCGTGTGTGTGAGACCGGTGAGCAAGTGTCTTGTCTGTCCAAAACAAGCTTCTCCTGCATGTCCTGTCTGACGCCGCGTTGCATTTCAGGCGGCGTTCCGCGCCTTTACTTTTACTACCTAGGTACGTCTGTGACGTGTCGTATGTAAGCACCCTCTTTGGCTTCACGACTTTACATGGATTGCACGTCGCCTCTAACATGCCGGCTTCGGCGGGCGGCCTGCTCGTGGAGGAAGATAATATACCTCTACGTACGTACACGCGTACGTGATACTTATCATTGGTAGATGGAGGCAGTGGAGGTGAGTCCTACATACACATACGCCTACATATATGATAACTGTAGGCATATGGCGATGGCGATCATTAAATCTCGCGTGTTTTATTGGCTCTACATCATCTACCATGCCGGCACTGAGGATTGACTGGCCTACATAGTAATCATATAACCGACGCAGTGTCCGATATGCATCGTCCAAGCTGGGATCGTAACCGAGCCGTCTTCTACGTACTGTAGGTGCTATCGATGTTACAGTGGCACACGGCAAGATGCATCCCGCGGAATAGGCAACCGTATCGAGATATACGATATAAAGAGGTCCGCGACCTTCTTGCTTTTCTTTCGAAGGCATCGAGGATGGTGATGCTGTGGCGTGCTTCGTACATGTGGGTGGGCAGGAGACAAGAATCGTACGCCCCTTCAAGCAAACGAGAACTTCATCACATCTCATATTTGCGTCGTATCCGTGTCACGAAGGAACGCCAACGCGATAGGTACTGTCCAGCGAGGGCTTACGGTCGACCGACTCGAATCTGGCAATGATGGCTCGGCGATGAGGCCCTTCCCCCTCCCCCTTTCCCCCCTCCCGTACACGCTGCATGCCCGCTCATCCAGCCATCTACTCATAACCGCCTCGCCAAGTCTGGATCGCAAACGGCGTCCGGTGAAGCAGCAGGTCTGCCCGCTCCAACGCATCCTCCTCCAACAGTTGTCCTAGCTGGGCTCCCGACTCGAGACATGCGTGTTGTCACCTGAATAGGTGCGTGCTGTTGAATCCCGTCCCCAGCGCGTCCGCCTCCCCGCGGCTCGCCCCCTCCCTCACACGTTCGGAGGTGCTTGGCTTTCCTGGCCTCCATGCTGCGCTGCCCAACCCTCCGTCACATCCTGCACGAACTGACCCCGAGCTAAGCTCGAGCGTACGTACACGCAGTGCGAGAGACGAGGGAGGCCAGTGCGAGTCGGCTGTGGTTAGCCTCCAAAATTTCTCGCCCGTATGCCGGGTTTGCGGCGCATCTTGCGGTGTGTGTGTGTGCCCAGGCGTCGTCCGTGCTCTCTCCATCGAAGAAAGCTCGTATGATCTCGCTATACGTGCTATATCTGCCATCGAGGCCGTTCCGCTGACGACGGGAAGGGGCGTCGAGGCGTCCCTCACGGAACTAAGCTGGTGGATCGAGGAGTGGCTGATTGCCATAAGCGTATCAATCCGAAGGAATTCACCAAGATCTTACTGGATCTCCTGCGCGGCGCCTCTGGAGTCCCCAAGGGGACCTGGGACCGAGCTCTGGTGAGACCTGTTCCAGGTTGCCCAGCTGGAGAAAGCCTGGCCTCCAGTGCGTCAAGGCGGTATTCTAAAGTACGCTATGGAATTTTTGTCTCCCGGGAATTAGCACTCACCCTCAGGATAAAAGTGCCTGTCAACTAGAATTATTATAATAGTACTATTCTGCGGAACTAGAATCCTCGTCACAAGAGGTACTTGGGGTAACGAATTGCGGCCCTGAGGCCCAACCGAAACTGCTGGATGGCAGCGTCTGCTTGCGATCTGCCGGTGCCTGCTTGCTTATTTCTTATTTGTGGAAATACCGCGAGTTAAGACTTCTGCGTTGATCTCATTGCTAGCGCTTACAACTACGCTGCGCTCGGCTTACAGAAGAATATCTTCACCTCGTGGGGCTCGGCCCTGATACGCTTATTCCCTGGCCCTTTGATGTAGCCGGCTATTGTTAGCCAGCAGGGCCTAATGAGCCCCAAGGCGTGATTATCGGCGGCCTATGAGACTGAGCTGCCGCTGGGTTCCCCGTGGTTAGAAGGAAATTTCTCCATGCCTTGGCGGGGTGTAAGGGTAGGCAATCCGACGAGTCAACATCGGGATGTTCTTGATAATACCCCAAGTGACGGCGGATCCGTCGACTTGTGTTGAGGCTACTCGTGCATATGATATTTAGCCAAACCCCGCCACACCGTCCTCTTCGTAGTTGGACGGTGGTCCGGGTCCACGGTGTTGGGTAAACTGATCCCATATAGGGCTCCTGGTTGTCCCCAGTAAAGCTTCGCAAATGTCACTTTCGGTTTCTTCTGCCTCGGGCCGAACTCAACTTGCTTCGGTTTTGTCTTCTCTCTTGGGGGCTTCAGATATATCAGGACCTAGGGCTGGGTAGAACCTCTGCTAGTCAATCGATAGTTTCTAGGATTAAAGTCTCGAATAATATCCCCCGCTTCGACAACACTTCTATACTCATGTTTTGCAACGTGTGAAAAGTGTCCCTAACCATACCGGCCCGAAGCTGGCGTCCCGAAGCTGGCATCTTGTATCACCAACGCGCATATTATCAAAACTGCATTGGTATAGGCTACCCGGTACACTGCTGTCATGAAAGTTAGAGAGGGATACAAAGCCTCGACAGAGTCTCGCGCCCTGCAGACTATGTCGTCTAGGATTGCGGGAGAGTGGCCTTTTTTCTTAGTCGTCGACACTGTCGCTCATTAAGAAATCTTTTGAGACGAGCGATGTTGACATCCACATCAGGGGCTAAAATCTCTAGGACCTAAGGGAGATTGAAGTAGCATAATCCGTGAGTGATGTGCATATATTCAAAGTGGCCAGAATCGCATCTTACTCCATATCCGTCGTCAACTGAGTTGCCAACCTATTTCCGTTTAGTATAACACCTATTGCTTACTTAATGAGGATACAATAATATTGTGGATAGTCCGCCGTGCACGCTATCCTTTCACACCTGGGTAATCATTACATGCCTGGTAATACGGCTTATATTATGTTAGGTATAGTACGAGGGACTGTCTGGAGTAATTGCTTGGTTGTTGCTACTAATACTGTCTTGAGATAAGACCTACCCAAAGTCTTCCCGCTTCCTAATAGAGTGAACTAATAGCGACCTTGGCATACTGCCAAGCTTGATATGATACAAAGGAGCAGCCAGGGGCTGGCTATTAAATCTAAGCAATATTAACATAGCCATTTGTCTAGATCGACCCTGACTGCAGGTTTACAAAATCACAAACTCGGCATCCACGGTGGGCTCAGCTGGGGACGCAAGTTTTGTCAGACTCGATCTGCTTAGCTCAAGACGTACACAGTGGAGGCCATCGTTGATGTATTGTACGTCGACGTCGGTATTGGACTTTCTTTGATTCTCACAAACCCTATTGTCATACTAAAGATTAACATCCGTCGCGGCGCTCAGGGCTGCAAGACGCATTCTCACGAGACACCTGAACTAGGGATACTTATAAGCCAGTCTATGGTAGCCATTTCTACATACTCCTTCGCCTACGGAGTGGTTGCCTTCGTCTTCAAGGGTACGAACTAGGTTGGCAGGGCTATTTCCAGGGCTAGTGAGTTCGGCCATTATGCACTCGGAACGGGTTATGGTCCAGGTAATATGGGGGCACCCTTTGTTAAGGTCGAGCATATTACGGCAAAGCATCCCCACGAGTGGTACATCATTCTTGCACTGCCTTCCTCTGAGTATTTGCGCTGACGATGGATTTGGTCACTAGCAACCCATGGCGACAAGAAATTAAACCGCATGTCATATGGGATGGCCATGTCCTCCGGATTGTGCGAGAGCTCTACGGTAAAGAGTCTCTAGGCGTAATTAAGTCTGCATAGCCGCTTTAGGAAGCCGGCTTTAGGATGCATCTGCAACGGACTTTAACAGACATCTACATGCATTCGCTTCGCAAGGGAGACAATTTGACTCGAGCGAGTCGTCTCGAGGTGTGTGCGAAGACGGTACGCATCCAATCTACTTACTATCGTTATACTTCCATTGAGCTCTCCGATTGACAAAGTACCAGACATACATGGCATGGATGGTCTCGGATTCATACAGGCATGTGGCGGCTGGCTTGATAAGTGAGACGAAATTCTATTGGAAAAAGCTAGGTATCACATAGGACGTTCTGGCTTTACATCTCGCCAGCTCGTCGATTAATCGGACAGCGCAGGTTGAGCTCGCGACGAGACCCTGCGACGAATGGGAGGCAACCCGGCTAGCGAGGCGGCGGCTGTCGACGCTTACGTCCAGAAGACACGCCTCCCGGAGTACACCTGCATGGGATCGATACGTCTGTATTATCTTGTTGCCTGTCTCACCCTGCCGGAGTATACCACCGCCGATCTCAACAGAGATAGATACCGCCTCGAAGCCGGCACGGTGTGCGTCATCGACTAGGCAAGCCTCAAGACGGAAAGCGGCATATGGAGCGCCCATATTCCGCCGCGAGGCGAGACCAACCAAGCCTCTTTCCGGGTTGAGCTTTTGGCCCTCTCACCGACACAATGCTGGTCGGATATGATATGATACGGCGTCGGCGGTTCTCAATACATGGACGGGAACTTCACCAGCATCGTCGTAAAGGGGTTCCTCGTGGAAGTATCGACTCACTACAAACTACGGAAAGCCGATGAGAGCCTGACGGAGAGCTGGGACATAGCATAAGTGCAGCCGAGAGAGGGCAAGTTCGGGGTCGTGCTGAAGCGGGAAATCCGATTTCGTCCCTAATCCCGGCAACATGTGCAACCCTCCCTGCCAAGCCAGCTGTTATGTGCTCGGCCTCAGGTTAAGACGGCGAGTTGTCGGTCACGTCTAACCTGGGATCTAAGCTAGGAAGCTTGCATGGAATCACTATATGCTCGAGCGGCCATGATCCAGGTTTGCATTTGGAGTAGAATGCCATCGAATGGGGACTTATCGGCGGCAATATCTGAGTATCCCAACTGGTGTGCAAACATGGCCGGAGTTACACGGCACCAATACAATCCCAGATCTTACAGAGCACTACAACCGCACATATTTTCACACAACGTGTTCCGGAGATCACATACACTGGGCTGCATACATGGTGGTGAGCGGCTACGGTCTGGTGTAGTATCAGATCTAGAGACCACATGACGCCACAATATCGAGCAGAATCCCGACCTACCTACTTCATAGGACATATCCGACCTCTATGGATGTCTTGCTGGGAGTGGCATTTCCGTTTGTCCCGACGTGGCTGCTGACATGATTGGTTTGTTGAACAGCAAAAAGGTGCACTGTGGCTGAAGGACACGGGAAGCCCCTAATGATTCACGACAGACAGCCATGTATCCTTGGCCATGTAGAGAGCCGATGCAAACGGCCAGGTATCGAAGGAGATACGGGGGAGAGGCCGCGTCGAAAGAATATAAATTCTACGTCTCCCGTCTCCTCCGTTTGTCGAAAGCCCCCCTCTCTCCTCAGCATGGCGCCCACGACACTTCCCACTTTAATATAGGCTATAGAGAGTCCTATAGCCTCTCAGGGGCAGCCACAGCAATGGACAACGTACTAGCCATCCCCCCCACGATCGTTAGCTTCCGGGAAGAGAAATACTTCCCTTCTTTCTCAGACCTTCCCGTCGAGAGCAATCTCGACGCTAATTTCTACACCTCGGTCGACGGGTCCTTCTGGTTTCCGGCGAAGCACTGGTGCTTCCTAGCCGAGATCGTCGACTCTGTGAGGTTGGTCCGTCTCAGGGTCTACGTTCGTGACCGGGCCGGAAGGACCATCCAGATAGCCTTCCACACGGAGGATCGAGGCGAGACAGTCCCTCCCCCCCTCGTCCAGAGGGGAAACACGGTCGCCATATTCTACGCCCAGCAGCACGCGTTCATGGACTCTTCGTTGGGAATACGGCAGGAAGAGCTCTCTAACATCAAGGTGAGAGTTGACCGTGCAGCCATACTTCTGAGGGACTGGCGTTGACTCGGCAGTAGATCTTCCCCTATAAACATGAGGATATCCTGCAACTCAGCGATAGGGTCCAGGCATATTCAGGCACGCAGGACGGAATGCGAGTCTGCCACGGGTGCGACGCAAAGAGGGAGACGGCACTGAGGTGTGTCAGCTGCGGGTATTTCTGGTATTGCAACCAGGTGAGAACCCTCTCTGCCCCCTCCTGCCCCCTTTTCCCCTTGCTTCTTCGAAAAGCAACAGAGAGACAGTTACCGACTTAGACGTCTAAGGACTGCCAAGCCACGAGCTGGCAAGAAAAGGGTCATAAGCGCGACTGCGAGATGTTGCGAGACCCAGACCTTCGCATGATGTTCCAGATTCAATGGGACGGGCACGATGGTCACAGAATCTTTCCCCCGATGTAAGAGAAAAAAAGCATCAGGGACAAAACCCGGGGAGAACCGGAGGACGCGTCGTTTAATCATAAGAAAAGCTCAACGATGGCGCAACCTTCACACCCGTCCCCCTGGCCGACGAGGTCAACTCGACCACACACAGAGGGGACGGTGACCTGGGAACGCAGGAACTACAAGTCAGCAAAGGATAATATAAGTGAGCGCGCGTTTTTTTTTATTACAGTGATTTTTTTATGGTGGATTCGCTCCACCAAGGAACTCAAGTTCTGTTACGGTTCTTCCGTGCACACATTACTTGGATCACCAACGGCCCAATACAAGTCAGGGCGAGTTTCTTTCTCCTTTTTTTTTCACAATGCCTTTTAACGGCGGACTTGCTACGTCGAGGAATTCGAAGTGTGTTACGGTTTTTTTTTCAAGTGCGCACATATTACTCAAATCACCAACCGCCCGATATGAGGGCCAGTTTTTTTTCCTTCAGAGGTTTTTCTACGGAAGTGCGCACACATCAAACTACGAACGGCCCGACATACGTGGGCCGGTTTTTTTCCCCCAAACAATGTTTTTTATGGTGGACTTGTTCCATCGAGGAATTCAAGTGTGTTACGGTTTTTTTCAGATGCGCACACATTACACAAATGACCAACGGCCCGATATACGAGGGCGAGTTTCTTCTTCTTCTTCACAAGTGGTTTTTTATGGTCGCCCGAGATGAAGGCCAGTTTTTTGTTTTCCATAGTTGTTTTTTTACAGTGGACTTTGCTCCATTCAAGACTTCAATTTTGTCACGGTTCTTTCTCAGTGCGCACACATTAGATTATTTACGAACCGCCGGCGCTCTACTCTCGATCCTTTGGGAAGTGGGGATTGAAGCCTTTCATTCAGGGGTTAAACGACACCGGCTCTCACAATAAAAATTCGTTTAGGTATTGGTTTGATCAGTCTGTTTTCAATATATACATACATCCCCATTCCATCCATAATACAAGTGTTGTGCCCAAAAACTCACCACGTAGTTCCAGTAGGTAGGTATGTCGGTTCACCTTAGACGCGGAATGGCAATGCCACCTCGCCTGGAGCATTGTAGGTCGGAACCTTCATGTCTAGAGCCTCACCCGTGTACCCAAGATCCTCGGCGGTTAGCACCGCGCACTTCTCTCCAATGAGGAGAGCAGTCGAGTATCTAGAATGGAAAGTCAGCAAGACATCCCGCCGCCAGCGGACTGATAGAACGCCGTTTTTATCATGCACTTACGTGTTGCATCCGACGTTGTCGGGACAGATGCTGAGATCAGCGACCTTGAGTCCCTGCACGCCGTGGACGTTGAGACGTTCGTCAAGAACACCGTGCTTGACGATGCTGTTGCCTTCCCTCGGAGCCATGGAGCAAGTCTAGGGTGTAATGTGAGCATGCTTCGCTCTCTGCAACGGTGAAGACTAATAGAGTACTTACGCCCAGACAGTGCCAGGTGCTCTCGACGTGCCTCTTAACCCACTCCTCCACCGCTTCAATATCCCTCTTGCCGTACTTGAGGTCCTCGCGCACCGAGGTCCTGTTGCTGCTCAGGATGTTGACTTCCGCTTTCCTGGACGGCGGGGGGTTGAAGACGCTCCAGCTGCCGTGTTGGAGACCGGCGCTTAAGTTGCCGGGGAGCGCGTAGCGCTGGGTCGTCTCGAGGTCTAGGTCGTTGGCACGCGCAGGCGAGTCGTAGTCGAAGAAGGGATGCATGGCTTGGACCTCCCCGGCATAGGCGTCCATGCGGCGAGCCGTCTCCCGCGACTTGATGTAGCCCCAAACCATCGGCGCCATGTCGCGCTCGTCGTTCATGAAACCCGGGTCGAAGTCCGGGGTCTCGTAAGGGTCGGCCGACTTAACGTGAATGAAGCCCCGAGAGAAGGGGTACTCGAGGAAGTGGAACATGGTGAAGAAGTTTCCGGGGGGCCTTGACAACTGGTGAGCATATCATCTGTGCTGCGGTGCTCGGGTTAGGGGCAAGGGGTACTCACATAAGCATGTGGTCGCCAAACCAGCCAGAAATGATGGAGTAGTGCATCACCGGCTTGTCGGGCTTGTTCTTGAAGTATGATTTCCAGCCGTCGTTGAAATGCGGCGTCGGCCAAGACTCGAATTCCTTCAGTTCCTCCTCGGTAGGGCGAATTTTCACACCAGCGTCGATACCGTTCGTAGAGAGCGGCCCGGTTCCCTTCAAGGCCCACTCATCAAACACCTCTGAGATATGGTTAAAACTTGTGATCGGGCAGGCGAATGGTTATCGTGTCTGTGCTTACTCTTCTGGATCTCTGGGTCACCCCGGACGAAATCGTCGAAGCTCTCGACATCGGGCTTGGCACGATATACCGAGAACGTCAGGTAATGGTCCTGGAAGTTGAGCCCGACGCCAGGCAGATTGACGATAGGTTCAACACCGGCCTTCTTCAGCTTCTCGGGGTCGCCTAGAGTACGTCAGCTATCTATATGAAGCCAGGTTTCCGGGGTTTTGTACATACCAATACCAGATCGCTGGAGGATTAGTGGGGAAGATAGGGTGCCCCCAGAGACGATGATCTGCTTGCGAGCTTTGAAGGTGCGCGTCTTTCGTTGATTGGGGTGTAGTGGCTTGGTAGGCCTTGGTTTGAGTTAGATTCCTGTCTTCTTTCCTGGGTGATACTCTTGATAGGGAGTCGTACACTGTCTGAACGGCCACGGCCCTGCCGTTCTCGATGATAACCTTATCTACCTTGGTGTTGCAAGCAAGATACAAGTTGTCATGGACAGCACGAGTTGAGTGGACGTAGGCATGGGCGCTGTCGCTGCGTCTACCGGTCTAAGGCACGCAGGCAGTCAGCGTCAGACCCGGATGAGACACGGAAGGGGTAGATAACTCACGTCGCGATTAATCCATTTCAGCCAGTGTTCGGCGCCGTGGCCAGTGCTCAGATCCTGCAGATCGTCGACGATGGGAATGTCTTGAGACTCTGCCGCCCTCAGGAAATCATCCTTGATAGGATATGTACTTCTTCGAGTTAACTTCGGGGGTCTACGACCCGAGATGATAATCTCCTACTTACTAGTTCCCGAAAGAAACCTTGATAGGCCCTTCAAACCCGTGGACGTCCCTTCGCCGGTTAGCTGTATCTCGGGGAACATTAGTCTCATAGGACTGACTTGTTGTGACAGGCCCGCTGATATGTCTCATGTTTCTTCATAAGCGGGAGAAGTTCCTTGGTCGTCCATCCCTTGGCCTGGAAGTCATCGTAGTCCGAGGCGGAGGCGCGCGTGTACATCTAGAACCCATGAGCTTGACGAAAGCTGGGAAGAGCCTCTACCCTCTTCCACTCACCAGGAAGTTGATACTCGAACCGCCTCCCAAGATATGGGCGCACGGGACGACGGCCTTCCGTCCCGCCAGCCACTTGGACTGACGACCTTCATAGAAGGTCGCAGTTTTCGAGTCCAGTTTCATGTTACGGGGGTAAACCCCCGGCCTGAAAACCCATGGGTTGTTCAGGTTACTCTCTCCGGCTTCGATGAGAAGGACCTTGAGGTTGCGATCAAGATTCGCGAGACTATAATATTACATTGTAAGTCCAGGGACGCAGTGACAGGAAAGCAGAGCTTGGGAACAAACCGGCCAGCCACTACACATCCACAGCTGCCACCACCGCATACGATAATGTCAAACTCTTCGGGTAGGGGACTCATGCTGTCGTCTTGTTGCTGTTGCCTCTGATCGCGGCCGAAGATTCTAGAGAACATGATGTAGAATCGCACAGAGGGGTGCCGGTGGCCTTCTTATGCTTCGAGGAACTGGCGGAAAGGATCTAGAAATACACAATGAAAGAGGGAAAACCGTTCAAGGGGGGAGGAGCTAAAGCAAGCCCCCTTGAATAACCCGCAGGTGGCTGCCAATTATTATGACTTCACATCGGTCTAGACGCGCATTCAGGCTCAACCGCTGGCTGCTCGCTGTCGTCGATAGTCCGTTCTCCCGGGACCATGTTTACTAACAGTCGCGGTCATCTGATAGTTTCCAATGTAACATGTCTGCATTCCTCCTAACCGCCGAGCGGCTTTGGTCGGTTGGCACGCGGAACAAGGTCAAGCTGGGGAGGCAATCCACGACTCCAACCGATATCAAACGTCTCGTCCTGCCCGATTGAGACTTACTTACGCAACCGGGATTTCTGTTCGAGCTAGCTATGTAGGCCACCCACCCCCAAGCATCGCGTCCAGCCTATCCACGTCACCAATTCCGGTCGTTACCAATCGCGACCCGGGTAACCCCATGCTGACCTCCACGGGGCTGTATATGAGAGGCAGCTAGCGATGTAGCGTAGTGGCGGCATCTCGGTGAGGCTCGGGAAGTTGGTTCTCCACAGCCTCGTGGTCGCCCTACCCCTGGGCCCTCGTTTTCCTGGATGATTCTACATATCTCCTCCAAGCCATTGGCCACGACTTAAGTGCTCTATGCAGCTTACATGCACGCCGGATACTGGAATGCGGGGGTGGAGTCGGCGTAAAGCCAAATAGCCGTCGAGCTACACGATACCCATGTTTCCCCCGCAGTTTTCAGGGGTGGGTGTGATGGTGTAGTTCGTGCCGTCGTGTCCATTCAGAGCTCGCTGCATGGGGAGCTTGCCCTAACGGCCTCCTTTCCACGACATCCAGTGTCGACGCGCGCTCGCCCGGTTCACCACCAGAGTGCGTGCCTCCAGTAGGATCGGGCGGCTTTCCCCTTCACCTAGGCCGTGGCGGGTCCAGTATCCGTGACTCCCGAGATGTTGCTTATTGTCTTGGGGAAAGTGAGGAGTCGGGCGTGTCTAGCTCGATGGCCTTAGGCCGTGGGCCCAGGGCGTCGCCCATTGGTTCGATATAGACGATCGGCGGCTTGGGGCTGAGCATCTCGACGAGGTCGAACTGCCGATAGGACTGTCCTCTAGTAATCTTACCGATGGAACTCGGGGCGGGCAACTCTCGACCTAATGCGTTCGATCGCTGCTCCTCGACGAGGGGAAAGTTGGAGACGTTCGACCTCTCACACTGCAGCAGGCAACCCGTGATGGTTCCCCCCGACCGATTCAAACGATATCCCCTCCACCACCGGACCCGAGACTCTTATGCCTCCCAGTTTTGTCAGCAAGCACTTTTCGGCACGTAGCAGGACGGATAGACGACTCGAATGCAGCGGGGGGGGGGGTTGTTCTTCTGCCCCTACATATAAGTGACGGATCGTCGCGACAACGAAGGCACTTGGCTACTTTGAGGATAGGATGGCGGTTATACTCCTCATGCTAAGCTGCTAGCCCCCTCCGACCTCTCCATCCATCCCGCGTGGCGTAAGACGGCGACAGACTAGGCGTGAGATTTGATGAACGACAATTGATGGGGCACTCGTGGGTCATGTGCCCCCTTCCGAGCGCGGCGGCAGTTGATGCTGTCTGGGCAAGTTCACGGCGTCTACGTAGTGATACTCTTATATCGGATTACCGCGAAGCCCGGTATTATGGGGGGTTTCGAGACGACGTCGGAGGCAGCTTTGTCCAGAAGAGCAAGGCGAGTGCATGCCCGTGCCGGCCAATCGGGGCCGTCGTCGTCATTGTTATCCCCCACGTTCTGCCGTGTCCAGATAGACGTGATAGTTATACGATAAGTCGTTGGTGGCGTATCTGTTCCTGTATCCGACTTGAACGAGGCGTCGTATAACATATGATACTTCGCGCAAATCAGAGGCGCTCTCTTCCGCTATTCGTCCAACTTGGCTGATCGGCAGTTATCTCCCTTCCGACTCGATCGGGGCATAGCCACTGGATCGAAGAGACACTGCAACATGTGGGCGCCTCCAGGGTAGCGAAGCCGTATGGCTAATATCCGTATGGTGACATGCCGATGTCTCGAACACCGGTCGCTCTGTCGACGCCACATGCAAGCTAGGGACAGCTTACAAGTCACATCGACCCTTGCGCCGGTGAAAGGATCGTGCCTCGCCGCCAAGGATGCTTCCGGCTGCCCCATTCCTTCGTGTGTACATTATACGAGTCTACGATATGCTATATGTAGTTGTAAATCTCGACCTCCGCACGGGAGAAAACTCGGTATCAAATTCACAGGTTAACAAATACCCCTGGTGATATGACGGTACTATCTCTGCGCAGCTCCGTTAAGTCATGGCTAGGCTTGCGGGCCATATGGGTCTCCGCGAGTCATTCCATACGTCGGATGTCAACGATCGTGAATATCCTGTAGACGCATATTAGCATTGAGGGGCATGTTAGCTAATGCATCCACGAGACGAGACTGACGTAAGCTACCGTTTCCCCTTAGGCAATGGTTACTAATAAAAGGAGTTCGTGCGGAGTACGACAACCTGATGTGCTTATAGCTAGCTCCTCAAGCCAAGTCTAGAATAGAAAGACGGAATTCCGTAGCTAATACTGGCAGAACAGGGCGACGGGCTTTCGTGAAGAAGCTAATAGAAGTTGTTTAGAATGCGACTAGGCGCGTAGTGCCATCTTGGCAAGGTCTGGGGAGGAGAGGGCGGATTAGGGGCCGCTGATAATAGCCAACAGCCAAGAATCATAGGTAGTCGGTATAATCCCACTCTTACTCCAGCACCAACGAGGCCTCGCCCGGAACTCTCTGTCCTGTACCACGGCCCATTATATACCTACGGTGGTTAGGCGTGCTACTTGGAAATCCTACGTGGTTAGGTAAAACTTCGAGTCCCCCGCGATCTAGAGTTCTGCCGGATATCCATCTGCCGATCATGACATACACATCGTGCAGGATCTCTTCAAAGTAGCCATTCCTGTATTCGTATCAGGAAAATCGCCCTATACTAAGATCAGCTCGCGTGGTCAATAATCTGGGGTATTCTCCACTTGGCTGCCGAGCCTAGACTGTCATGGCTAGAATGGTGCCATGAAGTTATCTACCACGGACACGTTGAATTCGCCGATCGAAGGCAACTTTAAACCTGATTCTTTGATCTCTCCCTCACTCTCCTCTCTTCTGTCTCCACTCATCCCTCCTCTCTAGGTTGATACGTACGACCTAACCCATCAACATGTTGAGACACTATTAAAAAGTCATGCGCTCGGGTTAAATAAAGGAGCCCGTATTTAACAGCGCCTAGGTGTATGTAGTTCTAGCGCCGAGTCTTCCGATGCCTGAATACCCAGGATATTGGAGCTAAGTTATCTGGTGGCAGGGACTATATGTTCCCGTGCCATCTCGAGGCCTCGTAAGATGGTCTCCGGGCTTTCCGACCAAAAGAGGGCTAAGGGGAAAGATGGAATCTTACGCTGCAGCGTTACGTTAGTGTAGATACCTAACCGGGCTCTTGCCATGGAACTTGTAGCAGTAGAGGGATTGAAGAACCTAGGCTTTCATACGGATCAGAAACATAACAAGCATTGATGGAGTAGAAATAACACAGTGAGACAGTATTGTTACGGCATCCACGGCATCCTCCGACTTCCGATACCGACTACGGAGCTTATATAAGCCTTATAAGCTTCGATGGGAGATTAGCTTAGGCTCTAGGTAATTCGCTTAGTTCAGGAGACAGATAGATAGCTTCATCACCACATAAGCTTTTTCCCATTACGAGTCTCGTCCATTAGTCGTGATAAGTATAGTGTCTCGTATATGCAGAGATATGTAGCGAGATGCTCTAAGATCTGATTTTGAACGTCTAATTATTTAATATCTCGCAAGGTGGGCAGGGCAAGTTATCGAGTTAGGTTGTTGGGTAGTCGACGTTCCCGAGCATAATAAGCTCGTTCTGGGTCATCACTCAGTGATGAAGAACTAAAAATATTGTGTATTGTAGTGGTGCGGTGGGACTAGGCCACGTAGGCCTTTTAATACGTAAGTATTTATATTGATCTCGTATCTATATTTTTAGTAGTAACACTTCAACCTTAATATACCTTCGTAAAGTACTTATCGTTCTTATTACTCGCAAATGTTACTTACAGCTGGCCAATCAACGACTTGCAGCTTTTTACAGCGGTTATTCTGTTTGATCGGCACTTGGCCAGCTACTGGCAGCTGTAGCTGTTTCTGTTCCCATCCGGTCCCCCTACAGCGTGTCGACCCTGTTCCTCTTCAACATTCTCAGAGCCCGGAATCTTATTTACCTGGGTATCTCTTGTGATGGACACACCTCACATCCTAAGTATTATGTCTTTATATATTGGGTGGGCACACTGTGGGGGGACCGGATGGGAATAGAACAGCTACAGCTGCCGGCGACTGGCCAAGTGCCGATCAAACAGAATAACAGCTATGAACAACTGTAAGCTATGGAAGGCGCTTTTAGGAAGGCATATTGGGAAATGAGTGAATTCAACCTGGTAGCCTAAGGTGGTGAATGTAGGTTGAAGTGTATACAATGAAAATATGAATGCGAGACCCATTGTGCTTTTTGGCAGGTTCCTTTCGTGGCTCCGCTGCCCTATTGAAGGCATACAAAGCGTGTTGAAAGCTGAACCTAGTTGATCAATTGAAGGTGTAAAAACTAAACTGCTAAAAGGCTTAAATACAGCGTTTTACGAAGAGTTAGCTGTTGCGTGTTTTTCTTCAATCCGACCAATCACAGGCCTCCATTCTGGATGCCTGAGGATCTACACCATATGAATGCTCATCAAAAGGCCTACGTGGCCTAGTCCGGCCGCACCACTAGATACAATACAATACGCAGGAGTAATAAGTTGCTGGAGGGTAGCCCATGATCCTTTATCCTCGGCGGTGCCTGACTCGGTGAAGCATCTAGGTTACGAGCAGTGCCCCGAAGGATCAGCCTAATGGGGAGAGTGAATTGGTGGTGCTGACGGGTAGGTACGTACCCTTTTTCATTTGCCAGCGCTGCCTGGAGCTCATCGCCCCATCTCAGCCTGAGCAGCCAGCTTGTCCCTCTTCACTTTGTGACCCGAACAGATCCCTCTCTCTCTCTCCTCTCTTTGCCTAGGAGTAAAAAAAAAAGAGAAAAGAAATAGGGAGTATCCACGCGTCAGATGATAGACAGGTTGATACACTAGTCAACCCGTTCGTCAACCGGAAACAAAACTACCTACCTGCCCTACATCCCTGCCCGCGTTCTGAGCCATGGGCAAGCCCTCAGACCACGAAGCGGGGCCCCACGACCTCTCGCTGCACAGCAACGTGGGTCAGAGCTCGACGAGACTCTACCGCGACGACGGCGACGATGATGACGAGCAGCCCTTCCTCGACGCCCCGGAGCCCGCCATCGACGACCTGCCGCCGAACTACAGCGACGCAGTCGAGGCGTCGGGCGCCTCGTTTGCGCCGCCCACGGCCCCGGCCATGGCGCCGCGGCCGAACATCGGCGACGCCTCCTTCTTCGTCAAGGACGCACGGACGGGCGCGCTGCGGTGGGTGTCGCGGCCGCTCGAGGACCCGGCGCGACTCGAGGCCCACATCGAGCAGCTGGCGGCGCTGCCGCCGCGGCCGTTCGTGCGCCTCGTCGGCAGGCACGAGGAGGCGCCGCGCTACAGCAAGCTTGAGACGGAACGCAGGGACGTCACCGACTTCGACGTGTGGGTCGAGCTGACGCCGTACCTGTATGCCGACGCGACGCACCGGCGGGGCTGGCGCGAGCTGCGCACGGTCGAGAACGGCGAGAAGGCGCGGCGCGGCACGGTGCTGCGCAGGCGCGCGCCCGGCGCCGCGCGCCGCGCCGCCCACGGCCTCGAGGCCGGCGCCCCGCCCAAGCCGACTCTGCGCGAGTGGTGCCACATGTACAGCGCGAGCCCGGCGGGGCTCAAGGTGTTCGCGCTGCGGCGGCGCATGGTCGGCTTCAACGAGGCGCTGGTCAAGCGGCGGCTGCAGACGCTCGTGCGCGACACCAACTACCGCGGGCACCTGACGGTGAGCCTGGTGACGGAGGACGCGCTCGTCGAGGTGTACAACGAGGCGCGGACGAACCGGTGGCGGCTGACGGCGTGGGTGTGGTGGGTGTTCACGCTGACGCTGCTGTTCCTCTTCTCGTGGCCGTACCTATGGCTGCGCACGAAGCGGTGGGAAGTGGTCTCGGCCGACTGGCACTTCTCGCGGACCGACGGCGCCGGCGCGAAGCAGTACGTCACCATCAGCGAGGAGCAGTGGTATAACCTCTGGGGCCGGGCCATCTGCAAGGCGGTGCTGAAGAGGCGCCGGGGCATGCTGGACCAGTCGGACCTGCGGCGAGCGCAGGAGCCGGACCCGACGTTCGTCAGTGGCAACGCGGCCGTCGGCGAGGCCGTCGACACTTTCCTAGCCAGCATCCACGCCATGAACGAGGTCAACCGACACCTGGGCTGGGGCGGAGACTGTTAAAAACATTCTCCGGAAGCGCTTCGCCGTATATCAAGATATTTCTGGCCCGTCTGTGCTATCGCTCTCGTTTGCTTCGCATGTTGGTTTCTTCTCGGTTCATTATGGGAGACTGTCGCTCTTCTTACTGTTATATTGGGGAAATGGTGCATTACGACGCTGCTTCTATGACATATTACCCGACAATTAATATACACAGTATTTCATAAAGGATCCCCTCCCGGATCGTCTCAGTGCTTTGATCCCGTAGAACATAGTAGAAAATTAGCACGACGACAACGGCGTCCGGCTTATTCGTGCCTGCAGGTCGAGGTTCGCTTCGGCCTCTACTCTCCTTTTCTAAAACCCTGGCGTGATTCCTCGCGGAGGCCTCGGAAAACGAAATTCAACTGCTTATTAAAGACATATCTACTATTTCAAAGCAGTAATCGCACTATAGTATGCAGTTGACAGTGTTTCTGGTCTCTTACCAAGCTCGATATTGGCGCTTGGCATGTCGAAGACCATTTGCCGAAAAAGGAAATCGAAGTAGGACGCCCAAGTTAGGGCGGCGCTGGCCACACTGTGGTGTATCATCGGGTCTCTGCCGTTACGGCTCTAATTCTGTTGGTGATACCGTATGGAATTGCCTATGGGCACTATGCATACCTAGTATGTAGGTTCACGACCGGTGGCATACCATGGGCACGATTTCTAATGATTTTGAGGCGCGGGGCTGATACCTACCTCTATATAAATCTACCGATCGCCTCATACTGAGCCAATACGAGGAGATCGCTCTGCACACCGCAAAGCAACATCTTACTATTAACTATTGAAATCTGCGCGCCTGGTCCACAGACTACCTACCATGGCGCCCATCCGCGTCGCCCTCATTGGCCTCTCCTCGTCGGCAAAGACCTCTTGGGCAGCCGAGGGCCACCTGCCATACCTTCTATCCCCGCGGGGAGCGTCTCACTACGTGATTGTAGCGTTACTCAACTCGAGCATCTCGGCCGCCAAGGCAGCGCGGGACCATTTTAACCTACCCTCGGGCACGAAAACATACGGAGACCCAACCGAGTTGGCTTCTGACGCGGACGTCGACCTCGTCGTCTGTTGCACCCGGGTCGATACCCACGCGTTGACGACAGGGCCCTCGCTGCGGGCGGGGAAGGCCGTGTTCATCGAGTGGCCGCTCGTCGAGAACTACGAGGAAGCTATCGCCCTGACACAGGGTGTTCCCCTCGACAACAACATCATCGGACTCCAAGGGCGCGTGTCGCCCATCGTCCTCAAGCTCAAGGGGATACTCAGGTCGGGGCGCATCGGGCAGGTGTTGAGCAGCGATGTGCGTGCGTACGGAAACCTCTTTCGGAGGGACGCCATGCGGGAGGGCCTAGCCTACTTTGCGGATCGCAAGGTCGGGGGCAACGCCGTCACCATCTCGTACGCGCACGCCATCGACTCCGTGCACGAGACCCTGGGGGAATTCGCGTCGTTCCAGAGCCGGATGCAGATCCAGCGGCGGACGATCGCGATCGATGGCGAGGGCGGTGGCGGCAGCCAGCCGACCACGAGGAAGACGCAGACGGACGTCCCGGATCTGCTGGTGGCGCACGGCAAGCTGGCTCCAGGGAAGGCCGACGTCGCCGAGGAGGCCACGCTGTCGTTTTTCTACCGCAACGGCCCGCAGTTCAAGGGCGCGCCGGGGTTCGTGTGGACGATCAACGGCGCGGCGGGCGAGATCATGGTGAAGGCGGCAAGCCCGTACCTACAGTACGACGCGCACAGTGGGCCGATCGAGATCCGGATCCACGATCACGCCACCGACGAGGTGATCGAGGTGCCGTGGGACTGGGAGGCGTGGCAGAAGGAGCTCCCGAACCGCGCGAGGACCGTGGCGGTATTGTACGAGCGGTACGCGCACTGGCGAGAGAGCGGCGAAGGGGGGACGCGGGATTGGCCGGGGCTAGGCGACGCCGTGGTGAGGATGAGGGAGCTCGACGAGGTGTTCAGACAGTACGACGCGCAGAGGGGAGAGTGAGGGCGAGAGTGTGTATCCCTCTCTCATATCTCTCTCTCTCTTATCGGTTGTACGCCGGCCACTGCGCCGGCCGAGGATTCCACTATGGTATTGTCGCTCCGTCCTGGTCGCACGTCGCGACGGCGCTGCCCAATGATATGACAACGCCTCGGGGGCACTAGGTCTTGGCGTGATCCAAGCACCCGCAGCCTACACCTAATCCAGGCCTCGTCCGTCGCATGGGGCGATATCTAGCGTAGGTCGGTCGGTCAGTCGGTCGGCCAGTTGGTCGTTAGGTAGAGTCTCTCCTCATAGGTAGGTGGCGGGCTGCTCAGTAGAGAAGGCATGTAACTCGGCGTGGCGTTACCTATACACACACGTACCTACATGATGCCTCAACCCGTACGACTTTGGCTTCCCACTCGATCCCTTCAGCTTAGGTGCCGAATCGTATACACACATGGCTGCTAGTTGTTTCACAGGTAAATGCCGCCGAGGCACCCCGAGCACCTCGGTAACTGTAGATACTAGGGACGTGATGCGGGATATCAGGAGGAGGTATCTCTCTCTAACAATGACTACCTACTTCCACCTAGGTACAACTCCTTGGAGATTGGCGTGGCTGTGTGCACCAGAGAGGTGGGAAGAAGAAGCCCGCCAATATCCTCTCCGGCATGTGGATGTAGGTACACACACCTGTACGCCATCCACGTTGTCGCCTTAGCCCGTGGTATCTGAATTTGCCAAGGCCGTTCCTAGATGTCGTATGGTAGGTACCTGACGTGTCGACAATTAGCAGGTTGCCTCCTGAGGTAAGTGGTCGGGCTGGGTACTTAGGTACCTAGCATGCATGGCTTGACGGGTACCTTTTAGGCACCCACCTAACTAAGGTCCCTAAACGCTCCCTAGAGGTGGATGACAGTAGGCACTTCCATGTCACTTAGTAGGTACCTAGGTACCTACCTACCTAAGCCACAACTACTCACAGGTTCGGTTGGCAACGTGCCGGCGGACCGAGTTGGCTCCCTATCTGAACGAGCCCGTATACGTCATGCACCCAAAAGAAGCAGATGCGTCGAGGTTTACCTGAATTGTGGGGGGGGGGGGGTTTTTTTTTAATTTACAGGACACATTAGGACATATTCGCAGGCAATTTTGCTTACTTACTAGAGAGGTAGGTAGTCAACTGCCTACCTAATGAAGCTGTGCAGCCAATTACCCGAGTCGCTCTCGTGATCGTTTCCGAAAGGGTTTCGAGCAGCACAAGCAAATGGGCCGGCCTGTGCCATAAGCAAGGGATACATAGGTACCTAGGTACCTCACGCAGAAACACAAGAAGAGGGATCTCGCGGCTTGGGCTACGATGTAGGTACGAGTGCTTGCCCAGCGTTTCTCTTATAGGGGGAGCATAATTGAACGACGTTTGACTGACCGATTGACGAGTTATACCTACTGCTTGACCCGCAACGGATCGTCATCCGTGGGAGGACGGGAGCGACGCTAGGAAGTTCGGGTCCTGCAACTTGCCAAAAACACCCCTCTTCCTCCTGACATAACACGTTGCAGCCGATCGCCGTCCCACCTCGGGCGAGATCGCCCAGAAGAGAGGGCTGCGAGTCGGCCTGCGTCGACGGCTACCGTCGCGAAGTCATCCGGAAGCACTACCTCAGGTGCCCCTCTCGTGGGCACGCTGTCGCTGCTCGCAAGGTTCGATCTACCTATAAGGTGGGTAGGTGAGTTAACATTAGGAACATAGATTTACCTACCATTATGACGAGTAGAGCGACGACGACGGGGGCCAACACGCGACTCGACGCCTTCTATCGTTGCCCAAACGAGATGTTGCAATCTGCTACGAACATCGACATTGACAACCCAACGTCTCTCGGTGCATCGGCAGGATACAGTTAGACAGGCATCGTACCCGGTAAGAACTTATCTATGCACGTTGTCATATCTGCGAATCTTGCTTCCCTGCAACCTTCAATCTGGGAACCGTCCGGGATACAGATACGCTGAGGCTACCTTGCTACCACCTACGTAAGCGTAAGTAGTCAGATCCTTCGCTAACTTGTTAAGTGCTTAGGGGCCTCGGCGGCTTCAGCTTGTTGTGTGATGTCAATCCACCTTTCTCCTTATCTTTCATCCTTTTTTATTCTTTTTTTTTTTTTTTTTTTTGCGCCTTTCCAATCGGTCACCAGGTATTTCTCATAATTCGTCCCATTCGCCTTTTCTCCCTCGCTCGTTTTCTATGCTGCGTTTCTAGTATCCCCATCCTCCTCCTCCTCCTTTTCCTCTCCCCCCTCCCCTCCTGTGCATACCTCACGCTTCTACCTAGGCAGCGCTGCTACCGTCCCAGGCCGATTCGTTGCTCCGCTCAGCTTAGCGCACCCGTGATATCTCGGGCCATTTGCCTGTCGCGTGCCCTGCCTGTCCGGTCGCGTGTCCACCTCCCCGAGCCGAACAGATGGCAGACCTCGACCAGAAGAAGCGGTCCAGCGAAATCCGCGAAGATGGGGGCACCGACTCGGCCTCGGCCGATCAGCTGCTCGTGTCCCTCGGATACACCCCCGAACTGTCCCGCAACCGGTCTACCCTCCAAGTCGCATTCATGTCCTTTGTGCTGGCCTCGATCCCCTACGGCCTCGCTACCACCTTATACTACCCCCTAGTCGGCGGCGGTCCCGTCAACATCATCTGGGGGTGGGTCGCCGTCTCCATGATTATCCTCTGCGTCGCCTCGTCTCTCGGTGAAATCACCAGTGTCTACCCGACCGCCGGCGGCGTCTACTACCAGACTTTCATGCTTGCGCCCCCCCGCTGGCGTCGCATTGCCGCCTGGGTTTGCGGCTGGCTGTACGTCGTCGGGAATGTCACTATAACACTGGCTGTTAACTTCGGCACCACGCTGTTCCTCGTCGGATGCGTCAACGTGTTCGAGACTGCCGACGGTGTGGGCGTGCTCCCTGGCGAGCCCTACCAGGTCTTCCTCATCTTCATGGGCATCACCCTCCTGTGCAATGCCGTCTCGTCGCTGTGCAACCGATGGCTTCCTATCCTTGACGTACGGCCAACTCAACACCCCCCTTCTCAATTCCCACAGCTCAGGTACTGATTCTAATACCGTTGGCGATCGCTAGACTTTTGCAATTTTTTGGACATTCGCTGGCGTGATCGCGATGATGGTCTGCATCTTGGTCATCGCCAAGGAAGGCCGCCACAACGCGAGTTGGGTCTTTACGCATTTCGAAACCAATTCCGGCTGGCAGCCGGGCTGGTCTTTCGTCGTCGGTCTCTTGCACGCTGCATATGCCACCTCTTCTACCGGCATGATTATCTCGTGAGCATCCGCCCACCCCGACTCATTAGCTCTTCATTCTTACCCGCTCCTAGCATGTGTGAAGAAGTGCGATCGCCAGCCACCCAAGTTCCCAAGGCCATGGTTTTGACTATTTGCATCAACACTATAGCCGGCATAGCGTAAGGGCCCCTTTGCTAACGAGCCCGCCGCTGGCTCTGAGCGCTAACGTCTTCACCTGCCAGATTCTTGGTTCCGTTGGTGTTTGTCCTTCCCGATATACCCGGGCTCGTTACCCTGGCGCAGCCCGTTCCCGCAATCATAAAAAGTGCCGTGGGCAGCTCGGGAGGTGCGTTTGGCCTGCTCATCCCGCTTCTCGTCCTGGCTATTATATGCGGCATCGGTTGCACTACGGCGGCTTCGCGATGCGTTTACGCCTTCGCTCGCGACGGCGCCATTCCCGGTTCGAAATGGTGGAGGAAAGTCAACACCTCTCTCGACGTGCCTCTAAATGCCATGATGCTAAGCATGGTCGTGCAAATTGCCCTGGGCCTTATTTACTTTGGCTCATCCGCCGCCTTCAACGCCTTTTCTGGCGTTGGCGTCATTGCGCTGACGGCCTCCTATGCCGCCCCCATTCTGGTTAGCATCCTCGACGGTCGCAAAACCGTTCGCACCGGAAGTTTCTTCCTAGGCCCACTTGGCTGGTTCTGTAACATCGTGGCGATCGGTAAGTCGAACCCACTTTCCGACCGCGCGCCGCCCTGGTCTCGGGGGCTAACGATACCTGATAGCTTGGTCCCTACTAGCGATTCCGCTGTTCTGCATGCCTTCTACCGTTCCGGTCGACGACCCTAGTCTCATGAACTACGCCTCGGTTGTGTTCGTGGGATTTACCGTCATTTCAGTGGGGTGGTACCTGATACACGGCCGTGAGAACTATATAGGTCCCCCGGCTTGATTTTTTTTTTTTTTTTTTTTTACCCCGTGTGTTTGGATACGATGGCATGGGGATGTTGGTCTGGCCTGTGGCGTCCTACGCATGGTCGGCCCATGCTTGTTATTTTTGGTATGATACCCGGGAACACAGATGGCAAGGCTTAGACTTTATACAGAGGAATCGTCACGACCGGTCGTTGATACCAATAGTTCACAGACCGATTCAAAGCGCGAGCTCGAGCGAACCAATATCAACATGAACAACGTTAACAATTCGGCCACTAAATTAAGAATGGCTCCCTTCTCAAAATGCGCCCGTTCCCTGCTCGCATACTAAGACACGCGTTCGCAGGTTCACCAGCTTCCGGCTCTTATTAGACACACTGCGAATAGTAGTCATTAAGTGCCTTGCAAGTTCCGCTCTAGGGATGACAGTTAGCACGTTTCGTTGAAGGTGGGTTTAGGACGGCTTACGGCACAAGCGGTGCAGCCAGTGAATCCGATCCCGCCACATTGACCATACAACCCGACAGAGCATCCAGACCCGCCCGTGCTGGTCGGTTGCGGCGCTGTCGATGTAGGGCTGCCGACGGCCGAGCTGGAGGGGCCCTTTCCGGCCGTGCAAGTACTCTCGCAACCAACGCACGCCGAGCCCGCGCTCTTTGTCGACCCGCCCGAGTAGACAGCCGGGCCAGGAGCGACGTAAGCCGACAGCGAAGAATGGATGTTAACGAGAATACCCGCGTCGCTGGCCTTGTAGGCTCCGGGTAGCGACACGCCTGCGGGTTTTGCGCTGCCGCTGCCCGTGATGGTAAGCTGGAAGCACGTAATATAGAACTGGCCACCACCGCTCTGGCCGGCGGCGTGTAGAGCGAGTGCCTCGGCACGCAGGAGGTAGTCGCCCGGGGCGAGGTCGGCGGGGATCTTGACGTCCATGAGACCGCAACAGGTGTTGAGGTCCTTGGTGCCCCAGAAGTCGTCGTCTCCGGAACCGCCCGACGGATTCTTCGCCCAGGTATCGGCGAAGATTTTGAACCACGGTGTCGACCCGTCCGCGGTCGAAGCGTCTGACACCGCACTTAGATAAACCTGTACCGGCCCGTGGTGCGCGCCACCGATCGCTTCAGAGGAGCAGGAGCGCTCGCGAGGTTGCTAGTAGCGACTCATTAGCCCGCCATTGATGGAAGAAAATCGCATCAGAACCGCCGGGCGTCGATACCAACCTGGTGCATCTCAACCGTCACTGTCGAGCCCGCGGCCACACTGCACTTGCCGGGGACAGGACTCGTCCCCGTGTTGCAAACGATATCCTTCGACGATACGTCCGTCACCGGTGAGTTGGACAACGGCAACCTCGCACACGATTCGCCGTGCTTCGAATGTTAGCGCCAGTTATAAGCACGGCATCCCGGGGCACTTATCATATCAACGCCATTGACCCAGAGATCCTGGAAGGTGGCGTGTCCAGCGACCCGCGTGGCGCCCAGGGCGGCAGCGGCAGAGATCAAGCCTAACTTCATGGCGTATGGTTCCGTTCAGCGGTAACGGGAGGCGAGTGCAGGTGAATCACGCAATTTGAGGCTGAGCGCAGACCGCGAATTAGCAATCTACACAGCTAGCGATGCGCGGCCCTATAAATAATCGTACATCCTCTCTCTAGTCCCCTATGCAATCGTATCTGCACAGCATTTCTGGAACACGGCATGACTGCCGAGCCTCCCCTACTAGACGGAGGAATTCCTGATCCTCCGGAGAACGTGTCTGGTCTACCCGCGTTGGCCATCCAATGCGATCTCATGTGATGCGCGGCCCCGGAGCTGACAGACCGAAATTCCTAGCTCGCCTCAGCTAGCAGCCGACAGTCCTCCAAAGAAGCGGTGCGTGATGTGCGTGTTCGACAGGGGACAACCCGAACGATGCACCCAGCCCAGCTCCGCCGGAGAGGCTAGAGAGTATCCGAACGGGGAAGGTTGCTGGCTCTCTGGCCGCGAAAGCGAGACATAATCTGCGAATCGTGTAGCGAGCCCCAACGAAGGCGCCGCACCCATTGGTGTAAGTATTTCGAAGACGGGAAGAGGGTGGGGAGAGCACAGGCGCGCGGTGGAGGTCGAAACGGGAACGGCAATCCCTCTCCAGATTGCCGGATTGGGCCTCTGGGATCCGTACCTGGTTCCGGCGTGACCTCATACGATGCGAAAGCCACGAACCAGGTCGCCGGCGCCAGGATGCGATCGAGTTCCGTCCCACCCCTTCGTCCGGGTCGCGGGCGGGAACCGCGGTTAAAGAGATGAAGGGGTGAACCGGGTGGTCGGGGCCCTGCTCGATAACACTTATCTAGGTGTCTGCCTATGTCTCCCTCTTTCCAGTAATTCAGGGGAGAGGATTCCGCCTCGGGTCATCTGATGGATCGGGCCCAGAAGCTGCGAGAGCCGCCAAGGTCAGAAGGTAAGTGAAATATAGGTATGCCTAATAGCTTCGGCTCCTGGTAGGTGCCTTCGGGTTCCCCTCGTTATAATCTGGTTATCGCCAAATACAAAGAGCTTCTGCCGGGTATACCTAGGTCCTAGTCGTTTCCCCTTTGCTATGTGGAGACGTGCCGAGGGCAAAGTGTTTTATTTTCTCCCCTCCCTAAAGCCTTAAAGCATAGAGTAACCAGTCCCTTAGTTCTAGCGTCGCCTTGGTTTCGATCTTCATTTAATACGACCAGACTCTCTCCTCCCCGCGCGCATCGCGCTCGCCCTTCTTATTCATCCTGCCGTACCAGAGCCTAAGACAAAGGGCCACGATGGCGACGAAGAAGTTGCAGGCGGCGCAGACGAAGTTGCCCGTGGGGTAGCCCTGGGTGACCTCGTCGGCCTTCCAGATCCACTGGGCGATGATCTGGCCGATGCCGGCGCAGGAGTTGTGCAGGGCGATGGCGAAGGGGATCGTGAGCAGGCTGGGCGTGTTGCACGTCACCCAGTTGGTCATGGACGGCGCGGCGGGGAACGCGCCGGCCGCGGCCATGCAGAGGCAGCCGTAACGCTGCACGTACGAGGTCGGCGGCAGCAGGCCTGCCGTCAGCCACCCGAGGCCGCCGACGATAGAGATCACGGTGATGTGCAGACCTCGCGCGTTGAAGTGGTCGGCTGAGTAGGACAATGCGATGGCTACTACAAAGCCGACCACCCACTGATCATGGAAGTTAGCGGCTGCTCTACCGGATCGAGGATTTCCTGGTGAATCGGCATACGGGAGGAACGGTCAACAGCTGAGCATGGATCGACTCGTAGCCGAGGCCAGTGACGATGGTTGGCGCGAAGAAGGTGAATGACCCTTGCGTGACCACGTTGGCAATCTATCCGCCCATGGTCAATGAATGAACTAACTAGACTTGAGCGCGAGAAGATATATGCTGGCAACTCACATAGGCACAGTAATGGGCAAGCATTCGGGGATTGAGGAAAGTCTCCGTAAGCTCTTTGCGCGTGGCATGTTCCCTGTTATACCCGCCTCCGCGTTCCTTGAGCCGGTCCTCTGCGAAACTCTTCTCAGAGGCGCTGAGAAACTTGGCCCGAGCCGGGTAGTCGGGCAGGATAAAGAGGGTTGGTATCACGCTGGCGATAGTGATGATGCCCTCCACTATGAACAGCCATCGGAACCCCTCAAGCCCGGATGCACGGTTGGCGTGCCCAATTCCGTAGGCGACAGCGCCCCCAAATGCACCGGCAAGGTTGCAGAACGCGACAACCAAAGCAATCCTGACCGCTCGCTCGTTGTGGCGGTACCAGATCGTGATGAGATACACGATGCCTAAGACCGGTCAATGAGGACCACGCCTTCGTGTACGTTCGACGGCACTCACCAGGAAAGAAGCCTGCTTCAAACTACAAGAACATTTAGTCATGTCGTTGTTCTAACATGGTCATCGCTGAGGACAGTCACACATACCAGACCGATGAACAGACGTAACGCCAGCACCGTAGCAAAGTTCTGGACCCCGGCAAATCCAAGGGTCAAGACGCCCCAGCAGCCCAGCAGGAAGGCCAGCCAGACGGAGGGGCGCACGTAATGCTTCATGATCCAATTTGAGGGCACTTCGAAGACGGCGTACGCGACGGAGAAGAGGGTGACGGTGAGCGCGTACCCGTTGGAAGTCATCCCCGTCTTGGCGAGCAGGTCGTCGCCGGTCTCCTTGTTGAGCACCCTCGCGTTCCCGATGTTGCCTCTGTCGAGGAAGTTGAGCAGGTACAGCCAGCAACATAGCGGGATGATGCGGGCATCGAGCCGTCGGTTGAGGCGCTTGCTCCGCTCGTAGTCGAATTCCGCTCCGGCGCTCTCGGACGGCTTTCCCTGCGTTGCCGCCTCGTGTTAGTCTTTCTTCGCGGCCTGGCACGGAGACGGAGATGAAATCACCACTTCGAGGCCCCCCTCGAGGTGCTCTGAGGGCTGTATCTTTTCCATGATCTGTCGAATTGCGCCGCGATCCGCCGGCGAGGATCTCCCTTGAGACCGTATGGACGGGAAAACTTGACGGACAGAGGTAGAGCGATGGATGGAGCTGCGTGTTAGAAAGGAACGAGACCCGAGGCCCAGGCGGATCCATTCCTTCTATCTCATATACTACAACCCAGATGGCGATCCCACGTTACGCCGCGACCACTTTTCTCCATGTATCACAGCATGGTGGAAGCAGTCGACGAAGTCCCGAGCCCCCCTTCTCCGCAGCGGCACCGGGGCTCTCCATACGAACCCCCCGATCCCCCCACAGACTGTAACGTCGTCCCTCGACCGGCTAGGCTGTAGGGAGTAACCCGAGGAGCCAGCCCATCCGGAGGTGTGCATGCTACTCCATCACCCGCCCGTCGACGCGGGGTAAATCCCTGGTGACCGGCTTTTCATAGGCAGATTTCTCCAGACTGTGGTGAAGACCACGCGGTAGCTTGTACCGAGATGTTCTAGGCTGCCGTTCTGGTTTCTGTCTCAGGGCGGCAATGGATCCTTCAATATATTGTTTCCGCCCCCGACCGCACTCAGATCGTCGTCGCCACGTTCAAGGAACCAACCAGGTGTAGGATAATCATCCCGGCCATATGCCGCATCCACTTACAGAGTCTTCACCTGATAGTCAAGCTGCCGTGCAAGTCGCAGGAAACGAATATTAGCATTTTGCATAAACTCTTTACAGTTGTTGTTATCGCACTAAATTGCTTCTCTGTTCAACCTGACGACAGATAGAAGAGTATCGGTATATGTCAACTTCGAGGAAAGAGTGGTTAGCGTCAAGTGAACTGACAATACAGGTGTCGGTCAATTGTAGGAAGCTCAAATTAATGGCTGAGAACACCTCCTTTTAATCATCGGTTTACCGTACTCGCTTCGAAAACCTCAGCCGGGGCAGATAATCTACCCTTATGTATAACGGTTGGTGGATTTCGGCCAACGACGGGCCTCGAATAATCTACCCTGCCGGCGAGGATCGGGATGCCGAAGAATGTCAACACAGCTACTCCTAACCGAAGGAGCACTACATATCCCATACCATAAACGCAGATCCCCTTGCACACTGTCCCTATCCGAAGCCTAGGCCTAGAAATACCATATCAGCTCTCCCCTTGTATCCCAACTCCTCGAATCATCTCCTGCATCGCGGCTCCCACCCCATCTCCCCCGACAGTTCGTAATGATTAAACCCCACCCCGAGCCAAGAAGCAGTCTCTTTCTCAGCGGGAACTTATCGCTGACACTAGAGCTGCAGCTGCGGGGGAATACCCGCCAGAAGTCATCAAAGGCTTTCGTAGCGTGGACACGATGATGCTGTAAGAGGCTCGCCAACATTCTAATATCTAGGCGCCAGCAGGCTGGTTCTCTGCGATATCAGAATGATTCCGTTGCCGATTTGTCCTAGACACTTCCGAGGGCCAAGAGCAGTGTTAGCCGCCCCCAGGCCAGTGTCCCGATACATTTGGACGCCGCTCCCCTACCATCGATCTAACGTAGCCACCTAGCCAGCAGTTTCCTGGATGCGCGAGATGCAGCACCGGTCACGTTGGGAGCGGAGATCCGCGCGGGGAAGGCGAGCGGCACGGCGAGGCCCGCGCTAGACCGAAATGTCACATCCAGGGCCCGCGATGGAAGACTCAGTCGGCGGCACAAGAGGTTGCTTCTCCGTGTCCAGGCAACCCGGCTACGCCGTCGTCGGCTCGCCAAACCCGACGAGCTGCCCGTGTAGACTCGGGACTGTACGTAGATAACTGTGCAGCACACAGCATGATGGATACCGTACCTAGTCCTGCCCCCCTTCCTTCCGGTTGACTCCTCAGAGACTCTCTACAGACCTATGTATCCCTTCCCGTCGTAGGCTGCATATTTCGAAAGTCTCATAACCACCCTTAGGGCTGTGCTGTATATACCTTGCACCAAGCAGACCTAGGATCGCTCCCCTCAGTCGACAGCTAGATTCGCGCAGATGCATCGACCCAGAGTGACCCGGCCATGTGGCAACTCGCCCGCTTGCTCGAGGTGTCCGGTACCTCGAACCTCGCGCCCCTACGTTTCCATCCGACGACGGTTGCATCAAGTGTCCTGTCGTCAGAACGCAGACCGGCCTAGGCGAGTCGAATCGTACGCATCTTCAGCTGCCGGCAACAGGTAAATCCGGGCTCGGTCGCCACACACGCGGGGAAGTAACAGGGGTAGGCAGTCTCCCAGTCGTTCGGACAGGGGCTATCGGTGCTCGTCAGTCCGTCATATTCTACACCTGATCTGTAGAGGAGAGTACGGCATGGCGGAACTGAATCAAGGCCGAACATGACGGAAGGGTAATATATACACGCGACAAGTTTAGGGGGTGCAATGAGGAAGGTGATGGGTGCAGCCATATCCTACCGTACCGGAAATCCGCCGTTGTCGTTTTTACCGTCGCATTGCAGCATTACCCCCGCAAAGTCTGCCGCTGATATACGATGTATCGTATTGCGGGGAAGAAATTAACAGGCATGCTGAAACGGCGTCGGGAGACGGGAAAATGTCGACGTCCACGCCGCCTCTCTGCTTGGAGATCTGGGCTTACTTACACAGCTTGCTCCCCGTGTCAATAGTCATGGGATACGCCTTCAAAAAGCGTCCCTAGGTGTATCGTAATACCGAACGGCTGCCCGTCTTTCGGGAGGCGCAACAACAGCTTCAGTGATCGTCCCAGCGTCTAGCAATAATACCGCCACGACCCCTACCATCATGACTCCTCACGCCACTAATAACACCGTGTAGCCGAGAACGGCATCATATTCTCCTCGTCGACGCAGCCGACACCTCCACCAGCAATCCGAGTTTGCGTCCCGACGCCCGCACTCATTGGCCAACTCGGACCAGGTCACGATGCAGGTTCTTGCGGGGACCCCAGGCCGGGGGGGTCTAGATGTAAACGCATGCTCGTCGACCGATCGCAGGCCGGTACATGAGAGAGCGAATGCCGGCGCAATCGGCGAGATAATCTCGCACCACCCTGCTAGCACAGGTAGATCACATGATCGAAATCTGGGGAGTCCCACCGCTGAAGTGGTCTCGATGGCGTGAATAGAGTCGCATCGCCTACTTACGGCCCGACAGCGATTTAAACGGCCGCTCTCCTCACTTGGCCACATCCCTTTCTCCGGATTCCTCGACTGAAGCAAGAGCTATGCCCCGGGCTAAGAGAGACCGAAGTCCCCTCATGTGATCGTCTCACGACTTCTTCCCAAGCCGGTTGCCGAGCTGGCTGCAATTACTTCGCCCGGACTCGAAGAGACCCCGAGGAGGTATATAAATGGACCGCCACTACCTTACCAAAGCCGAGAAAGGAAGGCACCAACATCAAGAGGCTCACGGCTGCTTAATGTTTCCTCCTCAGCTAGGGTTAGGCTGAAGCATCCTCGACAAGGCATATCTCAAAGACACATGCCTACGCGGCGAGACCACTATGGCGGTGAAAATTTCCCAGGTGTCCTTCGAGCACCATCGGATTGCCTTAGGCATCGGCGAGGCGGAACCGCGGATCTCGTGGCGATTCGACGGCGATGTCGCTAACTGGACGCAGAGCGGATATACTGTCGAAGTATTCCGGTACGGACAGGCCGAGCCGCAGCTCTTCCACGCGAACTCCTCCGACTCCGTCCTGGTGCCGTGGCCCACCGTGTCCTTTGCGTCGGCGGAGTCGGCGCAGGTCAGAGTGAGAGCCTACGGCGAAGGCGACCTGCCCGACACCCCCTGGTCCGAAGCCGTGACCGTCGAAACTGGGCTCTTGGCCGAAGACGCCTGGTCGGGCGCGCAGATGATAGCCGCGGATAAGCCGACCGAGGTGAACCTCCCCCACCAGCCAGTGCTCTTCCGCAAGGGGTTTTCCGCGGCCGGCGACATCGAAAAGGCCAGGCTGTACATCACCGCCTACGGCGTATACGAGGCGTATATCAACGGCGGGAGGGTCGGCACCGCCGTGCTCGCTCCCGGCTGGCAGTCGTACAAGTATCGGCATGTTTACGATACGTACGATGTCACCGACCTGCTTCGGGCAGGGGATAACGCCATCGGGATCCAAGTCGGCGAAGGCTGGTACTCCGGGCGTCTCGGGTACGGAGGGGGCACCCGCAATCTCTGGGGCGACACCCTGGGGGCCATAGCACTGCTGGTCATCACCTCCCCGGACGGGACCAAAGAAATCATTCGTACGGACGATACCTGGAGCTCGGGCACGGGGCCGATAATTACTTCGGAGCTTTACGACGGCGAGGTTTACGACTCTAGGCTGGAGCAAGCCGGGTGGTCGACTCCAGGGTTCCAAGCCCCAGACACAGCTCAATGGGTCGGCGTCAAGACACTAGACGCCCCTCACGGGCAATTGGTGGCCCCAGATGGGCCCCCGATCAGCCGAATTGAGGAAATCAAACTGCAACAGATCCTCACGAGCCCTACTGGCAAGACAATTCTAGACTTCGGGCAAAACTTGGTAGGGTGGCTCCGCCTGCGCGTCGCGGGCCCGGAGGGGAGTACAATCAAGTTGGTACACACCGAAGGTAAGAAGCGTCCGATTGAGCACATGTCTTGCAGTCACACCCAGTGGTCCGGCACCGATATCTGAAGGCCGCATACTGATGAATTGATTCATAGTGCTTGAAAACGGAGAGGTCGCGACTCGCCCCTTAAGATACGCGGCCCAGACCGACCATTTTACGCTCTCCGGAAAGGGTGTCCAAGTTTGGGAGCCGACTTTCACCTATCACGGGTTCAGATACGTCATGGTAGAAGGCTGGCCTGCTGACGACACTCTCCTAGACGAGAGCTCGGTCACCGCTGTCGTCGTTCACTCGGACATGGAGGCGACGGGGTCCTTCAAGTCCTCGAACGAACTCATTAACAAGCTGCACAGCAACGTGCTCTGGAGCATGAAAGGCAACTTCATGAGCATCCCGACAGACTGCCCGCAGAGAGATGAGAGACTCGGATGGACTGGCGACGCCCATGCGTTTGCGCCAACTGCCAACTTCTTGTACGACGCCACGGGCTTTTGGCGAGGCTGGTTAAAGGACGTGCAATTCGAGCAGGTAGATGGTGAGTGTGCTGCCATTCGGCTCATCGCCGTTGCGATTCGTGCATGATCACTTGCATTAACTCGGACTCTAGGCGCGCCTCCGGTGGTTGTGCCAGCCGTGCCGTCTTCAGGGGCGGCGATGCCGACGGCGATTTGGGGCGACGCCGTCGTCGCAAATCCGTGGAATACGTATCTCGCCTCCGGAGACCTAGACGCGCTGCGCGAGCAGTACACTGGGGCAAAGGCCTGGCTGGATCACGGGGTTCCGAGGAACGCGGCCGGTCTCTGGAACCGCTCCAATTTCCAGTTTGGCGACTGGCTCGATCCCCTTGCCCCTCCTGACAACGCGGGGCAGGCAACAACGAATTCGTCCTACGTCGCCGATGCGTATCTCGTCTACGTGACCGGGCTGGTCGCCCAGATGGCCTCGGAGCTTGGTTTCGAGGATGACAGGGTTCGATACGAAGAGTGGGCGTCGGAGCTGAAAACTGCCTTCCGAGAGGCCTGGGTCAACCCGGACGGTACCGTCTTTAACGAGACGCAGACGGGGTTGGCATTGCCCCTATACTTCGACTTATTCGACGGAGAGGACGAGGCCGAAGCAGCTGCGAGTCGGCTGCAGAAAATCATCGTTGACAACGACCACCTCGTCGGAACGGGATTCGCCGGAACCCATCTGCTCGGGCTCGCCCTGACTAAACACAACCTGACCGACACGTTCTACAAGATGCTCCTCCAGACGACGGTTCCTTCCTGGCTCTACCAGATCGAGATGGGCGCGACTACGACCTGGGAGCGGTGGGACAGCCTCCTCCCGGACGGCTCGCTCAACCCCGGGGAGATGACGTCGTTCAACCACTACGCCGTTGGCTCGGTAGCGAACTGGATCTATCGAGTCGTGGGGGGGTTGGCGCCGGCCGAGCCAGGATGGAAGACGGTCAAGGTGAACGTGATACCCGGGGGCAACTTCACGTGGGCGAAGGCGAGCTACGTGAGCCCCTACGGCAGGATCTCAACGGAGTGGGAGGTCAACGACGCCGGGTTCCACCTGCGCTTGGAGGTGCCGCCGAATACGAGGGCCGACGTGACGCTGCCCGGAAGCGGCGGGACGGCGCAGCGTGTTGTTGGGAGTGGGACACACGAGTTTTCTGTGCCCGGGTTTCAGGCCTAGGTTAGTGAGCAAGGGTGAATAAAATAAACACGGACAAAATGATGTAGGATTATAGCCGATCTAAATGGTTCACGTTTAATGAGCGTGCGTGACGATGCCTGTGATGACGTGTAGATATATCGCTACACGTGTTCATAGAGATTACCATTCAGTCCTTTCACACTGCTAGTAAGAGAGGTAACCCGTGGGGAAACGAACGATCGTGAATAACGAAGGGAGGACAAGCTGATAGAGTGTCCACGTAATAGACGATATCTCAGTCTTCCCTAATATCCGATCAGACCATCGTAATCACGATAATACGTGTACTCATCCAGGGTGTTTCAAGTGCTGTGCCCAGGGTGCTCGGAAATCGAGGATATGTCGTCCAGTCTAGGCGACATGGATGCTCCGGGCAGCCTCCCATCGCAAAAGCCGCGGTAGCACGGCACCGTCGCATACCACGTAAACATAAACATCGCGTACGGGGGACGTATACACCACAGATATCCGGGTGCGGCATCCAAGGGACCCGTCGTTCCGCACCCATGGGAGAAGGCGGGCTCGCCGTCACGTCAGAATCAGGTACCTACGAGTTAGGCAGGCAATGCTTCGAAGATCTCGCCAAGATCTTGGGGGTTGAAATAGAAGATAGACATGGCTTCGCAACCGGATACCCGAGTAGGCTCCACGATCGCCCGCCGACGAGGCTGGTGGATTGAGGGTCTCCGTAATGATATTGGAATGGGGACATGTGGTAATTATTGTGGTTAAAATGAGTGGGAGCGCCGGCGATCTCTTGGCGAAGAAATAGGGGAAGAGGCCCCACAGCTGGCAGAAAGTGGCAGCAGACCGCCAACAGCTGTTACCTCCATGGCCTTCTTCTTTGGGATAAAAGGGACCCTGAATGGGGGCCGAGGAACTTCCCTCTCAACGCCCAAAGCCCAACAACAACTCGACAAGACCACAGCCGACAAAGCCATTCGCGAGCAGGATACCCTCGCTCCCGCAGCCAATCCCGTCCAAGCGGTAGCCACACCCTACCCGCACGTTATAGTCGCGAGCGACCCAACCAGCCACGCTTCCCCTCCTCCTCGTCCTCATCTTCCTCCTCCTCCTCCCCCCTGACCGTGCTCGACCGCAACACAGCCCTCCCGGGAGAGGGTTGCTTACTTCTCCATCTACCTTGCTTCTCTCTCGGCGTTTCCGGCCAAACCCACCTAACTATCCATCAACCCACCTCTCCTAAGACACCGCGCGACAAGATGTCCGGGGTCGACTCGCCCGAGATCCTGGCGGCGTACGACGCGGTGCGGTCGGACAAGGACACGACGAACTGGCTGCTGCTGTCGTACGCCGGGGCGGTGGGTGACAAGGTGACGCTGACGGGGACGGGGACGGGCGGGCTCGCGGAGCTGGCGGGGCGGCTCGACGACGGGCAGGCGCAGTACGGGTACGCGCGGGTGGAGTACGCCAACGACACGGAGAGCACGCGGGTCAAGTTCGTGCTCGTCATCTGGATCGGCGAGGGCACCAAGGTGATGCGCAAGGCGCGGGTCTCGATCGAGAGCGGCAGCGTCAAGCGCGTGCTCGCGCACCATAGCATCTCGATCGACGCGCGCGACCGCGCCGACCTCGACGAGAAGGAAATCGTCGCGCGGCTGCGGCGGGCCGGCGGCGCCGACTACAACGGCGGGCGGGGATGACGGACAAGAAATCGAGAAATGATAAGAAATACCAGGACGAGGAAGGGCGGGAGCGGGGGAACGAAGGGGGGGGTAAGGAGTGGTGGGATGAGATGGTGTGAAGACGAGATAAAGGAATTTAGAAGTAGAGGTGCGGAAGCGTACGGAGTCGACCGGTTGGGTACAAGGGGCGACGGACGGATGGTATCATGAATATCTCTTGGGTGCCGTATATATACAAACATACACACATACACATACATACAAGCCCAATGAGGCATTCAACATTTCGACATCGGGGGATATCGCTCGGGTGTTACGGCACGGGTGCATCGGCGTGCATTCCGCCAGCCATACGAATGGAGACGTGCGGAAGAAAACCGAGGTTATTCTCCCGTCCCTGTTCCTCCCTGTTCCTACCATATCTACACACGTATTACGTACACATATACACACCAACACACACACCCATATACCTATACGCATACGCAACAGGACGATCCGAAGAGAGAGGTCACCCCTCGACGGGCTCGCCATTCCAGCCGGTCAGGTTGACGACGACGGGGACGCGGCCGCTACGAACGATGGCCCAAACGACCTCCTCGTCGCTGTCGTTGACCTCCTGGTGCTCGGCGAAGGCGGGGATGAGGGCGAAGTCGCCGGGCTCGAGGTGGAGGCGGCGGGCGCCGCCTTCGCTGACGACGCTGCCGCGGCCCCTGACGGCGTAGACGACGGTGTCCTGGGGGCCGTGGTGGTGGACGGCAGAGGCGGTGCGCGGCAGGGCCAGCATGTGGGTGGCGCAGATGCCGTCACACTGGTCGACGATGGCGTTGGACCGCACCATGCCCGCGGTCTGGCCGCCCGACGGCACGATGCTGGCGGCTTTGGTCAGGCGGACAGGCTGCGACGGCGGCACGGGGTGCGACATGGCGGCGACGGCTGGACGCGTCGAGGTTCGAGAGGTGTAACCGTGACGGTGGGCGGTGCGCTGGCGGGTAGGGTGCGGATCGGATGAGGAGAGCTGAGATCCGATGCCTTGCATGGGATGTGGATGGGCGGTGGGAAGGGTCGAGATCGACGCAAGGCCTGCCATAGGCAGGTACCTCTACCCTATCGCGATCGTCCCGTCTCCGTACAGGTATAATCTGGTCTACGTGCATGTTGCCTGCATGTCTGCATGTGTATGCAGGTGCATGGAGTTGCTATAGGCACGGCACCTAATATAGGCATGTAGGCAGGCATTAGCAACGTTGGAGTATGCATTTCGGGAGGTGCGTGGCACCAAGCGCGGCTTAGTCACGATGACATCGCAGGCGGCGGGTATCGTAGGGGGGCGTCGCGGGGTTCGTCGAGGCTGCCCCTCCATCGCGATGCGCAAGCAGCCATGCGGCGATGCAGCCAGGTGCTGTCGGTATGCTATCGCCTGTCGGGACGCGACCTGACTCCCTAGACGTGTAGGTATCCAGGTACTTCGGTCAGGGAACGGTAGGTACATACGTTCGCACACATGCATCGCGGGTACATCTACCGATCGAGACGGTATACCCGCCCTGCGCATCCAGGTACCTGCCCTGCCCGAGGTACCTGTCCTACAAATTACCTAACCTACCTGCACCGCAGATGCGACAGCATGGCGTTGAAGTTAGAAGTCTTTAGCCACTCGCCAGAACTGACCGACCGGCCCTGCTGCTCGCCGTTACCGCGTTCCCATTCACTTCTCACTTCTCACTTCTCATTTATCCCACCTTTCCTCTCTCTCCCTCTCCCTCTCTCTTCTCTCGTCCTCTGTCCCTCTCCCAATCCTCCCACCTCTCTCTCCCTCTCTTCATCCCTCGCCCACCCTCTCCTTCGTCGTCTTGTCCATCTGCATCGTCGACGCCTCCACCTGTCAATCGCCAGCCTCCACCCTCCGTCCCCCAATTCGACCTGTCGGGTCCAGCCCACCCGACAGCCCTCTGTCCACTCGCACAGCTACCATCCACCCAAACTACCTACGTGCGGGCTTGTTCGTCAATCTCCACCTGGTCACCTCTTCCGTCCTCCCTCTCCCTCTTCTCTCTCCATCCTCATCTCCATCCCCATCTCCTCTTCCTCAATTCTCCAACGGGATGGATATCAAAAACCCCCGTCGGATATTAGCCGTGTCGTTGGCCGATTCCACTCACCACCTCACCAGGGTCATCAAAGGTACGTATGCCGGTGGACCTGGTTGCTGCCGAGTCGTTAACTCTCCTGGGCGTGTCTGTGATACCTATAATACGATCTTTCTATCCATGCCAGACTGTGCCACGCCCGTATATGCCTAAGCCTATCTCTATTCCGCACCCCCTCGCCCCTTTCCCGCTCCCGCTCCCGCTCCCGCCGTCTTCCCGCTCCCCCTTCCTCGTCACCCCCACCCCCGCCCCCACTCCATACTTATAGCCAGGTCGATCATCATGCACCACGTCGCAGCCGCTAATCCGCCACTAGACCTCACCGGCACCCGCCCCGAGCAGACCTCGACCTCTCTGGCCGGCTCGTCGCATGACCTCGTCCTCCGCACTGCTTACTACGTGGCCGAGGTCCCCATCTGGCTCGATGTTATCGCGTCGCCGGCCGAGTGGTCCGCCTCCTTCCTCTCCACCGAGGCGCGCGAAGTCCTCGAGGTCCTCGGCGGCATTATCGTCGTCTTCGCCCTGCCGCCTCCTGCGTTGACCCCATTATTACCATTGCCGGCAAAGGCTGCGACAGCACAGACCCCACAGCCCAACGGCAACGACGCCAGCGGTGACAGTGGTAGCGGTAGCGGTGGCGGTAGCACCGCTAGCAGTGAGGTGGTGCGCGCAAAGGAACTAATTCACCACATTGGCCGTGTCATCAAGAAAGGGCTTGGTGGCTGGACGTGGGACGGTGTCGGCTTGTGCCTTGGTATCGGCGAGCTGGACAACACCGAGGAGTGGGAGGATTGCTGCGCTGAGGCCGGGCTCGAGTTCGTGCAGGTGCGGAGCCAGAGCACGACGACCCGGAACGAATTCGGCGGTAGGTACCCTCTCCCTATGCCTCAGCCCCACCCTCTCCCGCACATCACGATACGCGCCCGTTAACCGCGGCTCGCTCGCTCACTACGATGTAGAAAAAACTGGCATCCCCCGGGCCCTGGAAGCGCTAGAGTCGAATGACTGGGAGCAAGCCATCGGTGCCGACGATCTCGGTTCTGACTTGGATGACTTCGAAGCCGGGCTAGACGCCGATGAGGATGTCGATAGCCCCGGCCGGGACAAGGACGGGTTAGACTTCGACCCGGAGAGTATGGACTTCGGGCTTGACCAGGACGACTTCGCGGGCCTCCGACGTGCCATCTGGACCGCCGGGCTTCGGCAGGATGACAATGACGATGACGATGATGATGACGACGACGACGACGACGACGACGACGATGGGGGGGGAACGAAAATCTCGAGGGGACTCTCGACCTTGAGGATGATGAGGAAAAAGGACGCCGCTAGCGCGGCGGCTGCGGCCGCGGCGGGTGTCGACGACGCGAATGACGCCGATGACGAAGAAGAGAAGCTAGACGATGAGGAGGTGCGCAAGATAGAGCGCATGATGCTCAAGCTCCAGGCGGTGCGTGACACGAGCGCCGGGCTACCCGAGGACCAACGTAGGCGAGTTGCCGCGAAAGCCGTAGCCGAGGTGATGAAGGAGCTGTAAGCGAAAGCTCGCCTGCAGACCCGAAGCTGGCTCGGGGTGCTCGCGCACGAGGAATACGCAGCACGGTTGGGAGGCGGGATTAATGCGGCATTAGAGGCGCCAACTATAATAGCTACTTGCCTACTGCGGTCCGGAGTATGCAAGGGTAAGTAAGTCCTGAGGTATTTTCAAGGTGCACGTCATCAGTCGTGCGGTTCAGATCTCGGTAGACGGTCGGCCGGATTGGGCCCTGCGCGCAGATGTATATCTACACTGCCGGTACATGACATGATATATTTCTAGCTTCTCCCGCTTGCAGCCATCTCGTCTCCCTTCGTATAGTCCAACGGCGTATAAGTGGCGGCGTATACACTTAGGGGCGAAGAGCCCAAGGGCTACACACATATATATATAATATATATTGTAGGTTTACGAAGAGCCGACTAGGTGACCTACCGAGCTATCTTCGACTTGAATATCTGCGCCGCACTAACGGGTTCGGTGTGGGTGTCCTACCTCCCAGGTTCCGGTGAAATCGATACCTACGCCGTGCCGCCTCGGCGAACATCATGATACGTTTGCTGGTTCCCTTCTCTGATCTACCTGCGAGTGATATAGAGACGGTGGCGGAAACGCGCGAGAGGATTTCGCGCTCTCTTTTATTTTATTTTATTTTCTATAGCCCCTCCTCTGTTTCTCTTATACTTAGCACTCTCCTAGCCTGGCCTAGCTTACCTGCCTGCTCCCCGGCGACGTCGTCGAGTAGCGACGGCCATCTCTGGCTCCGTGTTCCTGCGCATATACCTGAACCGTGGCTGCCTAGATGCCCTCCGTGTCGTGTCGCGCGGAGCGGAAGGAGGGGGATCCGGATACAAGCGCCAAAAGGACGCGCGCGAGCCGGCCCCCCCCCCATATCGCACATACGCATGCCCGAGACGGCTAGGGACGCGCGCAGATGCGCACACGCGTGTATATATATACCCGGTGCGTGTGTGGCTGGGGCGTCGTCCGTTTTCCTACTCTAAAGGGCGAAGGCGGGAGGCGAGCGAGCGCAGCTGGGGGGAGTTCAGCGGCACGGGCGTTGGCAGGGTTATTATATAAGTACGTGTGCGCACGCATAGATACAATATAGGTAAGCACTCGGAGCCCAAGGTAGCCGTGAAGGATGACGGCGCCAGGCGCAGGAGGAGGACGCGATGGATGATGAGATGGGACGGACGCAGGGAAGGGGGGTGGGAGGAAGGAGATACATATGTGCCTAGGTGGAGAGGGGGAAAAGAAGGAAGGCAGCAAAGGAAGAAGAAGAAGGATTTCTGTTCAGACGACGAGAGAGAGAGGGCAGCGGACGCGAAACCTGGTTCGTCGGTAGGGTAGGGCTGAAGGAGCTCGACGTAGCATGACCTAGCCGTAGTCGGATTGCCGGGCGCTGCCCGAGCGTTTTTTTCTTCTTGACCCCGGTTGAGGACCGTCCGCGCGCGCGGGTTCACCGCCATGATGTTCGCTCCGCTCCCAGCCCAACCCGACCCAGAGTCACCGCTAAGGCTAAGCTTTTGGTTCTGGGTATATACCTACCTACGTACGGGGATAATTATGCATACATGTACGTGCTGGAGCGCAGACGACGAGGTCCCCTCCTCCGCGCTCTCCTCCTCCCTCCCTCCCGACAGGCCTGGTCCACAGAGCGGAACGCATCGCCTACGTAGCTACCTCGCGGCCAGTAGGCGGGGCTCGCCCGTCGCTAGGACGACTACGTAGAGCTGGCGCGGCAGATCGTGTCCGATGCGGATTCATCGGCGACGCTCCTGCTGCTCGCTACCGTGCCCACCTCGACGTGGGCCGCGGCATGGCCGCCGGGGGCGGGGAGAGGAGGAGGAGGAGGTTGTATAGCGCCTGGCTGCGGCACGTGTGCAGCGAGACGGGCGCCACGACAGCGCGCCTGAATCCATCGTGGCGGACCCGATGATACGTAGCTCGAGTCGACGCGCGCGCCCCGGGGGCACGTCGCTAGGACCGGCCGGCCGATCCTTGCTGAGGCTCCGCGCTGCGGGAGAGGGAGGGGCGGAGTAAGAGCCGCCCGGGCCAGGTGTCTACGTCGATGGCGAATAGGCGTGCCTACGCGTACGCGTCGCCTCTGTTGTCTGTCTCTCGGGCGCGGCCGCAAAGGACGCTTGTCTAGAAGTCTTACGTAGACCGAGGTAGCTGTCTAAGCTAGCGACGCGAGCCCGCACGCACCCGCACGCAACGCCTTGCCTGATTAACTATTTTGGGGCGAGGGCGTCGCGGTCCAGAGGGGGCGGCGGGGGAAAGGAATGGATGCGAAGATGAATATGAATACAGGCGACGCACGCGGCTTGGGAACTATCAATACGGGGGCGTTTTCGTTTTCTTTTTCTTTTTCCCGGGTCGCACCCGCACGGTTGTGGCGGAATCAATAGCCATGTATACATTTTCCCCAGTCTTCAGACCGTGCCACAAGGCACAGCGGACAGGGGGTTTCAGCACAGTCTCGATGCGGTAAAAGGCGCGATCGGGGGTACAGAATGTCGCCGCGGCGGCGGGAGGGAAGGGGGTAGAGACGATCGCGAGGCGCGAGCTATCTCCAATATGTACCTGCATGCAGAGAGGTATCTCTCTAGGGAGGGAGGGCGGCGGAGGCTAAGACCTCTCGCGCGTGCGCTCGAACGGGTTAGCAAAGCGCCAGCGAGGGAGGGGAGAGACGGCAGACGTGTTACGAGGTGTGTAGTAGCACACGCGCAGCGCCACGGCTCGGATTCCCCTTAGCAGAGCGACGTAAGCGGGGGATAATCCGGCGATGAGTGAGCCATGTCGCCAAGCCGGCCGGGGGGGATGGGAGGACCTGACATCCACGCCAGGGCCGCAGAGCGCCCTCGTCTCCCTTGCCTGTTGTCGTTCTCCCTTGTCGTATCGTTGTACCTGACCATGTACATACGAGAAAAACGTGTGTGTACATGTGAAGACCCCGGACTGATCTTCTAGAACATCCGTGCTCGATTGTAGTCAGGTACGTGGTGATGTTTCACGCGGATGGGCCCCTGATCCGGAACAGTCTTGGTAATAGCGGGCCGCCCGTTCGTACGGATGCGATGTTCGCCTGTTATCGTATGTACATATCGTGTGTAGTAGTGTGAGGTAGGGAGAAAGTAGGAACACGCCGATGAGCCTAGCTACGGAGGGTTGGACTCCACACGTAGAGGCGAGAAGACGGGCGAGGAGAGTGACGCAGAAGTAACATGCGTTGACTGGAGCAGGCAACAAGACTGCTCCTCCCGGTTCCTCCTCCGCCAACGACAGGTGATAGTCCCCTGTGTGTGGGTGTGTGTGGTGTGTGTGGTGTTGTGTGTGTGTGTGTGTGTCCGTATGAGTAGAGGGGGGACTAGAATGCACGTACGTGGTACGTAGGTAGGTATGTGGGAAGAATCCGGCACGTTGCCTAGCTCGTCTTCAACGCGCCAAGCTCGAGCCGATCATTCATGCAAGGACACGGAGGGAAGAAGCGATGTTGAGCCCAGCACTATCGGCTGCATAGTAAGTAAACCGAAGGCAACGCCTCGTGAATGCATGAGTATATGCACATGTACATGCCTCTCGGGTGAGGTCCGTACGCAGTGGTATGGGTTGACGCATAAAAAGCCACCGACTTTGGGTCTCTCTCTCTCCGGCCGGCTCCTTTTTTTTTGTCTTTCTTTTCTTTTTTCTCTCTAAAAATAAAAACCCATGTCCGTCGTCCCGTCCTGCTGTGTCAAGTCACCCGAACGTGGGATCCGATAAATCCAAGCCTCCCGAACTTGATCGGCCGAAGACGAGGTAGGGATGAAGGAGTGGGTGGGTGATGGAAAGCGAAACTAGCAACCTAGGACTTCTGTGCTCGCAAATACTCGGCGGGAGCTTCACCGATAATATCGACGATCGGGGTACGGTCGGGGACTTGAAAATATTGGTGTGTTGCCGCTCTATTTGGAGACGGAACCCCCTTTCGGTGGTGCTGTCGCCCCCGTTTCTGCTCCGCCGTTCACCTGGGCTATCGTCACGAGCAGGAAAAGTAAACGCCAGGACCCGGGTTACCAGCCAGACCCCCCCTCAGTCTGGCACACTAATGCAACAGCGCCGATCAGTTTCCAATACGATCTCTGTGAGTGCTTTGTAGTTGGTGCGCCTATTCGGTCTTAGGCTCGACTAGAGGTGCGACGCTGCGAGACTATCGTGCGCCAGTTACCTCCGTCGCCACTTAAGCCATAAAAAAACATCGTTGCTGCGCGGCCGCTCTTGAGTGACGTGAAAGCATTGCTGCGATAAGCCGACCCTGGTCGGGGGGGGGGAGGGGACTTTGGAGAAGGTCAGGGGAAGGTTGACGAATTACACGTAGGTAAATCATAGACACGGACGCCAGGCACACGGTGCATGATCGACCAGCAAAGACGGCCTCCTTTATGCGGTTTGCAGACTTGATCACTAGCAAGGATCGTGGCATGTTATCAACACCAGATCGAACGTGTGTCGGAGTATTTCCGCAGCTGAAAAGGAAAAGAAAAAAAAAGAAGAAAAAGAAAATCCGATCTGACGAGACGGCGCTCGGGAACGGATCTTGTGCCGATGGAAGACGGACGCCCCAGCTACCTCCCCCCATCCCACCTTCGGCGGAACTATGGATGCAGTAGAGAAGTTTTCTCGGTAACTTCTTGTTCTTTTCAGAGGCCGAGACTGATAACACGTTCCTGACATGTTTCCCGTGGCGTGGGAGCCGCGGGACTAGGTTGCGGCGAGTTGAAGCACGTTTGTGGAGGGTGGGCACCCTTTCTGCAAGGCACCGGATAATGGGGGGGGGGGCGCGTGATGCCTCTGCGGGTCCACAGCCCAGGGTATGAAGACAAGTCTCCAAGCATCCATGACAGGACCAGGTCTATGGACGCGCGCGCGGCATGCGTGGGCTTATGTATTCGTATGTCTGAGCCAGCCATGTTAGTCACCACATACACGTACGTAGTAGCAGTAGGTAGTAGTGTGTCTACACTACGCACTGTCTGGCGTCAGCTACGAAGGATTGCCTTAGATTCCCACCGTCGTCTTCTCGTCGATCTGGGCTGCTCGGCTTGCCCTCGTTTGCCGATATGTCTGATGTTTCGATTGGCTGTGATGTTCCTAGTGCCTCCTCGAGCAGAATGTCGATGACGTGACCTACATTTCACACCACTTCGCGTCCCCTGCTCTGACAGGTCCAGAGCCGATATATACGTGTGCATGTATACCTTCGCCTTCGTCTTAGTCTGTCGTCGTTTCAAGTCGCCGAAAAAAAAAATCCCTCTTCGTGGAACCTTATCGAACCCGGGCAACCCACGCTGAAAGGGACGTGGAGAGGCGCGAGGGAATCCGTAAGGGATTTTCATTGCGCGCGACTAGACCCTTTTCACGGTAAGCGCTTAACACGGCCGCAGCGAGCAGCCCTGTCTGAGACCGGCGTATCGGACGGAGTACCGGGCTGACTGTTGGTAGTCGCAAAAGCTGCTCAAGCTGCGCGAGTCTCTTGGAGAAGAATATATCAGAGACAAGACGGCCCAATGATAGGGTGCCATCGCGAGAGAGGGTGTGGTAGGTGTCCGTCTTCAGATCTTCCACGCTGCCTTGTGAGATGTGCGACCCAACTATCCGTCGATCGAGAATGGCAGGTGTCCCGACGTTTGCGAGACGCGTTAATGAGCGAGGAATGTCCCCGGTATAAAGGGCAGCCTGATCCCTACTCCATGTCGACGGTGCCGTGATTCTCTACTACCTGGGTACGTAGTACGTGTATGCGAGCAACTCTTCCAAATCATTGTGAACATGTACCATTTGTATGCAGGTGTGACCGGATCTGTACACAGTGTAGAAAGACTGACAGAAACCATCTCGACTGCATCATGGCTGCAGGAACACGACGGATAGTCCAGTAGTCCCCTGTTGTGCTTCAGCCTAGCGACTCACCGACGCAGGTACAGGCGCCCCAATGCCCAATCCCCCACCCGTGGTTCTGCGCTTTTCCCCGGTAGGAAAAAAAAGAGAGAGAGAGAGAGAAATATGGGCCAGCCTGTTCTGTCAGACGTTACCCTCGATCCTGGTGAGGCGGGTTGCTGGCGGGGATGGGCAGGGATCTTGCCGTCGTCGAGTGATTGGCTCTCAAGAGGGTCCCGGCCTGGTCCGGACGCGGTTGACCGTGGGCATCTTGACCGTTACGGACGAGCACGCAGGGATGGGATGGTCATGTAGGCATGCATGTATGTAGATACCAGATGCGAGATCCCCATGATCGTTGGTTCAGCCGGTTGAATCCAAGCGGGAAGCGACCCAAGCCGCTGGCTGCTTTTCTGGGTGAGTTCGACCAACGACGGCGACATTGGGGACGTCGCACACTGGCGGTAAAGATGACCGGTCCTGCGGCCCCCATCAAGCGCAAGTTGAGAATTTGTATCGGAGTTTGGCGAAGGAGCATTCTTGGCTCTCAACCCCCTTTTCTTGCATTGGGGGGGCCGGTCTCTGTGGTTCGTCGAGCGGTGAGACAGGCACAGACTCCTACATACACACCCCACCACCACCGCCGGTAGGACGGATCGCCATTGAAGCCCTCAGGTGGAAGCGCGCGTCTTGTTGCTAGTTGCTTGTGCCGCCACTACATGCTACCGCGTAGCCACGCTCTTTTTGTCGTTGCTTTTTATCTTCTGCCTTCTCGTGCGGCAAGGCTGTCAACTACAGGGATTATATATCAGCCTAACGCCGTAGTTCGGAGTTCGTCCCTACTAGAATGGCCGGAATAGCTTCGCGAGTCTGTGAGACAGGAGGTAGGACTTTGGCCTTCGATATTTCCCATCTAGCAGATAAGTCAGACGGTTCCAGAATTGCCGCCCTGTTCGTACGAACATGTAGATGCCCCATGCGAATTGTGCGACATAACAAACGAAGATCGCCACACATTCGGGTGATGGGAGAGGTCTGGCTGTGTTCTCGAGTCGGCGAGGCCGCCTCGACAAAGATCGTGACGCTCCTACGCCAGAGCCGCCGCCCAAACCCACAAACGCTCAACGGAACCAGGCGCCGAGCTTGGCGAACCACGGAGGACAGAGGCGACAAATGTTTGACAGTGAAGGTCAGCTAAGCAAGTCCCGGAGGGCATTAGGATTGCCGAGCACGTTCGACTAAAAGCACGGTGGGAATCCCTGCCGACACACTACCTCCGAAACTATGTTATGGAATAGGTACAGAGAGACCCTGTCCTCTCCCGCCTGTCCATGCCGATATGCAGACATGGGGCGCCCATCCATACATACTACGTAGTACTGTCAGCGGGAGCAAGGTAGGACACCTCTGCGATCCCCTTAGGAAGGGAACAAATAGCAGAAGAGCGATGGTCAGAGACTTGCACAAGGTCCAAATGTGCACACATCTGAACAAGGACAACAGCAGCAGCAGCAGCAGCGTATACATACTCAGCCTCGGGTGGCACAATGCTGCTTTGAGGAGGTGTTGGGTATCGACTCCTGACAACCCTCTTACAATTGGTCGAAGCGACCTGGACTACTGTCTCGTTCGGTTTGAGGTCATCGTCAGGGATTTGGTTCCACCGGGCTCCTGGGCTTGCTGGACCTGTCCGACGCTCACGTTCCGTTCAGCCATCTGGTCGGCCCCACCCCTCGAGGCCGATGTTCATACGACTTGGCGATTGTCTGGTCTGCCTATCCACCACCCAGACGGTGGCTAGGAAAACGTGCCGTGTCCACACAGGCATGTATGAGTAGGCATGCGGGCAATGTATTTACGTATGTGCACGTGCTGTGAGAGAGGGGGTGGAGGGGGGAACAATTCAGTAGATCCGACGTGCCGATGTGCTCAGGGACGAAGACGACTCGGTCTCGGATATTATTAGATTCCTTTCGTATTTCTTTGCAAGCGTGAGGAGATGAGGCGTGGCCGCGGTCTCGCGAGGGAAAGGGAGGGAAGGGAAAAAAAAGGAGGATGGAGACGAAGGGGGGAAAGGTGACAGCGATAAAAAAAGGACTTGGGATGGGACGGGATGGGATGGAGGGAACCACGACGAAGTCTGCTAACAATTATACGATTGGGCAGAAGACAGCCAGAATCCCCACCTCCGTCACTCAACGGGGCCACTGGAAACACGCCCCATTAGCGGATCAGGTACCGTAGGTACCTTGGGTATAGGTACATTACCTCCAGTGGCTGCCTGCGTTCTGAGTTGTGTCAGTACCGGAGGCAAGTGCCAAATCTATATGTACCTCCTAGGCATGTACATATGCCACCCTTCCCTTGCGCGCTCGCTCTGAGGACAGATGTACCCAACGGTACGTGTGCTCCTACGGTTGTGCGGCGGTTGAGTGGTGCGTAGGTACCTGCCTACCTCCTAATGGGAGGCGGACGTGGGTACCTTCGGGCGGGTGTACCTATGAGGCGAGTTGCTTCGCGGAAACGGCATCCATTGGGTTATGTAATATGGGTCTGCCGCGCTTGAGGCGCCCCACCTGTCTGCACCGTACCTGCTTGAGGTAGGCGAGGTACCCAAGATACGTGTTATGCTATTCGAGGAGGTGCCTGACAGCTCGTATGCAAGGCGACAAGTCCGAGGCCACATATGAGTACATTGGGTACTAGTCAACTTCGTGCTAGACACGGCGCCTTCCACAACCTATTATAGCCTGCGATGGCGGAGACATGGACTAGATGCACAGTGCCAAGACACACTGTCCTTCTTACTTTATCCATATCTGCCCTAGGTACCTACCTGATCAGGGTTACAGACGGCCTGGCGCGCTAGAATATGCATGCACAGCAGCTGTGTGCGTGCGCGCGCGTGTGTCTGTAGGCATGTATATGTATATGCCTTGGGCGGCCCACTCGGATCTTTTTAAGGGAAAAAAATCCCCAATATTTTCTCTCTCCCTGGCGGCCTTGTCTTATTCTCACAATTTTTCCCTTCAGTCGAGCTGTGGTGTGTGTGTGCGCGAGCGAGCGTGTGGTGTGTGAGAGCTACCTCAACTGCCCACTCCGGGGGACCGCCCACCTGCTACTAGTAAGTCAGGCCCCCCATCCCCGTCTGGCGCAGGTCCCCCAGGCCCCCCCAGATTGGGCTAGACGTGTACCTGCCCAGGTACCTACGTAGGTACCTCCATACTTCAGGTACCTGCACCCAACACGTAGAGGCAGGTTAGGTACCTGCCTAAGGTATACCTAGGTACCTCTTATAATACCTATACGTGCATACCTTCCGCCCCATGCTGGCGCCGCGGCAGACAGGTACCTCCGGCCGTGTCACCTCTATGCGTGTACAATGCGATACACGACGTAGATACATCATGATGCATTGCCTCAGGTACCTAACCTAGGAGGGAGTGCGTTAGGTGCGTCTAACCTGGCACTTGCGGCGGGCCGGCCACTGGGCTGCCTGTACTCGCTACTGGCTCGCTGGAACCACCCGCGCCCTTATTCCCTTTTTTCTGGCCTTCCCTCCTTATCCCCCCCCCTCCTCCCTTTTTCCTTGCCCGTCCACCTGCGCTCTACTCTCTCCGTCTTCATCTTCTTCATCCCGTATCGTCGCTGTCGTCGCTTTCTCGGCAATTCTTCTACCCTTTCTCTCCCCCATATTCCTTTCCTTTTTCTTCAAACCCACGCTCTCTTTTCGTATTCATAGCCATTTACGGACTCCGTCACTCCTTTCGGGTCCATTTCGTTCCTTAGGCTTCGCAACTATTACTATAACTATTATACACTTGACCACGGCCCACGTAGTCGCTTACTACCAACATACCGCCTGCTTGTAGTATCTTGTACTGACCACTTCTACCTGAGCCCGTCCTTGCGCTGTAGCCCCATTGCTTTGCGCCGACACTCCTTGACATCCATTCTCCCCTTCTCACCGCTCAGAGATATTATCCTCAGCATAATAATACCTGGCACACACTCGGGCCCTGGCAGGACACACCGTCGACATCGCGACTGAACCCACGATCACGGAACGTCGACCACCAAGCCCAGCCTATTCCCACTTCATACTTTGAACGCTCCTTTTCGACCGAGATCTCGACTAAGAGATGGATATCTCGCTCAAGGTAGAGCACCCGGGTTCCGCGGGGCCGACTGTCGTGGCCCCGGGTCTGTCTACCCCGGAGACCGGCTCGACGCCTACCGGCTCGATCGACGCGAAGAGCAGCCAGTCTCCCTCCCCCTCTGCGCCGTCGAACGGTCAGGCTTCCGCGTCGCGGCGCCCCCCGCGCAAGAGTACTTTGACCCAGCAGCAGAAGAACCAGAAGCGGCAGCGCGCGACTCAGGATCAGCTAACGACACTCGAGATGGAATTCAACAAGAATCCCACCCCGATCGCCAACGTTCGCGAGAGGATTGCGGAGGAAATCAACATGACCGAAAGGTCTGTTCAGATCTGGTTTCAGAACCGGTACGTCGGAGTAGCCTCGGCCTCCTTTCGAGAATCTCGGTGCTGACCCTGAGCAGGCGTGCCAAGATTAAGCTTCTGGCCAAGAAGAGCCTGGAAACAGGCGAGGATATCGACTCTATCCCTGAGTCGATGCGAGCATACCTGGCAATGCAGGCCATGGAATCCGGGAAGGGCCTCGGTGGCCCCTACATGGGACGCACCGGTCTCCTTCCCTACGGCTCCATGATGCTCGGAGGCGAGCAAGGAGGACAGGGCAAAGTCCGTAAGTCTCGTGGCCATAATACCCGCTTGTTTTAGAGGATCCGGCTCACATTTCCTAGTCATCCATCATCTGACCTGCCGGTCCCTGAGCATCGGCAAGTGGACGCGCGTTGGCCAGAACACGATGGATCTCATCATATTCTACTCGCCTGAAAAGTGCACCATGACCTACTACATCAACAATGATCAGGCTGGATACAAGATCGAGTACAACTTCAATGCCATCAAGAACATCTACCTGGAGAACCCCGATGGCGACGCTATGAAGCTGGGCGGGATTGTCATCGAGCTGAACCGCGCTCCCAGCTTCTTCATGGATTCGTCGCCGAACTCTAATGGGTTTGTCCAAGTCGAGGACTTCACCGAGGGCCACCAAGCCACTCACTGCCTCGTTCACCACCTCGGCGGTAACCCTAAGGTTCTCAGTGGCCAGCTCGCCAAGCTAGCGTCGCTCGAATCCTTCACGAACCGACATAACACGGTGCCTTACGACATGAGCCACGCCATGTCGGTCTCTGCTCCGGTGTCTCCCACTAACCGCCCTGCTTCGCAGCCCAACTTTGGTCCGCCCCATATCGGCATGTACCAGGAGTCGCAATGGGGAGTGAACCCGGTGCACGCCGGTATGCGCGCGCCCGGCCATAAGCGACAGCGTAGCCGATCCGTCCCCACAGCCGTCGATTTCTCCATGTTCCAGAACCCGATGCCCGCCTTCTATATTCAACATCCGGGCGAGGGCCAGCCGCAGCACAGCCCCGGCATTTACTCCCCGGTTCCCCAGCAGCCCGCTGGCATGAGCAATGCTGGCCCGAATCTGCGCATAGACACGCAGGCATCCTACGCCATGGACATGCGACAGTATCCGCTCTCCGCCACTACCGCTCCGTCGGAATATTCAAGCCCGAACTACTTCTCCCAAGCTCCCGGGGGCACGCCGTTACCTGCCTCGAGCTTCGGTACGCCGTATGGCGGTGCGTTTCTTTCGCCCCTGCCTCAGATTCCTCAGTCTGTATCTCCGTTGTCATATACGAGCCACGGCGATCCGGCTATCGTTGAACAGTCTCCGCCCTTGAGTATGCTTCAGCGACCAGCCTCTACCGACATGTACGGCATGAGCGACTCGGCTATTTCGGATGACGGCCACGGCCTGAACGAGATGTATTCGAAGCACACCATCAACATTCCCATGCATCCTCACTCGCCTGGCTATATGGAGCCCAGTCAAGCGGACCTGGACATGAGCCAGCTCGTGCAATTCGACGCTGTCGACCCGTCTAGCCTCTCCCCCGAGAGCATGTCTCACCCTTAATGATGCGGGAATGTGGCACGGCTTGGCGAGGTCGGAGATTCGTCTTAGGGCCACGGACACTGGTCTGATATCGTGTTCCCTATCATGTTTTCGTCTTTTTGTCGTTGTGGCGTTGCGGATCTATATACCTCTTGTCGTTTCGGTGATTTTCACTTGTCTTCCCTCTCAAACACCCTTCTCCGGTCTGTTCCTCGACGTACGAGTTTTGGTTCGATTCTTGTCCCATCCCATCTCGATTCCACCGGCCACAAAGCTGGGCACGACGACACCTTGTTTCGGTATCCGATTATGCGTGTCCGGCACAGCGATCGTACGTTCTACTCTACCTCAATAGCGGTATTTTTTGGTTTCTGTTTCTTACCCTTGCGGTCTCGTTACCCTTGAATTTCAAGCGGCCTGCTCTGCACTAATACTGCGAATTTCGGATCTAATCCTTCCCTTCAATCTGGTCTTGAATCTTCCAGCCTTTCTTTTCGTTTTTCCTTTTTTTTTAAGCATTTACGATCATAAGCGATGTTTTTTTCGTTTTTTGGCTGCCGGGCGAACAAAAAAGCAGATGAATATGGAAGAAGCCCAGGAGGCTTGGGTTCGCGGATAGTAATTTTTAAAACCGACCTGCCGGGGATCAGCAGTCGGGCCTCTTCACCACCCCCTTGATTGTAGAGGGCCCGCGGCGAAAGCCCCGTTGCTCTCTCTTTCTCTCTCTCCCTCTAGTCTTAGCCCCGCCTCGTGTAGGTGGATTAACCCGACCAGTACTAATAGTAGCTGGATGAAGACGAAAAATTCTCTGATCACTTTTCCTTGTCACGACTTTACGGCGAGGAATATAATAAGGAATAGAAAAATAACGCAAGCTGAATGTTGATAGCGAGAAAGAAGTGACTGCACCTATGTATTGCGCATCGTATTACGTATTACTGCTTCCGTAAGAGACTGGTTGATGGATCGCATCGTAGCAGTGGGTATTCCTGAGCCCAATCCCACTGAAGAGAGGAAGAGAGGCAGCATCTCTATCTTAGCGTGACTCGAAGCACTATCTACTTGTTAATTGTGGTTATCCAGCATTGGCCGAACCTGTTTACTTGGTTGTCTACATCACCAGGATAAGGATGGACAGGATTGCCAAGTGGATGAGGACGGTATGTCCCTCTAGATAGCCATGCCGTCGACTTGAACCTTTCATACGTTAACACGGAGGTAGGGAGCAGTGGCGGTATCTGGTGCCTCGGAGCGAAATGGAGCAGCAGGTTGATTCTGTCGACTTTCGTCTCTACCCAGCTGGCGTGTGCGTAGTATGTCAGTAAGTAGGGGGGGCGGGTCATGTTCTCTGTTTTGCTTCTTGTTCGGGATATTGGCCGTGTTCTCGGCTCGGCGGGATGTCGTGTGCCTCGGGGGTTCTGGACGGGCGTATCGACTTACGATTGTGATAGATGATAAACTTATGCCTTTTCCCTTTCCCCCTATACCGGTGTATTGGGGGTCATTCGACCCGCGCTTTTTACTGTGTACCTACCAGGTTAGATCCGTCTTACGAGCAGCGTATAAGCTTCGTCGTGCCCGGAAACTAACAATGCCTCTCGCCGCCAGGCTTCCGAACATATAGTCCAAAGAGCCAAGTCTACCCTTGGGGTATTTCCCCTATGCTCTTTAATGTCAAGTAGGACCTGTCAAGTAGGACCTGTCAAGTAGGACCTGTCAAGTAGGACCCTATATCACAAGCCTACGCCTCTAAGACGGAAGTGTGGGCGGCTGCATTTTCCTGCCGCATCGAGTACGGCTTATACCAGACTCGACCGCGATCTTGAACGACGCTGCACAATGGATCGAGCCATAGTACCTATCTCTTCTGTCTCAAGGGGAGCATTCAAATTGTAGGTAGATCGTGTCTGTAGTAACATCCGTTATAGGTATATCGAATGCTGGATTTATTGTTTCTATGCTTAACGCGTTCGTTTCGAGCCATTTCCACAATCTTGTCAATCAGCTAGGTCTATACGAATTCCTCCCCGGTTGAGACGAGGCGCTACCTCTAGTGCAAATCGCCAACTGGGTTGACTTGATGCGTGAAACCAAGCTACTTGCTCATACAATCTGTCTTTTTTTCCTCCCTTGATGCTGTAGCGCGCGCCGACGCAGCAACTGCTTAACCAACCTTCCAGGACAACTTCATCCTATGGTAGATGTGATGCTGGCCGGGTATGAGACCGTCGTTGCGATGTTTCTGCGCATTGTCCTCTTGGCGAACAGCCGATTGGATGCTGCCGTATCTAACGCCTACAACCTCACCTGCGTCTCCAATCGGCGAATATCAGCCCAAAGCAAGCAAAAAAGGAAAAAAAGAGAAACGGGAGTGCCCTCCCCCCGCCCCCTGGCTATGGCCGGCGACACGCTACGATCTGCACAAGACAGATTGGGGCAGTGCACTGGGCGCCGTGTCACCGAGGTGAAGATCATAGCCCTAGAGCGGGTTAACTGACGCAGCACTGCCACTATATACAAGCGAGACAGTGGCAGGCTTGGACCGATCTGGTCGACCTCGGCTTCCGAACACTGACCATTGTCGCGAATCGATTCTTCGGTGCAGCTGTGTTTCCACCGGCGTTACGAAGGCTCGACTCGATTTCCGACGGAGTATTAACTGGTTGGTGCTCCTCTTTTCCGCGTCTGGCAGGTGTTAAAGGTCTGCCGAGCTCTGCTGGGCAGAGTGCCGTGCATCCGCTGCAAGGATGCTTCTGGGGCCGTGACTGTGACCCGGAACCCGGAGGTCTTTCCCATATATGTATTTGTATACATAGGTATGTGTATGTACATAGACTTTTCCGAGAGGGGTGTCGACGAGAGTGGTGTGTCGGACCAGCTCGTCGGCGTCCTCGGAGACCGTGTCGCTGCGGTGATGGAGCGCCCAGCGATGCGGGGAGATATCCTACGTATGCGTACGGGATACGCACTGGATCCTGACGACTCTCCGCCATCCAGAGCTCATTAGGCGTCGTAGTCCGTTCGTCATCATGTCCTAGTCGTGCGAGGCGCAGCGCGTTACTCCGACGCACCTCTGGGATCATAGCCGTGATAGCTCGGCATACCTCGTCTCGTTATGGATCTGGCAGTGGGTGCGTTTTCTCGAAATAGAATCCCGGATTCTTCTTCGACCCTATTATACGGGTACAGGTGGATATACGTTTAAGCCGGCGCGGTGGCATCGCTGTGGGCGGTAGGCTTCAACTCACCACGGACCTCATTGTAGGTGGGTAATACACACCCACTCCATCTATCGTAGGTACGTAGGTAGTGTGGGATGAACAACCCCTCGCGATCTTCGAGAGGGGCTGGATATGTATCCAACCCCTGTCTGTCCTTAACGCTAAGACTTTCCCAGGCTTTACTTTTCGCCAGCTTACCATATCTCTCCCGCTTCTAGAGTTCTAGTGACGATGCTGGGCTTGGTTCCAAGCCCGGATGATGCCTCTCTGAGATAGCATAGCGTCAGGAATGCACATACGGATAGGCTGGTCTCGTCCAGTCATGTTCGCCGCATATTCGCCCGTCTGGTCTTTTGCTCTCCTTGTCGTTCCACGTTGAGCGACAGGGAGCCTATTGGGGAGGAGGGGGGGCTGGACGGCGGGGGGTTAAGCAGTGGTGGCCATGTAAAATGCGCTGGGCACTGAAGGATGTGGCTTTCGGGGCCGCGTAGCTCGCGGGCGCTTCGTTAGATCTTGCGGCTATGTCGAGGTGTAGTGTGGCAGTAAGACCATAGGTATCTGGGAGAGCATGGACGATCTTTTTTTTCTTTGATTTCTTTCTCCTTTCCCCTCCCTTTCTTGCCTCGATAAGTGTCGCCTTTATTCTCTCGTTTCAGGACAAGCAGGTGCATGTGTCGTAGTACCCAGTGAAGGATCGTGTGGGCGTGTTTTGTTTACCACCCTCGTCGACAGCATCATATCATCTTTCCGCCTCCGGTTTCGCATCTGGATAGCCATTTGGATACGTGGCTATTGACCTGTATACCTGCCTATACACTACGCTGGAGCGTCTTCGAGTCCTCGTCAATTCTGCCTGTTCTACGATCGCGCAAGCCGGGTCTTGGTATATGTTGGGGATACAATAACCGTCCAATCATAGCCTGGAAATGAACCGACGATCCTAACGGCCAAGCCCTTGTTGGTTCTCTCGTGGGGATCCCCGGCCGTCGAATATCACCCGAGTTGCGCTTTGGCACGCCTGGGCAAGGTTCTCGGGCCCATAGCTGAAACCCCTCGGTATCATGCCGAACTACAATGACAGATCCGGGCCTACTGAAACACCGCAGCAGCGTCATCTTCTCGATCCCGGGGATGGAAACGCGGACGCCGACATTGGCGAAGAAGTACCAGATCTCGATAGTTGGCGACCAAGACGATCAAATACCCACAGCTCGGCCCAGCGCGTGCGGTTTTCTTACGACGTCCCCTACGATGATGCGCGACATCGCATAGACATGCCTGACCGTATGATCTCCGATTCGATTGACGAAGCCGCCGGGTCGGGCCTGCGAATGGGGTCTGGCGATCCGTCACGGGCTCATGCTTCCTTACCGACAATGACGGGTAGCCCGGATGAGGGAAGACGCGTAGGATACCCGTTCGATGCGCCTTTACAAGCGGAAGAGTCTCGAGGTTCGCGCAAGAATGACAAGCGAACCCAGGAAGCCGAAGATGCCGGCCACGATTCGCAATTCCGGCTCGACAACTATCGCGCGTGGGTAACTCGCCAACAAAAACGAGCGCGAGGACCGCGGGTCAAGCTGGAAAATGCATTCAACGAATACTACCAGAAATGGATCATCGAAGGTCTGCTGCGCCAGCGACCGCTCCCGCCGAGCGTCGACGGCCGGCATATACCCCTCAGCGCCGGCGCTGTCCGCAAGACACCCCTAATCGACGAACGAAGCGGTAAACATTACATTTCGAATTTCATCCGCTCCAGCCGATATACCAAGTGGTCCTTCCTCCCGAAGCAGTTGTATTTCCAGTTCAGCAAGCTCGCCAACTTCTACTTCTTGGTCATCGCTATCCTGCAGCTGATCCCAGGCCTGAGCACCACGGGCTCGTACACCACCCTCATCCCTTTGCTCATATTCGTGTCTTTTAGTATGGCGAAGGAAGGTTACGACGACTATAGAAGATATATCCTCGATAAGACCGAGAATCTTGCGCCGGCGTGGGTTCTCGACCCGGAGGGAACCGCCAGAGATATTAAGGTAAGGGGGTTTGCGACGAAGAGGTTTAGGAAAGGACGGAAGCAGGAACAAGACATGACGGAGCTGCAGGAAATTGGGGAGATCCAAGAGGAGCCGATGTGGTCTGCGATTCAATGGCAAGACCTCAGAGTCGGCGACGTAATTCGATTGCGAAGGGACGACAACGTGCCGGCCGACATCGTGGTCCTCCATGCCACCGGCCATAACGGGATCGCGTATATCGAAACCATGGCGCTCGATGGGGAGACGAACCTCAAAAGCAAGCAAGCGTGCCCCTTAATATCCAAGCATTGCGATACCATCGAGAAGATGGGGAGCTGCCAAGCCGAAATCGTGTCCGAGGATCCTAACGCCGACCTGTACAACTTCGAGGGCCGCGTGACTGTCGAGGGGGAGACTCGGCCCTTGACGATGAACGATGTCGTGTACCGCGGCTCGACCTTGCGGAATACGGACCAGGTGATCGGGCTGGTCGTCAACACGGGCGAGGAGTGCAAGATCCGCATGAACGCAAACAGGAACGTTCGAACGAAGGCTCCTGAGATCCAGACTCTGCTGAATCGTATCGTCATCCTCCTCGTCTTCGTCGTATTGACTCTTACCGTCGGGTGCATGGGTGGCTACTATCTGTTCAGAGAATCCTACGAACGACACGCCCCCTATCTACGCGATGCTGGAGTGCCCTTTACCCAGATTTGGTTTGGGTTCATCATCGCGTTCAACACCTTAATCCCGCTGTCCTTGTATGTCAGTCTTGAGATTATCAAGGTCGGGCAGTTCTTCCTGTTGGACGATGTCGAGATGTACGACCCTGAAACCGATACGCCCATGGTTGTCAATACTACCACCATTCTCGAAAACCTGGGCCAGGTCAACTACGTCTTCTCCGATAAGACCGGCACTCTGACGGAAAACAAGATGCGCTTTAAGAAGCTCAGCGTTGCAGGGACAGCATGGTTCCATGATATGGATACCAGCCAGGATCAGGAGACTGTCGATTTGAAAGGGAAAGGTCCGCAACTCGAGGGCGAAGCAAGCATAAATCTGGCCCTGGAAAGGGACGAGCGGGTCGAGACTCCGTTGATTAGCAGTCAGCATCAGTCCGGTTCCGTTCGGGGGCGACGACATCGCCCAGCACACCCTGCGACAACACCCAAGACCGAAGCCATGCTGAGTTATATCCACCAAAATCCCAACACTGCCTTTTCGAAGAAGGCCCGGCAATTCCTCCTCTGTGTAGCGCTGTGCCATACGTGCTTACCGGAGGTCAAAGAGGACGGCAAGATCGCTTTCCAGGCTGCGTCTCCGGATGAGCTCGCCCTGGTGCAGGCGGCCCGCGATCTCGGCTACCTCCTCGTTGACCGCCCGACGCACTCCATCCATCTCCAATCTCGGAACCTAGAAGGGGAGCTTGTCACGGAGACGTACGAGGTTCTGGACGTCGTCGAGTTTAGCAGTAAGCGAAAGCGCATGTCGATCGTCATACGCATGCCCGACGGTAGAATCTGCGTCTTCTGCAAGGGAGCTGATAACATCCTGATCCCCCGTTTAAAGAATGCCCACCTGGCTAAGAAGAAAGCGTCCGATGTGGAACGAAGGGCGAGTAAGCGGAGGAGCATAGAGGCCAGCAGGGCCATGAGCCGCACGAGTGGCACGTTTAGCAACCCATACAGCCCCAGGAACAGCATAAGCAAGCGTAACAGCATCTTTCGGAGAGGTAGTGAGCGCCAGTCCACTGATGTGGCCCGTCATTCCGTTGTGTCGGACGACCTCGACATTTGGCTCGCGAGGCGCGAGGCCTTGGATTCGGACGATGCTGCCGCAGCAATATACGACGAGGATCCCGACACGGCTCGCCGGTCGATGGGCCTCTCGCCGGTCTTGCTCGCGGGGACCAACGAAGTCTACGACGGGCTCGTGAACGAGGCGGTGGCGGCGGACGACGGCGCCATCTTCGAGCGGTGCTTCCAGCACATCGGCGAGTTCGCCTCGGAGGGTCTCCGGACGCTCCTGTTTGCCTATCGCTACATGCGCGACGAGGAGTACGACGAATGGAAAAAGACATACCGCGCCGCCTCGACCAGCCTGGTGGACCGGCAGCAGCGCATCGAGGAGGCGGCGGAGCTGATCGAGCAGGACTTCGACCTCGCCGGCGCGTCTGCCATCGAGGACAAGCTCCAGGCCGGCGTCCCCGAGACGATCGAGAAGCTTCGCCGGGCCAACATCAAAGTGTGGATGCTCACGGGCGATAAACGCGAGACTGCCATCAATATCGCGCACTCGGCGAGACTGGCGAAGCCCTTCTCCGAGGTCTACATCCTCGACGTCGCCGAGGGCGATTTGCAGGAGAAGATAACCTCGACTCTGATCGACGTCGGCCGCGGGACTGTGGCCCACGCCGTCCTCGTCGTAGACGGCCACACCCTAGGCATCATCGAGAAGGACGAATCGCTGCGAATAATGTTCTACGATCTCGCCGTTCGCATCGATTCCGTGATCTGCTGCCGGGCGTCTCCGTCGCAGAAGGCCGGCTTGGTCCAGTCCATCCGCGACACAGTCCCGTCTTCCCTGACCCTGGCGATCGGCGACGGGTCCAACGACATCGCCATGATCCAAGCGTCACACGTCGGCATCGGCATATCCGGCCGCGAGGGCCTCCAGGCCGCGCGTGTGGCCGACTACTCGATCGCCCAGTTCCGATTCCTCCAGCGGCTCCTCCTCGTCCACGGCCGCTGGATGTACCTCCGCACCGCCAAGTACATCCTCGCGACGTTTTGGAAGGAACTGGTCTTTTATATCGTACAGGCCCAGTACCAGCGCTGGAACGGATATACGGGCACGTCGATCTACGAGGCGTGGAGCTTGACAGTGTTTAACGCCCTCTTCACCTCCCTGCCGGTTATTATGCTTGGTATGTTTGAGCAGGACCTCAAGGCGGAAACACTGCTCGCAGTCCCTGAGCTGTACACGTTCGGCCAGCGGAACCAGGGCTTCAACTTCAAGAAGTATCTCGCCTGGTCGCTCTCCGGCGCCGTCGACACCGTAATCATCTATATGGTCGTCTGGGGCTTCTTCAAGGATATACTCTTCACCGAAAACAACTCCCTCTTCCCCTTTGGGCAACTAGCATTTACCGTCGCTGTGGTGGTTATCAACGTAAAGATCTTGTAAGTCTTTTCCCAGGTATTCATCTATCTTTTTACGAAACGAGTCTAACGTGATGTTCCGAACAGGATCTTGGAGTGCCATAACAAAACCATCATCACATTCACCGGCTTTGCCCTGTCTATCATACTGTGGTTTATGTGGAATCTCGCGATAGGGGGCATCTACCCCGTCGGGATCGGGCCGTACATCGTGCGGGGCTCGTTCGTGCGCGAGTTCGGGAACAAGCTCAGCTGGTGGACGACGGCCGGGGCGGCCACCGCGGCCGTGATCGCGTTCGAGCTCGGCATCACGGCGCTGCAGCGCATCTACTTCCCGCGCGACCACCACCTGTGGCAGGAGATCGAGCGCGAGGGCGGCGTCTTGGAGGTGCTCGCGGAGCACGCCGCTGAGGAGGGCCGCGCGTCCGCCGAGGCAGATCGCCGGGGCGACGGCGCAGCGGCCGCCAGCGATCTCGACCAGCGGCCTCTAAGCCCCGTGCTGAGCGAGGTCTCGTCAGGAAAGGGGCAGCGCCGCAGCTACTACTACGGACCTGAAAGGTCTAACAGCCAATATGTGCCCGGGCCAGCGCAGCGGGGCGAGCGATCCCTAATTAACACGAGCGCGCATGGGCTTACGGCCCATATGGGTGATCGGATATAGACGACATGAGGGAGGGAGCCTTTTCTTTGGAGATATACATATGATTCTCGGAGTAGTTTGGCGTTTGGTGCTTCGATGTGGAAGCTCTCGGTTGTTTTGTTTTTCCACTCTCGAAGGCAGGAGGAGGGCAGGCTACCACTTGACGGGAATACCAAGTGATCATGGGGCTTATGACTCGGGACGCTTATAGATACCCCCAGATGCAATACGGTGTAAGACTACTACGATAACTGAATCTCCAATATATACGCACATTCAAATTTACTTTGCGTACAAATATTTACATACGACCTTGAGACTAGGTAGAGACGGTTGGTTGCTGGGGGGGGGGCTGTGCTGTCGCGCGATCTCTGTTGGAACGCATCCTTGCGCACGGCTTGAACTAGCTATTTAACCACATCCGCGTCAGCCACACCCGTCGATGCCTGATATGTGAGAGCAGGGCTGCCTACTGGACGATCACAGGTAGGTGTGTTACATCGAGGGTTGGCGAGCTGTCAGCGCATGGACGTGGGGTGGTGTAAGTAAGTATCGAACGAAGCTCTACGGTTTCACCCCCTCTTTTTTGCCTCTTCCTTTCTCTCGCCCCCTAAACCTCGGCTGCCCTTTTAGGAGAACCTCGCCTTCGGATGTGGGTAATATGTCGGCCCCGATATACAAATCTTTGGACCAAGACAAGGGGGAAATACGGCTGCTCTACTTAACTTGGAATGGGAAGGAGGATGAAGCGATCACGGCCCGGATGATTACGGCACCTTTTGAGGACTGTCCGTGCTATGCTGCCTTATCCTACGTGTGGGGCGACGAAACGCAGAACGTCGAGGCCGTAGTTAATGGGTCGAAAGTCGAGATTACGAGAAACCTGGCCGTCGCTTTGCGTCATTTACGTAGGTGGAAACTGTTCAGAGGGGCGGTATCTCTCCCGCTGTGGGCCGACGCGATCTGCATCAACCAGAGAGACGTCGCAGAGAGGGGACACCAGGTCAGGCTGATGGGCTTGGTATTTTCGTCGGCCCTATACGTGGTATCGTGGCTGGGGGCTCCGACGGGCGGGCAGGGCGACATCAACTTTGGAGCTGTGCGGCGCTTTGCCTCTCTCCACAAAGGGTCAAGGGGGGGTCGGCTGGCGGGCCAAGCGGCCAGAAAGCGGCTGACGTTCGAGCAAGTGCTGAGGGATCCTTCGCCTTGCATGGGCCGCTATTCGAACATCGAGGAATACATCGGCGCGATAAACCTCGCGGAATCGCCGTACTGGACCCGGACCTGGATCGTCCAGGAGCTGGTCCTGGCGTCGGACCCGGACAGGCACCTGTTCTGCTACGGCAACGACTGCGTTACCTATCGTCAGCTGGAGGACTACAACGACTTCGTCGATGGGGCGCCCATGAAGTGTTCCCCGACGGTGCCGTTGATCCCGCTGGTCGGATACCTGAAGGAACACGGCCGGGACGTGCCCGCGTACGTGGTGGCGGGGATTTCGAATCGCTGCTCTTCGAGCAACCCGCTCGACGCCATCTACGGTCTGCTCGGGGTCGTAGAGCTGGACATCACGCCCGACTACGAAAAGCCAGTTGTCGATCTGTATCGCGAATGGTTTGCGGGCGTACTAGCGCAGGGCGACTACAAGGACATGTTGAGTTGGGCCGGCATAGGGCACAAAGATTATTCAGAGGCCGACGGATTCCCCTCCTGGCTTCCGAACTTGGGCATGAGGGCGAAGCGCGCAGGATTCTCGTGGGAAATGCCCATAGACTTCGTGTGGCGCCCGAATGCAGTCCGGGATGCACCGTTGGCCGCGTTTCCTCTACAGCTGCCGTCAATAAAAGCAGGCGACATATTGAGTATATCTGGCGCCCGTCTGGAGGCCGTGGCCGAAATAAACATCTACGAGTTCCAAAGCGACCTTGTCGCCGACAAGGTGTCGTCTTTGGAACAAATGGGAGTCATGGGGATACCTAGTACTAAAGGAGAGCGGTGTGAAGCAAGCAATTTCTTCCGAACGGAACAAGGAAACCCGGGTTCCGGCCCGGAGAAGACTCTTCCCGGAGATGTCTTGTGTTTCCTCGACGGTCTAAGTTGGACCGCCCTCTTGAGACGTCGGGACGAGTCAACCTGGGCTTATGTCGGCACTTGTCGACTCGACACCCGACCGGACCAGATATACCTTGAGAAGATTCAGCGCGGAGAGATTCTCATCGAGGAGTTCAATCTACGATGACTAGTGCGGTGTGTTAATGAGAACGAGACGCCAGTTACTACAGTGGCTACAGGATCTGGCTACTCCCGATGCAGGATATGGACAGGGAAGGGGTAAAAGCAACTGGCTTATTAGCAACGCGATCCCTTAAGAACCCCACTGAGACGTAGGGTATTAACTCCACTACCTGTATGTGAGAATTGGATCCAGAAACTCAGGAGGATCGGGTTTCTGTGCCTCGTTGTGTATACTTCTGGCAAAGGGGTGGATTCGTATTTATCCAAGCAACATTCATGAGAGTAGTTACGGCTTGCCTACGAATCCGCGAGGCGATAATAGAATATTGCATAGCTATAATGCGAAGTAACAAGATTCTTCCTCGCATCAAGCCGTTTCGTCCTGGTGTTGCCCCCCTAACATGAATGGAATCTCCTATTGGGTTCAAGAAGCTAACCTGAAGTCCGGCCTCTTATTTCCAGAGTCCTGGTGATCAGCGAGGCAGACCAGCTTCTCCTCGAAGACAATCGAATTAATATACAACTTTCTTGCCTTTTATGGTATCTCGGAGTCGCTAACAATAACCCCCTTTACCTTTTAGTCTTTTTCTTAGTATAATAAAAGAACTCGCCTAATGCTTTCCAGACTTTTAACATTTATAAGTTTCTTAGCCTATCGCATCACCCGAAAGTTACCCTCGCCAAACCCCTTAACCTCTCACTAATTGATTACTTGAGCAAGTAGGTTTCTTATATAACTACTAGCAGGCTTAAATCTAAGGATATTGTAGTGGTGCGGTGGGACTAGGCCACGTAGGCCATTTAATAAGTATTTATATGGGTTTCGCACACAGATTTTCATCGTACACACTTCATCCTGTAGTTATCACCATAGCCACCTACTTATAGGAATTCACTCGTCTCTAATATGCCCTTCTAGCCCTCATCACTTTCTTTTGCTCCCAGCTGCCTTTACAGCTAGCCGGTTAATAGTCCACAGCCGGCTACAGCTGTAAGCTCGTCTGATCGGCACTGGGACAGCTGCTGGCAGCTGTAGCTGTTCTTGTCCTATCCGTTTCCCCCAACAGCGTGCCCAAATTGTCCCTCTTCAGTAAGTTAGGTTACCGCTTCACGAGCCACCGCTTCGCGGACTACCTTTTTACAAATATGCTTATAAATAAACGATTTTTACCCGTACAAAAGCGGGTAAATTTTTTTTTAGGTTGATTAGTAAATGGTTTAACTAGTTTTATATAAATTTAGGATTTTTTCCCTTATCTTGATAGGTTTTTATATAATTTTTTAACGAAGGTGCCGAAAAAGTTCGTGAATACCGGTTTAAACCTAATTTTTTACGGCAATAAAGTAGGGCTATTACGTAATCCTTGATAGTATAGTTAGAGAAATGGCCATTATTATTTAATCTTCTTTTTATTTAGTAATACGATTTTTATTTAATTTATTATCTTAAAAAAACACCTAAAAACTTATCATTTTTTTGCAGTTATTTAAGGTCATTTTGTATGGGAAATCGTACCAACCTTTACTGTCTAAATTTCCCATATAAAATCGCGTAAAATAACGCTAAAAAAATAAAGAAATTTAATATATTATTTAGAATAATAAATTAAATAAAAATCGTATTACTAAATAAAAAAAAGGTTAAATAATAATAGCCATTTCTCTAATTATACTATCAAGGATTACGTAATAGCCCCACTTTATTACCGTGAAAAATCGGGTTTAAAACGGTATTTACGAACTTTTTCGGTACCTTCGTTAAAAAATTATATAAAAACCTATCAAGATAAGGGAAAAAATCCTAAATTTATATAAAACTAGTTAAATCATTTACTAATCAACCTAAAAAAAATTCACCCGCCTTTTTACGGGTAAAAATCGTTTATTTATAAGCATATTTGTAAAAAGGTGGTCCGCGAAGCGGTGGCTCGTGAAGCGGTGACCTAGCTTATGTAGGCAAATTTGGGACAAATAGCGGTAGATGAAGTCCGAAATTATTTGCCTATATTATTGTCATATGCTCGAATACCTAAGTACCTTTCAAATATCTTATTGATGCGTGGACTAGAAGCAGCCAAGGTTTGCCTGTGGAAAAAGGGGCCCTCCCACTTCCTCCCAAGAGCGTGCCCAGGTAGTTAGTTACATGTGGTTATTTAATGTGCAAGGGGTTACTACACTGGCGGGCAGTATGTATGCGAATTGCCAACATCGCATCCCAACTTTGGGTGTGGTCTCTGAGCGGCTCTTTTGTGAGGTAGCCTTATTGCGCCACAATTGGGCACCTTGTGTTATTATAGCGCCAACAACACGTTCCAACGCGAGTAGACGATTTGTTGGAGGTAACCACTGACTCCTTGAAGGGCTGAGCAGGTCATGCTGCGAGGATCATGTGGCGTCGAATGGCCGCTGAGGGATACCTAAGCGGCGAGAATCAAAATGCGTTGTGTTGTGGTCTCGGTATCTACATTCACTAGGGAGGACGGATTGACTTTGAAGGGCTGGTTATGCGGATGGGAGAGGTGAAACCAAGCGGACTTGCCTGGTCAGGTCAGGCAGGGCCTATGCCCACAAGAAATAACCTAGAACGTCCTATTATCCTTGATAATACAAACCTCCAACGAGCAAGCCGCGATTTCTCTGTAGTTCCTTGAGGCTGACTCTTGAGGGAGCTATCGTGATGCTTCAGTCGTCCTGGGCGACATGCTGGATAATTACAGCACTTGCTGATCGACCTGCCTCCCTGATATGAGTAATATGTCATACGCACAGAGGCCACTTTCTTCGACCTGGAACATGACATGTTTATCTGGTTCTATCCTACCAACATGCCGTCTTTCAGCCTACGTAGGCACCTACTGTCACCGGAAAGACAGGGTATGATGGTTGCGGCCCGGTCGAAGATGTTGGACTATGTAGGTCGCAGAACAGAGGACCTATTTCCATTTGTGAAGATGTAATAATCGTTGAACCAACTGGGAGAAGTGTTAAGTCACGCGTGCTGCCAGCGATATCGAGGAGAAGACGAGTATATAAGTTACGAATGCCTCGTTAGAAATGCCATCCGAGTCAACATTCACTCGACATCAGAGCATTCAACGATCAAGTTTCACCACCACTATTAAACAAGCTACGATTCCCAAGCGACATCAGATTCGATATCAGGTCTTTCGAGATTAGAAAAAACTTGAGCTTTTTCAAGCAATCTAACAACCCCGAACCAAAGCCAGTATGTATAGCGTCGCTTCCCCTATTTCCTGGGCCTTTATTTTCTTATTTCCTCCCTGCAGTGGTGTTCGTTGGCTTTATTATTTTTACCTAGATGGATTAATCAGCTAATAAGCAATAGACATGTGTGACGGAACTGATTACGTATACACTTGCGGTCACATTAGGACTGTCATTACTAGGGCGTGCGATCGCTGGCCGAATTGTGTCCCCCAGATTACCGAAACCTACAGGATGCGTCGCCGTTGCTATGAGTGCAACACGCCAGATTACGACTGATGGATAATGAGAATGGGAACCGCTACCATGCATCACTAGGAACGAGTGAGGATAGGGGGCACGAGTGAGGATAGGGGGCACGAGTGAGGATAGGGGGCACGAGTGAGGATAGGGGGCACGAGTGAGGATAGGGGGCACGAGTGAGGATAGGGGGTACGAAGGGTACGAGCACGGGTATGGTTTCTATTGTCCAACTCAGGTCATTCGTTTGAATTTCGTTGCGGCTCGGGAAAGATGGGTGCTACAAGTTGCCTTTGATACTAGGGGTCTAACTCAAGTCACTCGTTTTTATACTGGTATAATGCGGAACAATACTGTCTTTACTGGCTTGCTTATTTAACGCGATCGTGTTTCATAAAAACTTGCTTCCTTACAAGATCGGTCTCTCTCTTCAGTCTCTGTCCTGCCCGGCCTACTCATTTCGTATCTACCTAGGTATCTGCCTAACCAAGCTACGACTGTCGGCACAATTAGGTAGATTTTCTGACTAGCATGACGAGATTACCAAAGCCCTCGTGAGTGGGAATCTCGATCTCGTAATATTCGTTCCCGACCATACTTTTTACTCTCGGACTGTAAAGTACCAACAATGTTAGACAAGTGCGTCCACACATAAAACCACCTAGGTACCTAGGTATGTCGCAAATTTGGCTGTGGGATTGTAGCTCTGGCTTACCTGTAAGGTAAAATCTGGCTTTCTCTATCCCATATGATAATACCCGGGCGGCATATGTCTGCCACGATCTCATTTACTGGAGGGTTTGGGCTGATACACACGAGTACACTGGACTCGTCTAACTCCAAAAACGCTTGCGGGTCGTATAGAACGGTCAATCCGAGGGAGTCAAGGATATCCCTATCTCGCTGCGTGTACGCTGGGTCTTGCACGTACCGCTCGGACGATAACGAGAGAATACCACGCTGAACCAGAGTTGAATGAATCGCGGAGACTAGCGCGTGTTGAAGGACGGGGCGATCGAGTAGGCGCGATTTGATAGTAAAAGGACCCAGCGCAAGGGCAACAAGCTTTGTTAGGGCAAAGGGGATTTCGACGGTAGCAAGTATTTCCTGGAGCCGCTCGTAATGTTGGGTCGTCCTCCATTGTCGCTCGATGGCCTGGTACGCGCTGAAGTCTTCTGCGGGTGGCGTAGGCGGTATCCTGTATACGGGGTGATCATCTCGAAGCCACATGATGGGGGGGAAAATCCGCATCGGGAGGTACGCCGACGGGAAATCGAAGAAGTCCGCGTGTTTGTATGGGTAAGTAGTGAGACAGTTGACCGAGTGGTAACGGATCATCCTATCGCCAACTTTAGCACAAAAAGAATAGTAATTCGGCGTGGAAACCTCGGTGCTGTCTCACCACTTCGCAGCCCCGAGATGCTCATTCTCTCCCAGTGGATCGCGGGTAAGGGGGTTGACGAAGACTTCGTAATCGACCCCATTGACCCCTTTCAGAATGATGTTTCCACCATCAGGCCGCTCTCCCTTCTGAAAACGCCGAAGTTCTTCTCCGACTTTACGGATGGCATCTTTTGTGTAGAATGGAGTACCAGCGTCGTAAATGGAGCGAATCTCACGACAGATCGAGTGTATCTGAGAGACTTTTTTGTCTTCGTCAGCCGATCTAGTTTGAGGTCCCATGGTGTAGCTTGGTCACTAAGCAGGAGCCGATATTACCTAGGCAGGTAAGAATTTTGGAAAACACTTGGGAGGTTTTATGCTGCTCGCGAGTATCGGCATGAGTCACGAACCAACACCAACTGAGGATGCCTATCGATCCGGACAACCACATGTGCAAGGCGAGGAGGAGGAGAGAGAGTATACAGACCAGCCCAACTGCATTAGTCCCCTGTACCTCGCCCCGACCTCTAACCGGACTAAGCGAAAAAAAACCCCGCTTTGTGCCGAGCTGTATTCCTGTTCCGTACAAGGGTCGTGAGAGTTTCCTCCCAACTGCATTTCTAGCCACCGTACGACAGTGAACTTGATTCTTTGTCGCAATCAAATGTTGCCCAGGAGCTCGTTTCTCGTAATAAGTGGTGGTTGTGGTAGTGGTGCAGCTAGTTGGTGTTGGTGGTGCAGACTTGGCGGTGGTAGCTTAAGTAATCCCAAAAAAAACTCACCCCAACCAGTTGGTGGAGTGTTAGGTAAGTTGTTTTGAAAAGAGCCAATAGAATCTTTAGGAAGCCGTAACCCGCTTTGGGGCGAGGTATAGGGGACTATGAGTACCTAGGTACCTAGGTAGTTGGGCTGGTCTGTATACTCCTCTCTGTATACTCGTGCAAGGCAGATGTTGAATGCATAGGCAGGTAGGTATTCTTGTGTCAAGTGCTCCGTATGGGTGGCGGTGCATCTTGGAGCTTTGGCTTGGACCACTTAGATTGGGAGCTTAGACAACCTCCATCAGGAGCCTGAACTACCTAACCTACCTACCTACCTACCTCCTACAGATCCATGGGTTATTTAATGGAGGATAGGTTTGATTCCTAACAGCGTTACCTGGCAGTCAGCTAGACTTTCGATCCGGGGTAGCTCAAGTAGACTTAGATAATACCTAGGTACTTAGAATAAGACATGGGGGTGATGTGATCTGCGGTCTTCACGAGTAGAGGGACATGACACTTGACGCGATTTCGGCCGTTGTAGCAGGCCACCTGAGTGCCCATCGATCCTCTCACCAGTCGCCTGGTAGCCTCAACATTAGGTATCATGGCTCTGCTTATCTCTACCTGATAAAACGGGCAGATGGATACGCCATGCAATCCATTCGATTCTCGCCATTCCATCAACCATTTTCTCTAAAGGAGTGGTGGGTTTTGCTGTCCTAGTCGTTGCTGTAGCCCGGAACTAACAGCATTAAGTCTAATCAGCTAGCCTAGGATTAGGCGTTCGATATCCTCGTCCTGGGTGGGGTCCTCGCTATCCTCAAGCTGAGCGTTTCCCTCACGCCAACGCCACCTCTTACCCATAAACTCCTTGAACCAGCCTACGTTGATCTTGCCCTCCATGATCTCGGACGAAAAGAGGGCGGCAGGCTTTCCCAAAGCGCGCTCTACCGAGACGATGGGCTTCAGGGTCACATCCAGGTCTGGAGCCACGAACAAAACGGCGCTCAGCCTTCTCACTCCAGGCTGACGACGGACCCGATTTCGGACAGCTCGTAGCTCGCCATCGCTAACAATGTACGCACACCAGCCGCAGAGCACGACAACCTTATCGGCTGGGACGGGAAGCCATTCGCCGGGCTCGTACGCGCTCTCGATCTCCAGACCGGAGGTGCCGTCCTGGAAGATGATGCTGAAGGTGCCGTAGTCACGATGGGCGCCACAGCCGTTCTCACTCTTCGGGGCAGCAGTGTCGGGAGTGTAGTCACACAGGCGGAAGTTGACGTTGCGGCTCGTGTGGAGCGGGAACAAGTCGGCGCCGATAGCAGCGCCCATCACGGACAATATCTGGTCAGAAGAGCGAGAGCGGTGATGCTGGGGATGGTGGGAGAGGGGAGAGTGGAAGAAATATCAGAGATGGACACCTCTGGGAGTAGCGAAGACTACCAAGTAGCGCTATTAGGAATCGAACCTATCCTTCGTTAAGTAACCTACTAATCTCGACCGCTACTATAAGGTACGCGCCCCCGCGCGCTAGTACCATACGATACTGCCTGTCTCCATACGGTAGATAAAGGACCTCCTATACGAAAGGTACGCTCTACTACTATCGTATAGCCTGCATTAGTACATAACCTCAAGTCGGCTATGTACGCCAACTGCATTGCTTCGTGTCCTCACCGTGTGGGCATAACCCGGCCCTCTTTGCTCTAGGGGTAGACCAGCCTGGATGACGGGTAATGTCGGTGTCGGCGTGTCCCGGGGGTAACCCGGCGCACACGCACGCTAGCACTCTGGTGTTACTAGGCGCCGACGTTACATGAAGGAAGGAAAGCAGTCGCTTCGGAATGGGGGATGCTATATCGGTATTGCTAGGTCAGGTGCCTATCTCGTGGTGATGCCTGTGCTGGCAGAGGTAGCGAGAGAGAAGAAGAAGGGAGGACAAAGAGAGAGAGAGAGGGGGGGGGGGGGGAGGGAGAGAGGGAGAGAGAAAGGGGGGAAGTTCAACTTCCTGTTTCAGTAATGTACGAAATCGTGAACTCCCTCTTGTTTGGATATAGGTATGAAGACGGCATCTAGAGAGGTCCCTAATTCCAGCACAATACAGAGACCGATTGCCACTGTTTCCCTCTATAATACTTCGTAACATTCCCTCCCGTAGCCAAACCGCCACCACATGCCATGTTGACATACAGAGAAGAGATAATATCGGACGGGTGTCACCGTTAGCCCGTAGCCATGGCCACCTAGAGAGAAACGCTCTCATCGGCAACCCGTTTGCCGGATTTCGATCGGAGCAATGATGCAGCCCGAATCGCCCCGGGTTCGACCCGGCCTTTTTTCCGGTGGCCTGTCGTATTCGCCTGCCCCCTGGGTCGTGACACTCGGATTTAGCATTGCTCCCAGTATTATAGCAACAAGGATGTTGAGACAGAGGATCCTTAAGCTTGGCAACGGAGAACATGACGCCCCACGTGAATTCGTAATACGCCCTGAGGCTTTCTGACGCTGCGAGTCGGGGACGTTAGCCCGCCGCCGGAGGCAGATGGGGACAGGAGATATGCGGAGGGATACCTCGCCCCCTAGAGTATCGACTGCCCGCAACCCGGCTACCTGCATCTTCTTGACTTCCTCTGCCGGAATCCGCTCTATCTCTGTAGCAACGGTAAGGGGAATGGCAGGGTCCGGAACTCTGTCTGGCGGCGGCGGCCACTATCGTGGGCGGGCATATTCCCCCTCGGCAACTACTAGGGCGAGGCTCCTATCTCCGTAGTCAGAGGTTTCATCTGGGTATGTCGCATCCATGTTATTGTCTTGACGTCGAGGCATGCGTAGGAAAAGAGGTTGTAAGAGGGAGGGAGGAGAGGGGAGATCGAGTTTTATATTTCGGGTGGTATTGCGAGGTGTTCTGTTTCCAGGGCCCCAGCGACCGCCGCCGGGTGTTTGCTTTCTGGGGTCCCGGGCGGCGCAAAAAAATATATCCACGGAACTTATATCGGCGAGGGAGGAGGGAGAGTGACCACATAGACACAACCGCTTGTTTCATCGACGGAATCAGGAAAGACATGACAGCGCATCTCGCTCGATTCGCGATTCACGGTCCACGATCCAGGGGCAGCAGCCAAGCCACCACCCCTTTTTACCACTTATCTACCTACACAGTCTGGAAATAGGGTGAGAGCGGCGAGGCGACAAGTCCGGCCCCTCTTCCAACACGTTCGCGGCTCGAGCTCACCGTCTCAGAATAATCGCGTCGGAGCCCTCCTATGCACCAGCACTTGGAAGCTTGAACGTATCAACGAGTTTTCGACAGCCAGTCCACTGCCTGAGCCAAGTATTCATCATAGACACACGCCAAGCCACTTCGGGCATCTCGGTGTAGCGTATGATCTACCCATTGATCGCAATCTCCCGGCATTGCTATTACGATTCTCGTCCCAGGGTTTTGCCGCAGATGCCCCCCCCCTCTCCCGCAGAAGCGGTGATATTCTACACCTCTCCTCCTCGATATTCAAGTGCCGAGGCCGAGGAATAGGCGTCTCGAACGATGGGGCCTTGCTGAATCTCTCTTTTAGGCCTAATGCCTCGCGCGCTCCGCACACCCAGGACCTTGTTCCTGGCCTTCTCTGTGGTATTATCCGCCAATCCAGACCTGAGCAGGCTCATATCCCCCATGGCGATCCCCCCGGCGTCTTCTGCGCCGGCACCGGGGCTCGGGCGTAGATCTGGGTAGAAACCCATCTCGATGCAACGCATCGTTGCATTCGTATATAACGGCTCGGAAAGGGACCTGCCACATGTGAATCCCGCATCTGCATGACTGGAGTAATATCCGGGGATAAATACTGCCATGCCCAGCCACTCGTCCACGGATCTAGCTGGCGTCGGCACGCTTCTGCCCGCCATGCAGCAACCTCTGATGATCCCGTTGGCCGTGCTCGCCGGCTCAGCGGTGGCCGCAGCCGCCGGATGCACCACCGAGTACTTCGCCGAGATCCTCGCTGACCGTCCCGAGGTGACGGTCAGCTTCGTCGAAGCCGTGCCGCAGAACGGCAGCTTCGGCCAGGCCGAGACCAACATCCCCTTCCCCTTCAACGCGACGAACCTGCCAGCGTTGTGCGCGGTTGGCATCAACGTCAAGTCCTTGGAGAGCTCGGCGTACAACTTTGGCCTCTTCCTCCCCGACACGACATGGAATGAGCGGTTCATGACTACCGGCAATGGCGGGTTCGGTGGGGGCATCAACTGGCCCGACATGGGCATACTCTCCCAGGTAGGCAACTCTCGTCCATGAATGACATTCTAAAATTCAAGACTCCAGCTGATCGACTTGGGTAGTATGGATTTGCTACCATGTCGACCGACACCGGCCACTCATCTGCTGCCGACGACGGCTCGTGGGGGCTCGACGCCCCTGAGAAAGTGATAGACTGGGCTCACCGGGCCATGCACGGGTCTGTTGTACTCGCTAAGGTGCGTCTGAGAAGCTTCTTCTTTTCAGACTCTCCAGATGCGCAAAACTAATACGTGGATTCTAGACCATCATCACTACCTACTACGCAGCCGCCGACGGCATCAAGTACTCGTACTATGCTGGGTGCTCCACTGGGGGCCGGCAGGGCCTGAAGGAAGTCCAGTTGTACCCGGACTCGTTTGACGGCGTCACGATCGGCGCGCCGGCATGGTGGACGGTGCACCTGGCGGCGAATACCCTGCAGCAGGGCCTCTACAATCTTCCGCTGTCAGACCCAAAGCACATTTCCCCCTCGCTTTTCCCGGCGATCCTGGCAGAGATCGTAAAGCAGTGTGACCCGCAAGATGGTCTCGTCGACGGCATCATCTCGGACCCCTACGGCTGCAACTTCAACTACGAATCGCTCTTGTGCAAGGGAAGTTCGGATACGGAATGCCTCACGGCCGCGCAGCTTGATACTATTTACAAATTCTACAATCCCTGGGTAGACGTAAACCAGACGTTCGTCTTCCCATCCATGGCCCTCGGCACGGACCCAGGATTCGCTATGGGGATTCCCAGTCTTACGGGCTTTGCGTACGGTGTCTTCAAGTGGTGGGTGTACAACAACACCGACTGGGACCACACCAAATTCACGTATGCTGATGTGCAATTTGCAAACTCCATCAACCCGGGCGGCGCGACCGCCGACGACTTCGATCTCAGCCCCTTCAAAGAGCGCGGAGGCAAGATCTTGAAATACCACGGAGCGGTAGATGCCCTGATCCCGACCGGCAGCAGCGTCTACTTCTACCAACAGGTGGCCAAGACCCTCGTACCGAAGGGCATCGACCTCGACGACTTCTACCGCTTCTTCCTCGTCCCGGGCATGAACCACTGCTCCGGGTCGCTCAATGCCCCGTGGTACATCGCCAGCGCGAGCCAGTCGCTGCGCGGAGCGACGCACTCCGTCCCAGGCTTCCAGGACGCCGAGCACGACATCATACTGGCCATGGTGAAGTGGGTCGAGGACGGCGCGGCTCCCGACCAGCTCATCGCGACCAAGTTCGTCGACGACAACGCCGCCCTGGGCGTCGAGAGCCAGCGGCCCCTCTGCCCGTACCCAAAGCACGCCAAGTACATTGCCGGAGATCTGAACAAGTCGGAAAGCTGGGAGTGCAGGAACCTGTATTAAAGGACTTATACACACTCGGTTCGCGAGGGTATAGGTGGACATAGTGTACATAGGTATAAAAGGCGGCCTCTCTTGGGATGGCCTCGCGTTAGCTGAACCTCATGAGAGAGAATTCTCCCAGCCACTTGCTTCATCTGCCCTATTTAATCTTGACTTCCCGTGAAGCTTCAGTGCAGCGCGCCACCCATCGTAGGCCACCGTAGATAAAGGGTCGAGGGCATACCCCATCATCCCACCAAGCAACTTGTAGGTAGGTACTTTCGAGGCAGCACCTCCAACAATCATAGCACAACAGAACACCACGGCTACCGTGATTATCGCTAAACCCCAAAGATCAAACGTCTAGCACCCTCAATAAAAGCGATACTCCGAGCGGCGGCCCGACCGCGGCCCAATACCCCTCGTAAACACCCCCCCCCTCCCTCTGCCACGACAGCACTAGAGCACGCTCTTGACGCGGACGTACAGCGCCTCGGCGTGGGCCAGCGTGCGGCCGCGCACGTCCTCGATCCAGGCCTCGGCGAGGTACTTGCGGCCCTCGACGCGGAGGAAGCGGGCGCGGGCGAGGACGGTGGCGCAGGTGGGGACGGGGCGGAGGTACGTGGTGTTGAGGTAGGCGGTGACGTAGGGGCCGGGGGGGAGGGCGGCAGCAGAGGCGCCGCGGCGGCGCGCGGCGGCGGGCAGGTTGACGGTGGCGAGCAGGCCGGCGGCCTCGTCGAGGAGGGCGGCGACGGCGCCGCCGTGGCAGGCGCCCGCGTGCCCGGCCAGCCCCGGCCCCAGCGTCAGGAACAGCGTGACGGCGTCGACCAGCGCGCCCGGCCCCGGCGCGTCCCAGGCCGCGGCCATCGCCAGCACCGTCTCGCGCGACCGCAGCGTCTCCCCGAACAGCGCGTCCTCCCCGTCCGCCTTCGCCGTCCGGCTCGGCGGCGTCCGCACCACTAGCCCCGGCCCCTGCAGCCGCGCCGCGCACCACGGGATCGACAGGAAGTGCTCGTAGTCCGACGGCGGCGTCCCCGCGACGACGCTGCCGCGGCTGCTGCTGCTGCTGCTACTGCTGGTGGTATTGCTGGTGTGGGTGCTGCGGGGGAGCGACGAGGTGGAGGAGGAGGGGGAGAGGGGCGACGAGGGAGGAGAGGAGTCGGAGTCGTCGGACATGGTGGTGGCGGGCAAATGGAGTGGGACGAGAGACAGATTGATAGATGGACGGCGCGCGGGCGCGAGGTGGTGGTGGTAATGGCACAGGCTAACTCGGAGTTAGTGTTGTGTTCGATTCGTTGACTTGTTAGCTGAGCTGGTCGATCGGTTGAGCGAGACGAGCGGACGGGCGGACGGATGGACGTCGACGCAACTGTGTATGAGAGCTCCGTAAACAGTGAGGATTCTGAGCGGGCGTCCCAGCCCAATCGGCATCCCTACACAAGCAAGTATGTAGGTACTATGGTTTGTACGGAGAGGGCCAAGCGCCAACAACCCTGGTCCCCCTCGACCCGATACGTAACCCCTCCAACTCCAGGGCCCCCCCTGTCGTTCGTGATCGTCAAGGGACAGTGACTGTACGCCACGGTGCGGATTTAGCGACGTACGTACGGTGCTCAAGTAAGAACTGCAGATTGTTGAGCCCATGGGGAAGTAGAGGCTGCATTGTCCGCCGTCTAGGTGGCCTCAAATCATTCACAGATTTACCACCAGAATTCCCTTCTCGAAAATGGACAGACGAAGGTAACCAGAGTTTCCGCCCTCCAAGGTCGCTGGCGTAGACATGGGCATGGACATGGGCGTGAGGGCTGATGCGATCAACGAGTATGAGGATTCGTTCAAGATGACGAAACAGGTATTGCTGATCCTCTTGTCACCCTTCTTTGCCCCGAGAGCGAAAGGCATTGGTATCGTAACTATGGAAGGTTGTGCTGTGCTAGAGCAAAACGTTGAAGCTTGTTTACGTTTTCCCTATTCGGAGGTGTACCTAGAATTATCATGAGCTCCCCATGGAACATATATGTATAGCCACCCTTATTTATATCCCTTCAACGGAAAGTAGTGTTACTATCTACTATATTAAGGCCAGCGCTGGGTCTGGGAACCTCCGTGTTCGGTTTTCTCGTCTAATGGCATGAGTTGCGCGCCAAAGAGGCCGGTATTTACCTAAAATGCAGAAGAGGCCGCATCTAGCGTAACTAATTCCTGCCTTGTCGGGGCCTGGGCAATCGTGTAGTTTGATACAAAAGGGTGGATCTTATATCGAATGAGAAACTTGCACATCTAAGAATCTCCATAATGGGGAAAAATGACTAGAATTGAAATAGTTGCGGCTGAAGGCAGGTACTCAATCTATTGTCTGAATATTAGACACCTATACCAGTTTTACTCTCAACTGGGTCGGTTGACAGCTGCAAGCCCATCTTTCCGCCTAGTTCTTTAGTGACAGCATCGAAGTCGAGCCGACGCTCGCTCGTTATCCTATGTGGCCCCCGTCCTAAGCTAGCCGAGAAGAGCAACGTTTCCTTTCGTAGATTTCAAGTCTCCCGTGTATATCCCAGCTATCCTGTTTTGAGGAGTGAGTGGAGGATCATGGCATGTATCGAGGCGAACGCCAGGCTGTCCAACTACGTGCCCGTCGTTATCGTTTATGCAGACGGACCCAACCCTGCGAGCTTGGTTGACCTAGTATTCTCAAGACAGGAGAGCAAGCTCCCTCTCATGCCCTGGGCAAAAATCGAAGTTTGAGCGGCGGCAATTTCGTGATGAAGCTTTCCAGTTCTTCAGTATCGAACTCCTCGCCAGTCTCGCCGGGGGCGAACGAGATGTCGAAGCTCTGGGCGATGCGGGAAATGGCGATGCGCAGGGCCATCATGGCCAAGTTCTTCCCCGGGCAAGCGGTAGGGCCTACCTTTGTTAGGAACATAATATCACTTCGAAGTCCTCTTCCCCCTGCGGAACCAAGCCTAAGTGGCTATTGATATCACTTACCTAGACCAAATGGTATGTAGGGCGCCTCGTTAGTCCCCATTTCGGCCCGCCGCTCTCCGAATCTTTCGGGCACGAACTCCGTCGCCTGTTTCCAGTACCGCGGGTCGGTGTGAATGATCTGCGTCGGCACGAAGACGTTCGTATTTCCAGGGATATGCTCCTCGTCGACTTGGATGCCCTGAGGCGGCGTCGTCCGAGTGCCGCCTATGAGCAGGGCTGGCTTTAACCGGAGGCTTTCTTCGATAATATTGTCAATATAGCTGATCGACTTTACCTTCTCGTAAGTCCAGGCTTCTGGAGTAGGCACCGCGGCGTCGACCCGAGCCTGCAGCTTCTTGAAGACGGAAGGGAACTTGGCCATATAATACAGAACCACCGCCAGTGTCATGGCGCTAGTATCGCTTCCCGCCACGATTATGACACGGGAATCCTGAATAAGTGAGTCTCTACTCGGCGAGGCGGACGAGTCTTTGGCGGCAACGGCTCTCAAGAGCCAAGAAGCGACATCTTGGGGGGACTTTTCGGGATCGAATTTCTAGAGAGTTCGAATCAGTGGGGCGTTTAACAGTTGATAAGTAATAATAAGAATGCTAGAGGAATGAGGCTTACGCTTTGGCTCGAGTCCAGTTGTGAGTTACACCAGTCGAAGAATGATTTATATCCCGACGCAAGAATTGGGATAGCCCCTATCAAGTTCAACAACCAGGGTACGTGGCTCAGTATAGACAGCATGCTCATATGACTGTGAAGAGCCTGAATAGCAGGATGCTCTATCCCGCGCGAGACGCACTCGAAGCTCTGTCCGAACCCGGCCTCGCCGGCGACGTCAAAGAAGAGGTACATTGTCCAAGTGGGCACGTCTATCCCATCATTACGCTGAGATAGCTGGGCGACAAAAAGATCAACCAGGTTCTTAACTCGCGGTTCGTACATATTCAAGGCTATTCGCTGCTTTAGCAAGCTGGTCGCAGCCCGGCTCTTGAGTGTTACCGGGACGCACCTTTAAATCCCATCCCCATGTCCCAGGCCTTACGCCTTCGCTTATGGTCCGCTGGGTCCGTCGCCATATGAACGGAGGATTTCTTAGAGTCTGTACTCACTTGGGTGTACCAAGATGACTTCCAACACTTCGAAGTTGGTCCATAAATTGTCGCAACGGCCGATCGTCGACGGATACTAAGCTCTCGTGGGCCTATTTGACTCGTCGTTAATCAGCAACTGCGGTAGTGGAGCATTTCTATCCCATGTTTACCTGATCGTACGAAGTCCCCATACTTCTCATGCATCTCATCAACATCCCTATGGTATCGGAGCTTCTTTGCTGCTCTCAACGAGGAGAAGATACGCGAAATCTTGAGGTCTAGGGGCCCAGGAAACCGGTTCAGCGGATGAAAGAATAGCCTATAGATGGTCATGCTGGAAAAGAGTCCTGCGTTGAAGCTGCCGGCGACGATGGAGAGTCGGGTCAAGATGTCGACAACAGGAAGACCGGCAGAGGCGTAAAGATAGGCGAGGCCAGCAATGATGAGGCAGACCATTCCGATGAGCTGATACATGAAGCGCTCCAGGAAGACAACGCGGGCGAAACCGAGATGGAACGTAACCCCTAACAGGCCGCTGTACATGGCGACTTGAGCAGCATGGCCCTGAGAGCCTAGGCCAAGGGTATACTTAGAGAGGAGAGATATATGCTCCATGGCAGCCATATTAAGGAACCGATGTACCAGTTGTGGGTGAGAAAGTGTGAGGATGCTTAGATGAAGAGGACTGACGTTTAGAGCTCGCAGCGGCGACGCTGCGGGTTCGATCAAGAGCGTTGGATTACTTATAGGGGAAGAAAGACTGGCCGGCCACATCCAATCTCCGGGATTCCAGCGCATCATTCTCACTCGCGATGGGAGGTATGGGGTGTATTTTCACCGGCTAGAACTACCGGGTTTCTCATGCCCGACATCTGCAGGTTGGGGCATAAGTCCGAAGATGAGATGATGGCATACCTACCACCTACCTGCACTCCCTACATATTACACACATATAAAACGCATACAACCTCCTCCTGCACACGCAGATTGGCTATGCCCTCTTCCCATCGACATGTTTGCGGGGTAGGTGGTCAGCTTGCCATCGTCATACTATGGTCGAGGTCTGAGTAAGGGGATCGATTTTTACCTGAACATACATACCTAGGCATATATCAGCGATCATGGTTGCATCGTAGCTTTATCAGAATCAAATAGATAGTCGGCGCTTTGGGGTCACTTGGGATGAATTGCCTATCGATTGTCTTCTGTAGGCGTTGGATGGTGGTAAACTCAGTAATATAACTATCGGAACTTCTTCTCGTCGATAAGGTGTGCAGTCACCCAGATGGTGTAAATGCGGGTGTGGCGTCAGCACCGACTGCTTCAGCTCGCGAAATATATCTATTTTTATTTGCCTGTATATCTTCCGCCGTGACGTCTATATCTACTTCGATAGTATCATCGCGATGCAACAGTCAGTTTAGCGACAACCCCTCCTCCCCTCCCACTCCCACACCAGGCAGGGCAGGGGGGCCATCGGGTCTGGCGCCATCAGCGACACCACGTCTTTGCTGATCTTTGTGAACTTCTTTGTAAACGCTTGTAAAGGCAGACTAGGCAGGTAACGCTGGATATGGGCTCATTATTCGAAGTCTCGTCGTCGGTCGACCTCCCAGACCAAGACTCTGCCAAGTCTCTGTTGGCCGTTGGCTCCGTCCATGGCGAGCGCCAAGCGCCACCCTGACTCCATCTGAAGGCCTTGGCTTGATTTCAGGAGGCTGACCAGATCGACTTCGCGCTCGCCTTGGTATTTTCTCCTCTTCCATCACCATCTGATCGCATCATCTTCGCACCCAACCCGTCGAGGCTCTTCGCCGCCCGCCATTGCCATGCACTTATTATAGCGCGCACAGATTCGCACACGTGGTTCCAGGGCCCTCACTCGTCACCGCGTGGCATCCGCTGCCGCTTTGGACCGGGGCCATTACTGGGCGGAAGTGGATCAGTCTGGCATCCTCGAGACCACGACATATCCCGACGACCATCGTCATCTAGGCCAACCGATACGAGGGAGGCTCCGAGAGTCGTCTATCGCCCACTCACTCCCTGCACACCCCCACTCCCCTCCCCGTTTCGGACCATGGCGGGAATCGTGGACGCCAACAGCACGTGCAGCACGCGCAACGCGCTCCGCAACATCACCGACTTCGCGTGCGGCGTGACCTTCTCGTACCGCAGCTGGGCGCTGGAGTCGCCGCCGGACATGCAATACGGCGTGGTGTCCCTGCAGCAGTGCTGCGACCAGGTCGGCGCGCGGGTGCAGCGCATCCCGGGCAACACGGCGTGCGAGATGCAGTTCTGCGAGGTGCCCGGGGAGACGATGCTGGACGGGTCGATCGGGCCGCCGCGCAAGGTCGAGACCTGCATGACCTTCGTCGACGAGACCGACCTGCCCGAAGACATCGCCCAGGACATCACCGGGGCCAGCCACTGGTGCGTTGTCCGCAACTACGACGACACGCTGGCTGCGTCCGATGACACCGTTGCTGTTACGGCGGCCGAGGCCCCGCCTAGTTGGACCTCCGCGGCCTTACACCCGCTTAACGTCCCGACAGTGCGCCCAGCCAGCTCGACAGCCGGCGCGGCGCCCACGCCGACGAATGGCGGAAGCGGCCGGTACGACAGCCAGAGGGCATCAGACAGTCTAAGGATATGGACCATCGCCGTGCTAATGTTTGTCGGCCTCGTCGCGGCCCTTTGATGGGATGTCACGCCCGTCTGCAGCACTGAAAAGTATTCGTCCGGCTCTAGAACTGTTGTCGCAACTTGTTGCGCCCCCCCTCTCCGTCGGGATCACCTTGGTTACATCCGTCCTCCCGAGTCGCGCAAGGCAAGGTGATGTAACGCGACGAATGCTCCCAAGTAATACTCGAGCAAGCGAGCTATCTATTGGCGCCATGTAGTTCGAAAATCATATGTCGGGAAAGGAGTGGTGCTGCCGGATGTCTTCCGACAAGTAGTGGCAGGATACACCTAAGGGGTCGGCTGTGTTGTTGGCGACGGTGAGGCCCAAGACGGAGTCGGCCGCTCGCTCGACGGGTATCGGGCGCAGCGAGCTTTCAGCATATCCAATCGGTTACGAACCCCGGAGGTTACCACGCGAGAGACGAGGGCTCGATGCAGCAGGAGAATTCACATCGGCGAATCCCCATGGAGAGTTGTGTATATGGGTGCTTCCTTAACAGGCAGCTTACGCGCCGCCATTTTTAATACCTACTGCCCTTCAGCCATATGATCGTCGGATTAACGAGAGAGATATCAACACATAATATTTCCGAGGAAACGTTTTATTACTGTAAATATCAAGTATCGTTCATTCAGGCCAGCGTTACCTACCTACTTCTTTATGCTTATAGTATTTGTCCTATTTATCATAATTCATCGTTGCTTGAAGGGGGAACACCAGGTGAATTGAGGAGGATGGTTGGCGATTTCCGACCGGCAGTCAAAAGGAAACTAAGTCTATAGCGCTGTTGTTAGTAGTTATATATAGAAGACTCTCTATATCGGGCCAAGTTACGTCGTTGTAAGTCATAAGCCCAACGATCTACAGCCAAAATGCACACCGGGGGAAGGGCGACTTGCTGATTCGAATGAAGATTTCCGCTGATCGTCCCTCGACATGTTGCCCAGGATCCGCGACGATGCGGGGCAACCCAGCACTACAGCGTCTCCCTTTCTCGGGTGTCTCTCAAACAGGAAGTTCGGGAGACGGGACGTTGCAGTCTGATCGGCACAAAACTCGCCTTCTCCATTCAGCTCTCCCTCTCCTCATCGCCTATTACTTGACTTAGTCACTGCTGCTACTTACCTTCCTACATTCTTCCCTGCCTTGACGTGAGCATCGCGGAAGACGGCGACGTGGACGCACGATACCTAGGAGGTAATCGCCCGCCCTATATCCACCCGAGTCCGTGCCCTCGCCCGTTACGGAGGGTGGAGAAGGATATTTGATGCGGGAAAATTCAGGTTAAATGCACAGGGACAAATCGATCCTCTGAGATACCCACCCCTTGCACTCTTCCCCGCAAGAAACGGCTTGAAGAAGATGAGGCCACGCACACTCGCAAGCGGCAGCGTAATTCTCGCTGCCGGTCTGTCATACGCTCAGGACGAAACAGGGGAGAATCCGGGTTGGCCGCGATGGTGTGGCAAGGTCTACGCGAGTGGGTATCCGTCCTTCGAGCCGGGCGGGCACACGACGGAGCCTGCGCCGGCGAATCCGGATGGTGCATTGAATCTGCACGTGCAGTTCAAACCGCGACATAGCATCTATCTCGAGGGAGAGACGCAAGGGTCTTTTGTGGTCAATGCCGCCCTCTCGCCGTGGTTCGGCGAACTATGGACGGACACCACAGCTACCAACGAGGGATCAACCGCCGAGCTCGCTTTCACGATTAGTCTCACATCCGAAGACGGCGACGCCAACGCACCCCTCGTCGAGAGCAGCATACCTATCGACACAACTGGAGCCGTATTCGACTTTTCCCTGGAGGGCCTCGAGCCCCGCACGTCGCCGTACACAGTCGTGTTCTCGGGGCGAGCCGGCAACGGCTACAACTACACGGCGACGAGTGAGCTACGGTTCCTGCCAGAAATAGCGCCGGGGCACAGCGCGACCAAGATCGACAACCTAAACGGGGGAATACTGTTTCGCAACGAGCAGACGGGCGGCGAGTTCGTGCCGCTGCTGCCGTACGGATACTACGGCCTGTATAATGGGTCGAACAGCACGGCCGAGAGCGAAGCGTTCGTACACGAGTACACGAGCGGCGGCGAGGGCCTCAACGCGATCGTGTCGCTGGCCGGGTTTGCCGACACGAACCCTGTGTACGACAGCATGGACGCGTCGACGATGCGGTTCATGTTCGATCTCCGAGGCTCGTACAAGGACCTCGAGGTGGTCGAGAGGCGGGTTAATACTATCAAGAACCATAGCTCGTTGTTCGCGTACTGGACTGCCGACGAGTAAGTCTTGCTGCTTCCTCTCCTCGCCTGTGTCTATCTCTATACCTCTGCCGATCGATTTTATTACCTATATTCTACTTGCTGACGGACCTGGCGTAGACCTGACGGCTGGCAAGTCCCGTTTGATCTGCCGCCGGCGGCGCAGGCCCTGATCCACGAGCTGGACCCGTACCACCCGGTTGCAGTGACGCTCAACTGCCAGGACTACTACTTCGCCGAGTACTCGTCGGGGGCGGACATCCTGATGGCGGACCCGTACCCGATCGGGATCAACACGACCTGGACGAAGTGGGGCACGACATGCAACGCGACGTTGGGCGACTGCGGCTGCGACAACTGCGTCGGCGACGGCGTGCGCGACGTAGCGCGTCGCTTTGACGACCTGCAGCGATACGAGCGGTGGCTCGGCCGCTGGCCGCTGGCCAAGTTCCACAATCCGCAGGTCTTCCACAGCGATGACTACTGGGCCCGCGACCCGACGACGGGGGAGGCATTCGTGATGAACGCGCTCGCTTTCAATCGCGGCATCACGGGCATCTTCGGTTGGACGTGGCCCAGCAGCCAGGAGCTTTTCGACGCGCACTCGCGCATGGCGGCCGCGGTTACGAAGCCGCCCGTCAGCGATTTCCTGCTCGGCGGCCAGCCCGTCGGTAGGATTCTAGTCACGGTGCCGGCCGGTCAGAGTGTGGATGAAGAGCTCTTGGAGGGGTCGTATTGGGTGAGCGGACACCAGGTACTGGTCAGCATAGTCAATGCTGGGACTGTCGATATCAACGAGCGCCCTACGGTAGCACTGCCAGTGCCTGTAGCAGGTATCGCGGCTGTACCGTTCGGCGACCTCGCCTGGGAGTTGCAGGATGGCCAACTTGCTATTGACGCGTTACCCGCCATGTCCGTTAGCTTCGTAATCCTGGATCTGGAGGAGAGGTAATGCCATGAAATGACGATCTAATGAGAATAAATATGATTCTCCAGTTTAGTACTCGAAAGATTCATAAATAAGCCAATGCTCGCTTAATGTAATAGATTGAGATTATTCATTCGTTGGATACTACGCTGCGAGAACCGTTCAGGAAAGCGGTCAACTTCCTTATCTTATCATTTCCAGGCAATACGAAAATAATTGAAAAAAGTAGCAGCTGTCTGGCCAGCGTCTACAATTACTGCACCTGCTAAGCCCGTAGCTGGATGCCCTCCACACTCTGTTACTGCATACGGCATAACACACGGAATACTACACACGCATCAATGGCTGGGCCGAACTCGAAAAAGAGGAACCATCAAGACGTTGGCTCCAAGTCGAAACCTCAACGACCCAAGAAGAAGCAGAAGAAAGCCCAGTACCACAGCGACTCGGACGAAGAAGCCGCCAACCCTGACTTCCACCCCGTCAACCTCCTCGACTCTGACGACGACCTCGACCTCGACAATGCGGCTGTCGATGACGTCGGGTCGCTGTCGGGTTCGGACTCGGAGTTAGACTCAGCAGCATCCGGTTCGGACCTGAAGTTGGGCGATGACAACGCCGACGCCGCACCTCAATCAAAACGAGCCGCGCCGCGGCGGAAATCGCCGGCGAAGACGAAGAAGGCCCCAAGGGACGACAAGTCCGGGAGCGGGGGGGCGGCCGAGGGCCCAGACGGCGAAAGCGTAGACGACAGGGAAGGAGAAGAAGAAGAGGATGAGGAAGAAGAAGAAGACGACTACGACGACGACGACGCCTCGGCCGCGGCGCGGGCGAAGTCGAAATCGAAGCGCAACGACCCGGACGCGTTCGCGACGTCGATGACGAAGATCCTGTCGACGAAGCTGTCGTCGGTGCGGCGCGCGGACCCGGTGCTGGCGCGCAGCAGGGCGGCGCAGCGGGCGGCGCAGGCGGCGGTGGACGCGGCGCTCGAGACCAAGGCGCGGCGGCACCTGCGGGAGCAGAAGCGGTTGGCGCAGGAGAAGGGGCGGGTGCGGGACGTGCTGGGCGGCGACGGTGGCGAGGCCGCGGCACCCGCCACCGAGTCCGCCCAGCAGACCGAGCGCCGCCTCCGCAAGGTTGCCCACCGCGGCGTCGTCGTCCTGTTCCGCGCCGTCCGCGAGGCCCAGGAGCGCGCCGCCGCCGCAGACCGCCAGGCTCGCCGCGACGGCGCCGTCGGCGTCGACGGCCGCCGCCACAAGGCCAGCGAGATGAGCCGCCAGGGCTTCCTCGACCTGATCGCGGCCGGCGGCGGGAAGCTGAAGAAGGGGGGCCTCGAGGAGGCTTAGCTGAGCATGGTGGTAGGGGGGACAGCACGGTGGAGTGTAGGCAGATCTACATATGGGGCTCCTTTGGGAGGTTGTCTTTTTTTTTTATACCTAACAGGAATGATACCAGAGCAGAATTGACTTGGTCAACATGGTCGCGTTAGAGTTGGGGGGTCTCTCAATCTCCCACGTCCTGCAGCCGTATGTGCCGCTGAGTTTATCATACACGATTTGCGCATCGCGAGACGATGTGTGGCCCGGGCTGTAGTCCTACTTAGAAACTAAACCCTCTCCCAAGATCACACCCCGCGTTTTCGGCGCTGCCGCCCTCTCTTCAAGCGTCTGCAGGCATAGCTGCGGGCTACATTGGTACAATCCATCCGATGATCTATCACATAAATGCCCCTTTCGCCGCTGTCCTTTTTGGGTATTCTCCCCTTCCCCCCTGCTCGACGCCCACGCAAGCCGCACTTGGATTTAAGGTAGGATGGGTATGCTCAGCTGTTGAAGTCGCTCGCTTGGAGGTTGCGGGTCATGGAGGGGAGGCGGACGCGGATGCCGTCGAGCTCCTTGGTCATGAGGACCTGGCAGCCGAGGCGGCTGGTCTCGGTGAGGCCGAAGGCGAGGTCGAGCATGTCGTTCTCGTCGTCGCTGGGCTCGGGGATCTTGTCGTAGTAGGCGTCGTCGACGATGACGTGGCACGTCGAGCACGCGCACGACCCGCCGCACGCGCCCTCCATCTCGAGGTCGTTCGCCTGCGCGATGTCCAGCAGGTTGTCGCCCGCCGACACGGCGAACTCGTGCTCCCTCTGCTCCTTGTCGACGAACGTTATGGACAGCCTGATGGGTGGCGAGGTCAGCTCACCCGCGCATTACAGCGTTATGCCTAGTTTGTATATGCGACTGCACCGAGGAGAGGAAGACGGGGAGAAGGGGGGGCGTGAATCTTACGCTTCGCCGGGTTTTGGTGGTGTTATATGCCCGTGTCGGCGCGTTGCAGAGGCGCTGAATTGTCGCACCAGGGCCGACGAGGGGGGTGCGCGAGGATTCCAGATGAATGACGGACTCGGCTTTAGGATGCCGCTACATGACGACGAGAACACGGGTCGGGTTGAGCGTGTAAGAGACTGGAGAGAGTAGGATCGAAGGTGCTGCCAGCTTCGGACGAGACTTCGGGGCGCTGACATGGCGGGGTCGAGGGCAAAACCTCAGCGCGTGACAGGCGAATCCGGGGGGCCCGGCAACAAAGCTGGAGATGTGGAATATGAGGCAAAACTGCACCGGATCTTATGAGAGCTGGGAGAGGAGCAGGAGGAGGGGGTGAGACAAGGAAGAGGAAGAGGGACAGGGAATGAGAGAGGCAAACTGAAAATGGTGAACTGCTAGGAGGCGGGGATGGGAATTTGGCTCATGAGGCGGATTATTGATCTCGTCGGTCTCCCTCGACGGTGGACGGGCAAGATCATGGTATGGTGATGTGTCTGTCTCACTGCACGGATGACGGTACGGCGACTAACAGCACTACAAATCGGGCAACGTCGTAGAGTATCGACAGCGTCCTGCATCTAACAAGACGAAGAAGATGTCGTGCTTGGACGTGTGAAAGCCGTCGACGGCATGCGACGAGGGCTGGGATGGGACGGCCTGGCCTGGCGAATGGGAGCAGAGGTATTGCACTGGCCTGGATAGCTCCGAATAAAATCTTCTCCAATGGCGGCGGGCCGAGTCCGTGGTCGATGCAGAAAAACCGAAGATGCGATATGCCTCTTATCTAATCGCGCTCCTCGGTCGGGGACTGGCACTTTCGTCCGAGCCGCACCCGTCTCAGCTTCGGCGAATGGAGGGGTTGATCCCCCTCCCCCTCCCCGCCGCCGTGCTTTTCCCCCTCTTAACCCCGAGATGTTCGCCCAGCTTTAAAGGCCTTGTCCGGTCTCATCTTATCTTATCTCAATTCTTGGCTGGGTTTTCTATTGAGTAGGTAGTATATTTTCTCTTTTTTTTCTTCTCTCTCCGGCTTGGCTCTCGCTTATCGATACGAGATCGCGGGACCAGCGCAGTGCGCATTTATCCGTTTCCCTGTTACGACCGCCGGCTTGCTGCTGTGGCTGCGTGACATATCGATTATGTGCGCAGATCATCGTGCATAACCCTCCTTTGCCCCCTGCGCTATGCCAGTTTTATTCGTTTTATTCCCACTTGCTCCCAATATATGCAGTCTGCACACCCCACCTTAGCTAATTAATGCATGTTCACCGACCTTTGCCAGCCTTCCCCGTCCCATCATTCCTCTCGCGTACATACCTAGGTATCTCTTATCCACGAGGACCACGGTCACCGTCTCCGCCTCTGCTGCCCCTCAAGCACAGAGTGGAATATAGCAAAGCACTGCAGCAGTAAGACGGGCCGCTCTCGGACTACCTCGAGATGGCCTCCATCCGGGAAGGCGTCAATCCCCTGCGCCCGTACTACATCCCGCCCACCATCGGAGACCAGGTTGAGGCGCTGCCTTCGCGACCGAATCCCTTCTCCCACTCGATTGCGACGGCGCCGACGTCCACCCCCAATAAGTATGCGTCGAGGGCGCGCGACATCTTCTCCGACATAGACTACAAGGACCACCTCGACGACATATCCCCCAGCACCATCCACTCCGTCAAGCAGTTCGTCGACGAGCTGCTATGGAAGTACACCTCCGTCTTGATGGCCCAGCCCTTCGAGGCGGCCAAGACGATCCTGCAAGTCCGCAACCAGGACGACATGGGTGGTTTGGAGGCCCCTCCAGAGAAACCCCCGCGCGCGAGCCCGAGCCTCGTCGCCCCTAAGCACTCCATATTCGACCAAGTAAGATGGGCGCGTGATCATTTACCTGCTTTGCGATATCGCATCTACCTATCTCCTACATCGCCATCCCTTCCTATGTGCGCTGGAACTGACCGCAACTGGTAGTATCCCGACTCCGACTCTGACCCGGAAGAGTCGGCCTTCTTTGGTGCAAGTACCCCGTACACGCCCACGCCCTCCTCGCGATCGGGCACCCGACGGGGATCGTCGCCGGCGGTCTCGCCAACGCGAAAAGTACCTGACAAAGCCGTCCTCCCCCCGCACCAGCTCCTTCTCCGCCGGCCCGACTCGATATTCGACGTGATCTCCCAGCTTTGGGCGAAGGAGTCGGTTTGGGGGGTCTGGAAAGGGACCAATGCTACGTTCCTCTACACGGTGCTACAGTCGCTGCTGGAGAACTGGTCGCGCAGTCTCCTTAGCGCCCTTCTAAACGTCCCCGACTTGGGTCTCAAGGACGACGTCGATAGGCTGGTTGACATCGCCTCCCCTTACCCCTGGGCGTCGCTATGCGTCGCCGCTACGGCCGCCGTCGCGACGGGCCTTATCCTGGCCCCCCTCGACTTGGTTCGGACACGATTAATCGTTACGTCTACCGGGCACGTTCGGCGCCGGACGCTGGCAACACTACGGTCATTACCTTCGTTGGTCTGCCCCCCGGCGCTGCTGGCGCCCACCATTCTCAACTCTCTCGTCCACCCCTTCCTCACCTTATCGACCCCCCTTGTCCTCCGGTCGCAGTTCCTCATCGACCGCGAGCAGTCCCCCCTGACCTTCTCGGTCGCCAAGTTCTGCGCCTCGTGCGTGTCGTTGTTTGTCAAGCTACCGCTCGAGACCGTCCTCCGTCGCGGCCAAGTCGAGGTGCTATCGAGGCCGACGTATCTACAAGCCCTCGACCAGACGGAGAGGCTAGAGATGGTCGTGCAGCCGGGGCCGTACCGCGGTGTTTTCGGCACCATGTACGCTATCGTAGCCGACGAAGGCTCGCGAGCCGTTGCGGCGGTGGGTAAGATGCCGACGCAAGGTAAGAAGAGGAAGCCGAGCATAGCGAAGGTCGTGTATAAGAAGGGCCAAGGGTTCAGGGGGCTTTGGCGAGGTTGGAAGGTGAGCTGGTGGGGTCTGGTGGGCTTATGGACTGCTGGCGTCGCGGGCGGCGGCGGTGAGGGAGAATTTTGAGGTGGTTATGACATCGCTTCTCTCGTGCAACCATTTTCCCGTTATCATACCTCGAGCCGAGTGGCTGGCGGAATAGGGGAGAGGAACGGACAGGTGGACGGAGTTCAGGTGCCGATGCGTTGGGCCCCCCCGGCTTGGGCAGGCAGTATATTCCCTACTCAGCGTGAACGTGTATATGTCGGTGTGCGGGGGGTGGAGGGAGAAAAAAAAGGAAGAAGAAACGAGAAAAGAAAGCGGCACAAAAGAAAGAACACTTTCACGAGATACGGAGACACGGCATGATATCCTTCTATACCTATTGTTGTACCCTTGAGATTCCGCCCTTTGCGACCCCGAGCAGAAACACGAGATTTAGACCAGTTTGACATACTCTCAACTTCACGTTAAACCCGATGCCCAGCGGCATTTCGCTTAAGGAAAACAGCTTTCGATTCCCTGGTGTCCCCTAACAGGTCAAGAGAGGGGGCACGTGAATGAATGTATTCATCTCCACCCTAGACACCTACACACCCGCCCCCTTTTCCGCAACGTCGGGAGTAGTATTGCTTCCACCACATTTTCCTATTAGCGAGGACAAGAAGCTCCAGGAGGCATCCTCCCCCCACACAAGCGGAAGGGGGGGGGGGCACCAAAAGGATCAAGTCTACGCCACCACCGTCACCACGTTACCACGTACATATCTTCCTAGATACGTATTCGCGATCAGACGATCCGCTGAGATCTTGCTGAGGACCCCTGGGACGACTCTGCAATGGACGACTGCGATATACCTAGTCTACACACACGAAGGTGTTTCGAAGGCTTTTGCGGTGTAGCCGCCTACCCGCGTAGGGGGGGACACTAGGAACACTAAGATGGCCGAGAAGAGGAAAAAATTACCACTAATCAAACCCCCGCTCTCGTACGGCTTACTTCTCGAAATTTCACATACCACTTCCACGATGTTCCAATCTCACCTTGGACGGCGTCGTTGTGGCTCGAACGAAGGTGGCACGAACCCGCCCCGGGGTATACTTCCGCTTACGGCCAGGCGAAACGGCGAAGGTGGAGGCACCCGGGGGTGTTCTAATGTAACCCATCCCGGCGAAAAACGTGATGCGCGACAGGGGTATTGGTAGGTGGAGTAAATGGAATCGTCAAGGCGGACGAGGTTGTTGGCTCCGCAAGCCCGTTCCTTGCCTCGCATCCCGAGGATGATCCCCCGCTGATTCGCAATCGATCGCTTCTCTGTGCCCACCCGCACGCTCTCGGTTGACCCCTTTTCATTGTCGGCGGACGCGCTGGACGTGAAGCACAGGCGCGAAAACAACAGACAAACTGAGAAACGGGGCAAGTCGAGCCGGCTCGCCGTACCGGACCAACAAGTCCACTACTATTTGCATAAGGGGAAAAAAGAGAAACAAGCCATGCTCCAGACGACGTCGGCCACGTAATGCCATGATGCGACGGGGATGGATGGGATGAGATAGCCGTCCCTGTAGCAGGCCCCGAAGCCGTCTGGTTCTCTCTTCTGGTTAAGGGGGCGCCGGGTGGGGGACACGCGCGCCGAGCTCTACCGCCTCTTGGTCCACGCCGGAGATAAAGGCGTCAAGAGTATGCGAGATTAGCAGCATGGATAGCCTTTACGTACACACATACTATCCCTACGTATGCAAATCCATCCTCTGGGGCCAGTGAGACAGGCCAGGCCAAGTTCATCATCCTTACCAGTACTCCGTACTCGGTACAGACTGCCACCACCGCTGACATACCCTACGCATATGCCACTCACATATGATCTCTTGTCTCTCTCGCTCGCGGCTCAGCTAGGCGTGGGTCTTGGGGGCCATAGGGCGGCTTAGGGGGCCGGTTACCGCTAGTGTGGTCACGGCCAAGACAACACGACTACTCAGACCCTTTTAATTTAATTACGGCGTTAAGAGTGCGAGACGTGTTACATCCAGACCTGGATTACTGTTCACATCGAGGATGGACTGGCTCGTACGGGTTTCTCCTCCAAGCATCACCAGATCCGGCCCTCACATGATGGGGTGCTTATTCGCAAGACGTCTTCGGATACGACAGCGAGAACGAGAGACAGGGAGGGCGAGACAGAGAACAAGAGAGGAGAGAGAGAGAGAGGAGCCCGCCTTCATCCCCACTCCGCCTTTACTATCAGGCCGCTCTATGGAATAGCTAGTCTGTGTAGGGCCAACTCTGTCGCATGAAGCGCTCGGGCAGATCTCAGCGTCATAACATATAGTCGCCCACGCTGCTGGACCGCGGGCCCGGCCGGTATTGGGATCTGGGATGCTACCTCGCCAACCTCAGACAAGGTGGGACCTCGAATCCAGGGGCTCATCCCCATCGGGTGGCTACACGACCAATCACCTTCTCACGGGATCGTCAGTTCACCACCTCGCATCGGAGTCTACACCTCTCCATCCTTCATGGCCCCGGTCCATGGAATCTGGTGATGGCGGAGCCCATACAACTGCAATAACACGGCAGCTTACTAGGGTGTATACGGCAAGGCTATCGTCGTCGTCGTCTTCGACGTCGAAGGTTGAAAGTCTATATATCGTGGGGTCCGTCGCCCGACAACAGACAACTCTCTTCCTTTCCTCACCACCACCATCGGTTCACACAGTCCTTTCGCAGAGTCCAGTCGTTTTTCCTCCCTCCTTTTAGTCATTCTTTTCCTCCAGGTGAGAGCAACTAAGCTATCTTGATCGATATCTTCAATTCACTTCGTTCAGAGTAACATTTGACTCCCACTGCCATTCGCTCCCTCACATTTGCTTACACGCACCCAACTTGCACCTATCACTTCCAACCGTCAACATGGGTAACACGAGAGTTTCCACTATCCTCGCGGCCTTGACCTCCGCTGCTACCGTCGCCGCCCACGGCCACGTCAACCACATTGTTGTCAATGGCGTCTTTTACCAAGGCTACGATCCCACCGTCTTCCCCTACATGGCTACGCCCCCCACCGTCATCGGCTGGAGCACGTCGCAGACGGACAACGGGTTCGTCGAGCCGAACAACTTCGGCAGCGCCGACATCATCTGCCACAAGAACAGCGCGCCCGGCGGCGGCCACGTCCAAGTCAAGGCCGGTGATAGCATCAGCATCACCTGGAACACTTGGCCCGAGTCGCACAAGGGCCCCATGATCGACTTCCTCGCACCCTGCAACGGCCCCTGCGAGAGCGTGTCCAAGGAGAGCCTCAACTTCTTCAAGATTGACGAGGTCGGCATCGTCGACCCCAACGGAGCCCAGAACGGCCTCTGGGGCTCGGATGTGATGATCGCCAACAACTTCACTTGGCTCGTCCAGATCCCCGCCAACATCAAGGCTGGCAACTACGTCCTGCGCCACGACACGATCGCCCTGCACGCCTCTGGCCAGCTCAACGGCGCCCAGGCCTACCCCCAGTGCTTCAACCTCGAGGTCACCGGCGGCGGCAGCGACGTCCCCACTGGTGTCCCCGGCACTCAGCTCTACAAGGCTGACGACCCGGGTGTCCTCGTCAACATCTACACGACCGGCCTCCAGTACACGATCCCCGGCCCGGCGCTGATTGCTGGCGCTTCTTCGTCTGTCCTCCAGTCCTCGTCCCGCATCACTGCCACGGGCACTGCGACCGTCGGCAGCGGTAACGGCGGCGGTGCCACCACGACTGCTGCTGCCAGCCCGACCACCACCGCTGCTGCTCCCACCACCCCTACCACGCAGCCCCAGCAGGCCACTACCACGACCGCGAACCCCGTCACTCCCACGACTCTCGTCACCTCGTCGAGGGCCGCTGCCCCTACTACTCCCGCCACCACTCCTGCCACCACTACTGCCCAGGCTTCCCCCACCGCCGGTGTCGGCGCGCAGAGCCTGTACGGCCAGTGCGGCGGCATCAACTGGACCGGCCCGACCGCCTGCGCCCAGGGCACCTGCAAGAACTACAACCCGTACTACTTCCAGTGCGTGTCCGCGTAAGCGAGACACGCTGACGAACGCCAACGCTTCGGGGGAGGATGCATGCGACAGGTAAATGGGGGGTTTAGACGGGATAGATAGGGATGGGAGGAACGAAGAGGGAACTACTCGACACTCATGCGGCACACAGGCACACTTGAATGTGACCGCGCCTGGTGCCGACCGGAACGAAAAAAAAACACAATAGCGACGACGACGCGACTACGTGAACCGACTTGGTCTCGGCTCCGCAACCCCCTTTCTTACCTTCTTGTATCTACGATTATACGCCTTCTTGAATTGACAGTACATACAATCAACCGTGCTCCCCCGTGCTCGTGAGTGTGCATCGTAGTAACTAGTAGATGGCGGCCCTAAACACTCCAGCCTATTCCCCCGTCTCCTTAACCATCTGTAATAGTAGGCTTTCTCACTCTCCTTGGCAGTGGGCCGACACCCGGCCGAATTAGGCGGCCCAGAACGGCGGTAAACCCCCTCCACGCCTCGCGAACAGGGCGTGGCCTCTTGGCCTTGACGTAGGTAGGTACGTACGTAGTTCGCCTGCAGACGAACTCGCCGCCGCCAGACGCACCTGAAACGCCCGCGCGTCGCCGCGAACCGGCCTTCCCGCCTTTCCAGCTTAGGCGCCGCCTGGCTAGCGCGCGCTCTCGCTTAGGGCGCTGGGGGGGCTAGCCGAGGTCTGCTATTCTTGTGCGCTTCGGGTATGGGGGCCCGGGGCGCTGGGTGCTATTATGAGGTAGGTGGCTGGAGGGGGTGGGAGAGGCGGTCCGGGGAAATTTGCTGTCTGTGCCCTAGGGCGTTGGGTAGATGTCTCCGTCGTCGGTTCGCTAAATGGTCCTAGGTAAGTTGTGTCGACGGAGCTCGCGCGCCTGGGACGTGATGCGTTTCCTGCTGTTTGGCGCGCGCGACCACGCTGTCTACTGGCTCGGCTAGGTTGCTCTCGAAGGTATTATTGATATCCGTGGTTATTTGAAGGTGGCCTTGCTGTTCCAGGCCGCGGCATCACTATCGTAGAGTAAGCCCCACTGTGCTAGATAGTCTGGCAGATAGTCGCGCATGGGTATCTTCTAGCTTCTACCATTACTATTACGTAGGGTGGATGTTATTGAGGGCCTACTTTTAGCGGTATCTGGTAGGGGGAGGCAGCAGATATCTGGGAGATCGAGGTGATAGAGCTAATAAGAAGGCATAGCTAGTGCGCCAGCAAGGCAGCAGCTATATAATAACTCGTATCTCCCAATGCTTCTCACAAATTGGGATGTATCGTATTATGGACAGGATCGCAAATAAGCCTATATGGCTAGATGGGGAAGTGTAGGCGTCTACCGTAGGTAGGTATTTACTCTGGAAACACAGTGCCGGTACTCCATAGCAGTAAACATTATGATCCGTCAATTTGCGTCCTGAAAGTTCCAATACAAATGTAGCATTTCCACCTCGGCTGTTTATAAGAGCATATGGGCCTGAATCCGTATAGCATAGAATAGATAGATTCGGCAATGGGATCAAGTAGTGACATTAGGTACTTTTACTGAGCCGAAGTAGTTGATCTTGACTGCCAGAGGTCTCGGACACATCATGTAAAATGCCCGTGATAGTTGCCTATAGCCACCTGCTTACAAGGCCAGCCTGGTGCTAGATGTACTCTTGAGGATTTACTGTTGACTGATTCGTATAGATTCGTAAGATCGCAGCAGGAAGTTGTTCACACGCCGTATAGAGGAAGTTAGATTTGTTATCGACTTAAATGTCTTTGGGTATGATGAATTCCTGTATAGTCGTAAGAGTACAAGTGTCTGGAGTTTGTCTCCTTAGAAAAGGACATCTCCGTTCAGATTACTTGCTGGCTTCCGTTAGATGTATAATGCATGTCTTCCGCTTGTTCTCGCTGCAACCTCACCCTCTGCCCGCGAGATCCCTCGGATACGCCCTTCTATGGCACGGTAACGCACGTATTAATCACGATGCCCTCCTGATCTTGCTGGAAATTGTTTACGACGTCGCGAGTTAGGTACGATCAATGCTTCCAGTGGGATCTTCCCCATAATCCAACGCCTATAACAAACACTGTGCACCCAGTTGCCGGGCGACAGGACACAAGTATACGAATCTCGCGCCGTGGCTGGTCTTGTTGATAACTTCTCCCGCCTGTCTTCTCTCTACAGATTACGTGTCCTTTCCTAGCCCCTCATCTTTCAACCCTCCTCAAACACAAGGGGAATCTCTGCCACCTTCTGTTTCTCAGCACCAACCGACTCCCACAAGGGAATACACGCTTCGACATCCCCTCTCGATTCCAGCTTCTCGAAACAAACTCCGTCGTCACCCGTAGGCACTCCACTCCGAAGGGATGTCGGTCGAATGCTAATCTCGGTTCATCTGCAGAACGCAAGCTTAGTATCAGGATGAGTTCTAAGCCCCCAGAGCCACCCGAGACCCTTGGATCCGGCGCGCCGGGCCAAGCCTACGTCGGCAAGAGCCTGTCTTACATTGATGCACCCGGGAGATCCAAAGAAGAGCGCCTGGTGACGTTCACCAATATTCCGCAGGGAACATTCGACGCCCTCCTGACCTCCACGGAGGAGCGCATCCGCCTCGCCGAGGACCGCCTCGGCGCCATGATGAACACCCAGGCCGAGTACCAGAAGTGCAAGAACGCGCTGCGCGACTCGCTGCGGGCCGACCCCCACGTCACACCCTACGAGATAGCGCGCAAGTGCTCCGAGGCACAAGAGCGCCTCGACCACGAGATAGTGCGGGTGATCCGCTACATGATTGACGACATCTTCGACTCCAAGTTCAACCACATCCTTCTGCTACAGGCTAAGGAGCTCCGCAAGGTGAAGACCATATGGCCGGGCGATGCAGGAGATGCCGCATGGGACAAGTTGTGAATGGCGGGATAGGCCCATGTGTTCCTTTGGCTGCGCTTCTGGCCCGTCTCGGATGAGGGTGGTGCAGAAGAGGGACTGGACTCCCAGCTACGGACGGCTCTTGACGAGGAGTTGAAGCGTGTCTGTTAGCGGATCTCAAGGACGAAATCTCCATAGCATGACAACAGGAATAAGAGATGCGGTGCGTTGAAGATTGTACCTAGGAGCTAGATAAGCAGATCGTGCGGGTTTCCTCGCCATCCACACGCGTCTCAGTTCAACCTCCCTCCTTCCCCTCCCCCTATTTGAATCTCTATTACTGTTGCCCACGGGCGGGTGAGTAATTTGTTGCCGGAGCGGTGCAGCTGGCGTAGACGACGCCACCTGGTCCGCCGGAGCGAGGCCTGCGTTTGGCGGGCCGCCGACAGTGCTAGCGATCGGCACTGCAAAAATTGAGGATTTGAAAGTCGAATGGTTACACAACGTTACACGGGCTGGATATCGCCTCCGATGGGCGCCTCTTCTCGATTCATCGCCTATTTTTCTCGTCACAGACTTCGTGATGGTTGGTTGGGACACGTAGACATACACGGCTTGCTGTCTGACAGGAGGGATTCTTGTCTGGGTTGCTTCGCCGTATGATCCCGTCTCCCACCCCTGCCCCTCCCCCCCCTTTCTTTCCCCTTTCCCCCGTAACATCAGCCATGTATCTATCTGTATCTACCCGTATCTGCATCGTAGAGGGGACGTAGACGACCAAGTATCCCGGTGTATTCGACCCCCTTGCTTTATCTTTAGGGCGCAACTAACTAGGCAGGCCGCAGTCCATCTTCAAGCACCCGCCGAGGACCTTAACCCGGTAGCTACACCCTCGTCACGGGACTCTTAGGCGCTGGGTAGCATCGCGCGCGCACGAGTCGCGTCCCTAGGCGACGAAGACGAACCGTGCCGGGAGCGTGCGGCGCCCCGTGCTCGTGCGCGCGCTTCCTCGTACACAGAGCCTGCCGCGGCGCAAGACGAGAACCGAGACATTCCTAAGTACCCAAAGGCCGGGGGGCGTCCGCGGCGCAGAAGCGGGCAAGTAAGTAAACCGCAACGCCGGATGGGCCGGAAGCTCGAAGAGGAGCTCTCTAATCAGGAGCCGGGAATGGCGACAGTAGAGGTCGATACACACACTTGGAGTGACCCCCTTCCGCTTCCTTTTTTCTTAAAAATTTGCCATAAGCCACTGCGATGCAATCCCGTCGGTGTAGATATATGTCGCTGGGCCGTGGAGCGTGTCATGTGGTTTGTGGTTGCGCAGGTGGGAGCGGAGACGGCTGGTCTAGCCTGCTTACCTACCTACATACTCGCCCGTCCTCTTCCCACGCCCGACCCGTCCGAACTCGCATCGTCACACGAACCGGCAATGGATGTAACTAGAACACGACAAACGCCTCTCTCGTGTGCATAATGACCACCTCACCACCCTCTCCATGACCGTCAGGGAAACGTACGTAAACGGCTTTATTGCTTGGGAGAAATCATCCACGTCGCCGAGGCAACATTAAGCAGCACCTATTGATAACAACACATGTGAACATTCGTATCCGGCAGGAATAAAGGTATGCATGGCCTTTCCCTCCCTCCCACCATAAAACTCCGCTGTGCCACCACCTAGAAAGCAACGCCTCTCTAATGCAATGTTGGCATATGGCTCTACGAGCCCCGACACCCAGTTAACCCGACTGTCGTCTAGTTGTACAACGGGGTAGGGCCATGTAATCTCCGAATATAACCGTTATCAACTCTATATCTAACGCAACCCCTTCTTGCTTGTCTGCGTTTTTGTGGTAATAGCTGCAGTGGTAGCAGTAGTAATGGTCGTTGTCCTTGTAAATGCGCTTGTTATCATTACGCCAAAAAGAGTAAGTCTCTGGCACTGCACGAAATGGATAAAAATAAACCTTTCGACGCCAATCATTGTAGCTCAAAGAAAGATCCCCCCGTGCCGGTAGAAGCTTTGATTATCTGTGTCTGGTCGACTGCGGAAACGTTGTAAAAGCAGCCTGGGCGTATTTCTCGGAGCTCCCGAAGCCCTAATCCGAGTCCTCCATGTCCATAGCGTTTCGTTCTGCCTCGAAGCTGTCGGCCGTGACGCTCTGCCGGTCCCTCTCGCGTTGGCGATCTTTTTTAGGGTCGTCCTCGTCATCCGCATTAGTCAGGTCTTGGAACATCTTATCCACGTCTTTATCGTCTTCCTGTTGGCCCTGGCCAATGTTCGACCGACTGCCGAACGCGTCGTCACGGCTATTCCACACCCCGGGACCGAAAATCTCCTCGGCTCGCTTGCGCCCCGTTTCCGTCAGGCGCAGCATCTCCAGGGCCTTGGCTTTGCCAGCGTCCGTACTCAAGTTTATACCGTCGTCTTGTCCGCGGGGCAGCCGATCTTCGAACGCCAACGTGGAATCCGGAGCCGCCAGGCTAGGTCCCGGCCCACCATTGCCACCAGATATGAAGAAGTCAGGATGTAAGCCCGGGGGGTTGCCCATCTCCAGAGGATCAGGTCGTAGCGATGACCCCGGCCTACTAGAGGATATGGAGTTAGATCGCTGGGGCGCGTGGGCGTGAGGGGCGCCCGCCAGCGACGGCGTCGACGGTTGTGAGCCGCGTGAAAAAAAGGAATGGTTTCCGGTAGCGAATGAGTGCGGGGTGGGGCTGGTCATGTTCGGGTGGGCGAGCCCGGTGGTTGATGACGCTGCTGCCGCCGCCGCCGCCGCCTCGGCGTTCATTGCCTTGCGCTTTAGGCTGTTCGCCTTGCTTTTCATGTTTTCCGGGAGGTCGTCGGGATCTTCCACGCCATACTGCGCTAGCATCTTCTGCAATTTCGTGGGCCGGGGCTTTCGAGTACTCTTGGAAATTTCTAAAACCGGGGGCGGCTCGGGCGCGACGGGGCTCCATTTATGCAACTCCTGCCGGAAGAAATTTGTCTCCATGGACAGCAGGATCTCGGCGCCTTCAATCTTTCGTAAATAAAAGCGCTGGGTGTCGGCCTCGGACGGTGTCGCAAGGACCGGATTGCAGAATGCTGAAATATGATTTCTGAACTCTTGGGCGTTGTCGATGATCTTCTTGAGCAGTTCCTCCTCCTCAGGTTGGAACGGCAAGGTCGGAATCTCCTCTTGCCAACTGATAAGCTCCTCGAGCTTTGGCCGAGCCGCGTCTCGTGGAATCTTGACGCGCCAGTCGCAAATCGGGCAGGTGTACTTATCATCCTCTTTAACCTTCCCTCGAGCGATTTTCAGGCACTTGCCGTGGTACCATTCGTGGCATAATTCGCATTCGATCATCATCCCGGCCTCGATACGACGGCAGATACAAAACACCTCGACCTGGGTTGGATCCTCCCAAGATCGAGACACTTTTGCCTCTCCCTCCTCGCTCGCGGCCCTCGATGCAGGCTCTGCAGGCAGGCGAGGCGTGTCGTTGCGAATGTCGAAGCAAGCCAGATTGCGTTCCAACACATATTCCATGTGAGATTTCAGAATGTGGAGTGGTGCATTGGTTTTGCCAAAGAGCTTTTTGCCTTTGCGCATCCAATCCTCGTGACGTCTCTGCTCCTTCTCAAGATCCAGCGTGCCCGTCGGTTTGGAGTTAAGGTCTTCCAACTTTTTCATGATCTCAACCACTTCGGCATACTTTGGCCTTTTTCTATAGTCGGGGTTCAGCGACCGCTCGGTAATATCGATGATCTGCCGATGGGCTTCTCGTTGTTTGTGCAAGATCTGGTCGACGGCGGCCAATGTGTCCGCGCTGACTGGGAGGGAGTTGCTCTGGACTTGGTTGGACAGGGCCTCGAGCTGCGGATAATGGACAATCTCGGCATTGATGAGCTCCCTTGCCTTGGATTCCCATTGCTGACCCGCCTGGTATTTGTCGCCGTAGTATTTCATGTTGTCGTTGTACAGCGGGATCTCTAACCGATGGCCCTCTTCGAGGAGATCTCTGACCTCTTTCAAGGTCAAAAATCTGCTGCGGCTAGCCCTGGCTTTAGCATTCCACTTGATCTGCTCTAGAATCTCCGAAAGCCTGTCAAGCTCCGGGATGTCCACGTTGTAGGCGCGTCCCTCCTCGATCAGCTTTTCGATCGATTCTTGGTCGTGCCTACGGATGTGCTCTAGGGCTTGCTCCGCACTCTTCTGGAAGCTCCGGATGTCGTTGGCACGTTCCTGCAAGTGTTGGATCTCGGGGCAGTCGAAGCCTATGCGTTCGGCCTCGTCAATTAGGCGGTAGATGTTGTCAACTCGGCGGAATTCGCGCTCCCTAAGTTCCTGGGCGGAGAGGCCTGGACCTACTGATCTTCGCAGTCCGCTTTGCCAGACCTTGTCGTTCTTACGGCGGTTCTGCTGCTTTCGTACCGTATAATTAGTCGCTTCTTCGACCCATTCGTTACACCGGTCAACGAATTCCCTAAGATCTGGCAAGGAGGGGAGGTCGTACGGTATTCGTTCACCCTCATTGAGGAGATTCCGCAGCGATTTCAACGCCGGCTTAGATCCCTCATCTAGTAGCTTCTCGAACTTTTCCTCCCAGGCCTCCGGCATATGTGCCTTGTCTGCCACCTTTTGGTACGTCTCGTCTAGTTGGTCGTTGGTCTTGCGGTAGTATAGTATATGCTCAGCGCCAGCGAAACGTTCAGCTTCGGACATGTCGCAGCACGCGTGGTGTCCGGCGTGCCGAAGGCACAGAACCCTACCCGAGCGGTGGCATTTGAATCTCGACAAGTAGGCGTAGCACTTGCACTGAGCGCACTGATATTCCTCCTCGGGAACGTCTTCATCGAGAACCTCAAAATCGAGGGAGCAGTTACCAGCAGGCTCGACATTTAGAGAACAGGGATCGTGATTGTCCTCCCCGTGCCTGGCGAAGAAGTCGTCGCGCCCCCCTAGTTCTCGCTTCCGTACCCTGCCGAGCGCTGGCGCAAGCCACTTTGCAGTCTGTATCGTCAGCATGGAACTAGTTCCTTCTGCGGCCGTCCAAAGTAGCTCATCGTGGGAGAAGCATGGCTGTCGTCGGAACTGTTGCAGCCGCTCCACACCATCAAATCCGTAAGGCTCCCAATCGCTTGGCGCGAAATTAACGGCTTCGTTGAAGTTAAAGCCATGGTTAAAGCCAGCATGGTAGGCCTGAGGGAAGGTGATGACAAGCTGACCGGCTCGCTGATCGACGGCATAGACACGGACGCCGGCTTTCTTGAGATGCTCGGGGGTGAGGAGTGTGACAAGTTGAAATAAGAGATCAGGCTGTGTTTCAAACAGCTCCGGCACCGCTTCCATCATCGCCTTTTCAAACTTCTCGGTGTCGTCGGCTGGAATGCCGTACCACGTCTTGGTGGCTCCGAAATGCTGGTAATTGATTGAGTACGCGAAGTGATCCTCGTTGTGCCAACAGAAGGTAGAGAATATCATGCCAACATATACCCAAGGAACGGTCATGCCCGAGATATCGGACTTGATATGGCGGAAAAGACTTTCAGGGTGAAGAGGCATGAGGTTCAAATTCCAAGGATCGGTCGAGTACGGATCACACGGGTTGCGTTCCGCGGTTGGGAATCCGGAGCCGTGGGTAGTGCAGTGGATATCGGCGCCGTATTCCACCTCAACCGTCTCTTCGATGCTGGTGACAAGCCTCCAGAATTCCCTCTCGACGTCGTCCTCGGTGACCGGTCGGGCGCAATTAAGGATGGGATCGTAAGGCAAGCGGCTTTCGAAATACGATTGCTTGAATTCGGCGGCCTTCTCCTGAAACTGCTTAAGAGAGTAGAGCCCGCCTTCCTCAAACCCGAATTGGCCGTCTCCAACAAGGCACCTGGGGCAATTCCAGTCGGCGTCGGGCTTGGCTTTAAGCGGAGGGTCCAAGCACGTGCCATGATACCCGTGATCACACGATTCACAAATAGCAACGAAGCCCGCGTCATCGCCTTTGCCGCAAGTCTCGCACTTCTATACAAGTAGTCAATAAATAGGTCACTCAGACTCACTGCGAAAGGAGGGCAGGGCACTACGTATCAGATACTTACCTCGCCAGGACTCGATGATTCATCCCGGGGTGCTGGAATTCTGGGCGCAGATGGCCGAAAGACCGACATATGGGATCCAGCAACAGTGGGAACGGTTTCTGGATGTCAGGTTAGTTTGGGTCCGTGCGTAGTCAAATCAATGATCGAAACTGATATCAAAATCATTGAATGACATGGCCTCCACTCGTGCTATATATTGCAGCATAGGCACCCTGTATGAGTGGTGGCATTGGATGTGTCTGGTCGGTGGACCCGACGCGGAAACGGACATGCCTCGCAAACGAGACCATTGCAAATGTTACGGCTATCACAATTCCGGTGATATTTGATATCGACAGCCAAAGCGGACCAGGAAGACAGAAAAGATGCACAAGTGACAAGCTGAAGGACTGTGTATATTCTTAGGAGTACACCGGAGAGACATACCTTTTTTCAGACGCTTACTCCTTCTACTACCGCTTTCTGAATCTTCCCTGTCGGTACCGGTCTCTCGCTTTGTGGAGTCTAGACTGTCGGAGCTGAGCTGGCGTTTAAGTGATGTTGCGTGGCCGAGCGTGGAAGGTCGGATATCCGGCGTGTTTTTGCCGGATGGGAGCGGGCTCCCATGAGCCTTAGGAGGAGGCGTGAAGCTCTTCGGATCTGTCGGATTCGGCCGGTTGACACTGGTGAATCCGGAATTGACCGCGGTGAAGCCTCCGGAATTGATAGCCGTAAAGCCTCCAGATGAGGGCAGAGAGGGGATAGGAGCAGCATCGGCCATAATCGTATCGCGATCGCTCTCCTGCTTGGGTGCATTCAACGTTGCCTGCAAGACATCACTGGCGTACCGAGCAGGTGATTCTGCTCTTAAGCTGGATGGAGTATTGACCATTGACCGTTTTATGGGACTGGGTGCTGGGCTAGGAGTCAATGGCCCACCATACTCATGCTCCAATTGCTGATAGACACCGGGCTTTGCCTGGCGCAGATAGTTTTCGTAAGGGGTCAGCCATCGGTCATATGAGTTCTTTAGAGAGGTCGATAATGATGACATTATCTTCCCGCTGTAACCCAGATCTCTTCCTATCTCTGCCCATTTCTTGGTTTTGCAGACCTTTTCGAACCCGCCGCGAGATTCAACGGCCTTCTTCAGTCGAAATAGGTCGAGAGGCTTCTTATCCACATACGGTAGTCGGTTCAAGTTGGTACCTTGCTGCTTGTGGAATTTGGCGAGAGCATCAAGGTAGGTCAGATTCGCACGGGTGCCTTGCACGTTGAGAATCAGAGGCACCGAAGACGAAAAAAGGTGGTGCACAACTCACTGCCTTCTACGGAGTTCAATTCCTGTTTCCTTGTTCTAAAGTGAAATTTCTATATACCTAGTGTTAGTATAGATCGACAGAGATACGCTTCGGGGCGAGGTGCTAATGGCCGTAACAGGGTCCATTGCCTCACAGGCCAAGCGGAACCACGTAGAGAATGAGTCTGCTCACAGTAGTATCGATTGCGAAGTCCGGATTCCACGAATCCGGGGGGATGATCTTGCAGATACCGAATTGACGAGCCTCGGGGGTAATATTGCGGACGTACTCGAATGGATCTCTCCATTCCTCTTCGGTGGGGCGATAAGTTGGTGCATCTTCGAGTCCGTACAATCGGTTTCGCTTCGGTGGCTCGCGACTCGTAGTGGGCTGGCCCCTTCGCTCAACTGATGTAAGGTCTAGCGGGGCACTTCGCATGGCGCTGAGAAGTACTGGAGGGTTCGTGGGGTGATAGCCGTTCGAGTTGACCTGCGTCTTGGACTTGGGTGCAATGGAAGCGGAGGACGACGAGGACGACGCGGCATGAGGCGCCGCGTTGACGGATCCGACCGCGGGAGAGGCTCGAGAACTCGCAGTTGCGCTGCTGGTACCTCCGACGCAGCCGCTCAGGCTAGCCGAGGGAGTAGAAGCCATGATATAAGACGACAGGTAATGGCACAGTGAGCCGATAGAAGTCCCAGGGGGGGGATCTTGGGCAATCGTAGCGGAAGCGATGGTTCGAGTAATGGCCGACTACTTGTATCGGCCACCGGAAAGTGGTGGTGCAGGGTGTGACGCTGTCGAGGGAGAGCGAGCTAGAACGTGCATCGCATGGGTGGCTTCACTAGGCCGTGATGATTTCGCGGCTCGAGTTCGAGAAAACGAGCATATGGCGCTAGGGAGGAAGAACGCGGCGATATCGAAGTCGCCAGTGGATTCGATTGGGGCGCGATGTCGGTTGTCGATCGGTCGGTCCAGATGGGAAAAGCCGAGGGACGTGTCGAGAGAGAGAGAGGGAGGAGAGAGACGTCATGTAAAGGTGCAGAGGCCTAGAATATACCGGCCAGTCCGACTTGCCGCCTCTGGCAACCCTAAAGTAACCTGTGCTTCTGCGATGTCCTGGCGGCGCGCCGCGACTACCGCCGCACGATCTTGAGATCGGGAGGATCAGCGGATTCCTAGCGATATAAGAGGCCAAGGGTCGGGGCTGTGGCCGCTCGGAACACAGAAATGAAAGGACCAGGGTCGAGCAGCCGGCGTGGCTGAGGAATTGGAGCGTCGGCAGTGGCACCGGCGAAGTCACGGTGGTGGTTGTATGCAGTTGCGGGTAGAAGAAGAGAGGAAGAGGGAGAGGGCCGGACGAGGGAGAGAGTATGGAGGTTTAGTGAGGAAGGGTTTTGAGGCATAGAGGTGCATTGGAGAAAGAAGAGGGTAGTAGGCATGGCTGGATGCAACTGCACAAGTTAGCTGGATTCGGTAGGCATTGCCTGCTATAGGGACTAATCCAACAGCGACGGCCGGCAGGCTAAGAAGATACCTCCGCCTCTGAGTCGGCGCACCCACATGCTCAGGTACCTAAGTATCGAAGTACCTGCGGTTAGGTACTTCCCTACCTATGTACAGGCAGGAGGGACACGGTTAAGGCGGGCAAGGGACCTTCCGAAGAGGTACGGGGTACCAGGCCGACAAATATTCGCTACATACGATGCGGGCTATTCGGTGGCGCTGGCATACCGGCCCACTACCCAGCAGCGTACCTTCAAGCAGCGCAGTACATGTGACCCCCGTACTCGTGGTGCATGGGAGGCTGCATATAGGTACCTATGTACCTGCTTACCGACGACGGCGGAACTTCCGTGATATGGATAGCCAGAGAGAATGAATGATGCGTGGTTGCCGAAAGGAAAACCGACAGCATCGACACATACCTCCCGGGTCGACGTAGGAGGTACATGCATAGGTACTCCTAGAATGTACTCATATAGGTGAGTAGGCACATTTGCCTTAGGGAGGATGTTGTATGTAACCTTGAGCATCTGCTAGGCCGCGGATGCACACCCACTTGCCATAGGCAATAACCTACTAGTGCGTATAGGCACGTATTAGCTGTGTGAGCATCGCAGGTCCATACATACGTATATATATAGGAGGTATATATAGCATATCTCATACGCGGAAGAAACACCTCGGGAGCCGGTCCACGAGCATACACGGATATGAAGTTCCAATGTTCCAATGGTCCCTACGCCCTATATATAGGCGGTAGAGCCATTATAAGGCGAGCGGGACTAAAAATGTTGGGTTAGAGGTAGGTAGGTTGGTACCTTTAGATCTCAGGTGGGATGTACCGTCTACATACCTACGTACAGGCGCGGGCACGGGCGGCTTTTGCGGGGACTTGGGGAAAACCTACCGAGATACATAAGCAGGCAGGCAGGAACGCGGAAAATACAAAATACATACATCAAGCACCTTGGGCGAGGTACCTCTGAGCAAACCAGAAGCGGCTGGGTACATATTGAATGGTCGACCCTACGTACCTAGAAGTACCTCTTAGCTTGGCGTGATGTGGATGGGAGGGATTGCGACTCACAGCAGGTGTCTTCGGAATTTTATGTCTGCTAACTATAGGTGCTACGTTAGGTAGGCACCCACCTAGAGGTACCTCTCAATACCTACCTTCGTACTCATACGTCAAGGTTAACTTGGGCTAGGTACCTGGGTGGGTACTTGAGCTATACATATATCCCACCTGCATGGCCGCATCTAGTACCAGGAGCAGTCGGGGAGAGGAAACGGGCCCAATCTGCTTGCAGGGTTATATGTACTCTCTGCTTGGTCTCACTCGCAATCTATACCTATAGTAATACATCCGCGTCGCACATCTGCCCCAACCCGGCGTCGAGGCAGCGCGTACGTCCCACGTACCGACCAATTCATCCGCACGTACCGACCTAGATTTGATGGAGGGACGTTGTAGCAGCCAACCCTAGAGCTTGCAACCATGTCACATCGCCTTGAGGGAGTCCCAATCACGTATTTTGTTCCTCGTCGCGGGTGAGCTCTCACCTTCGCAGATTCCTCCCTGCCCTCTACTATCGTATAATCATGTGAGACGATGCCTACTACCTACCTACCTACCTACTGCGCAGCAACTTGGACCCGGTCAATTCAGCCGCTAGGAGCAGGTTAGGAGTGAGGTGGGGAGGTTGGCCGTCTCACTGGCTACGGCTACCCTACGAGAGAGGGAATGGCTACGTTAGACAAGGAGCAGGATGGTGTCTCGATACTCGAAACTACTGGAGCCCACCGGCCCCCGCTAACCTGGAAAAATCAACCCGAAATCGAGAAGCTGTCGGAGCGTGAGCTTCAGTGTAGGTTGCTGGGTATACCTGCGGCCGTGCAAAGCAAGTTGCGGGCTGACATTAACTATCCTCCTAGCTCCCCCGTCTCAGCCTAGGAATCCAAGCAATGCAGAGGCGATGGGGCCACTAGGACCTTCAAGACGTACGATGAGATGTGCGAAAATTCCATCCAGGCAACATTACCGACCTATCGTGTACCACTTACGTAGCCGGCATGTACCTATCCGTGTATTGGACGTAGGTATGTGTTATATAGGTGTATGTATATATATATATATATATATATATATATATGGATATATGGAGGCGGGTGCTGGCAACCGCTCGCTTTCAGCTCGGGCATTGTCGCCGTGTGCGCCCCGGGGGGTTCGTAAGATTACGTAGCGGGGGAAGGGAGGCGAGGGGGGGGCAATGGAAAAGAAAAGGGGGGAGAAAATAGAGAAGAAGAAATAAATAAATAAATAAATGAATTGGCTCAAGGGGAAGGGTTGTCGAATAAATAATGGCGAATGAGGTTTAGCTCCCGTTAGAGCCGAGAGCTCTGTTCGCGGGGCTTCTCTAGCGAGAAATCGAGCAACTCTCTACCTCAGGTATAGCAGATATGTAGGAGTTAGGTATGAAGGGACGAGAAAGCAAGGAAGATGGAAAACGGGAACAGGAAAGGAAGTGAGGAGAGCGACGGCAAACTGGTAGTAAGTTAGAGGTACCTAAGGTTGTATGTGCGACTACATAGCAGGTATGCATGTAACAATCGACTAGCTGCATAGCATCGCCTGCCTCACACGATAGGAGTTGAGGCTGGACAGAATGACGCCAACGCCGCCGGATAACTCAATAGCAATGCGTCTACTCTACACCGATGAGGCGGGAGGGGGTGCCATGCCGGACAAGATGTGCCACAACCTGTAGGTAATGATTTGGGGTCGCCTAGGAGCTTTCTGGAGGTCTTCGTATCGGCATCACCAACCTGTTTTCCTGGTTTCTGGTTTTCTTTTGTCTCCTCTTCTCTTAATGAATCGGGATCGTTCTGTATCACCTTGACTAAGCTTATCCACCCACCCATCTAGCAGCGGTATAGGCGGTCGGTGGGAATATACCTGGCCAGGCCATCCTACATATAGTGGCGGTCAGACGACAACCTGCAAGATTTGAGTCTTCACGTAGTACAGCCGGATTTAATCGGGCTGCTGGATGTTTGCCGCGACTCATGCTAGGGGCGGAGAACACGATTGGGTTGTGTCCTCTCGGACAGGGCCTGGAGGGTGTCATGTTGGTTTACCGGTTGCAGCAGCATTAGGGGAGGGGAGTCACAGGATGTACTGGCAACTAGCAGGAGGGGAGGGGGGGGGTGGTGTTGGGAGAAAAAAAGCAGAAGAAACAGAAAGACAAAAAGACAAGAAATAAAGGAAAACCCAGAACCGAGAGAGAAGAAAAAAAGGGCGGGATGGATTGATATCAAAAGCAGACTTGCCAGGGCCGAGACCAATAAAGCCCTGCCAGGAGCCAATGGAAGAGCCGTGACGTCCAAAAAGGCGGTCCGCCATACCTCTGGCTCGGTCTGACGGGGCACCACGCGAGCAGTTCGATTCCTCCCACCGGCCCCAAGTCCAAGCCCCATCCTGCCCTGGACCCGAGGTGCTGTTGGGTTGCGAGAATGAAAAAAAAAGGGGTGGAGGGGGAGGGGCCGCCGCTGCGGGGATCTACCCCGTCTCCCTGCCTATCATCGTCGACAACAATTACGCGTTATCCTACGTAGTGTGAGGTGGTATTGCTGGTGGTATTGCTGCGTCAGGTAGATACGAGGAAACGTCCGTCCTAGTTACGGTGTGCGATAGAGAGCGCGTTGCAGAGTACACCGATATAGAAGTAGGTGTGCAGAAGCAACTCCTTTGCAGAAGCTGCTCGTTGGGTGGCGCGCGTCGAGAATGCGATCGGTGTTTCTCACAGCGAGGCCGCGATCGACTCGGATTACGTAGAGGGATGCGCGCATATCAAAAGCAACATCGGACAGGGGACCGCAGCAGCGTGGGAGTAAGCCGAAGGAGAAACGTTGTCTATACACTCGTATCCCTAGAAAATATCACGTACGTAGCACAGGGAACTAGCTCGCCCTAACCTGAGCTTGATCCGGTCGACTATCATCGACGTCTCGCTACCTAATGTCACCCACTACTCGCGATGCTGAGGTAGTATCCAACTGCGGCGTGAGAGCGCTACGCTGTCGTGCGCGGTCCTGCACGGTGACTGCACTGTTTCCCGGTAGGCATTCCCGCATTCCTAAATAGCGCAGGCTTAGGTCGTAGACTCGGCCCGCGTCGCTCGCTTTTTCCTCGGCTTCTTGCGGAGGAGCTTATCAATCTCCTTGGGGTCCCGTATCCTGAGGCTCATCTCCCTCATGAGATCGCCCCATACGACTGGCCCCTTGCATTCGGGGCAGTGGCCGGATATGGGGAGGATCTGCTTCTCGGCCTCCCTCCCGAGCATGTGCCTGCTCCAGCAGGTTACGTGGCCCGTACCCTCGCAGCCGGCATTTGGGCACGTCGCATACAGGCCGCCGCCGGGCTCGAGGTGCTCTCCGCACACCACGCAGTCCCCCTCCCGCTCGAAGTCGTACAGCGATTGGGTCTTCGCTACGTAATCCTTCATCGGGGCGTAATCCAGTGGTAGGGCGTGGATGCCCCAAAGCGGCTCCGACTCCCCGTCGCCGGGGTCGGGGCTTCTCGACCTCTTCGCACGCCGGCGCGGGGGGCCGAAATCCGTCATAACGCGGATCGTTTTCCGGAGGGGTTCGTCCGCGGCGCTGCACCACTCCTTCCACGTCGCGTGCGCGTCACGGGCGAAAAAATGCACGCTCAGCGGCCACCGCGAGAAGCTGGGGACGCGCAGGAGGAGGTGGATGTTGGAGACGATCAAGGCCAAGTTGTGCCTCGGGCGCTTAGGCATGCCGTTCCGCTTCCTCGAGGTCCAGACCGTGATCCGGGACGAAGACGGGATGTGCGAGGATATGTGAGAGTTGTTGAGGGCCCATCTACGTTAACAGTTAGTCTGTATACCTAGACCCCAAAGGTGACCGATCCGGCTAGGGATGCGCACTCGAATTTCAAGGCAGCCACCATCCCAGGAAACCCGGAGACGAGGCCAACCATCTCCCACGGTCTCAGCTTGGTTCGCGATGTACGCGCCGCGCCGCCTGGGACGTCGCCATTGTGCTGCTTCAGCCGGCGAGGCGGATTGGGCGTGGATCCGATATAGAGCGAGCTGTTGCGGACGGTTGAACGTAATATGTACACGGTGTATAGAGGAGGAATAGGCTTCAGCAAGGCCATCTTCGAATTGTACTGGTTACCGCCGGGCGCGCGGGTCTCGGCGAAGGGGTTGTGAGGTTGGTGCGTCGAGTTGGGGCAGACGTTCGTTCGCCGTGGAATGCCAATTCCATCTCGATTTCCCTCGAAGCATGCGATCTCGAGGTCGGACGCAGCTTGAGTAATAACCACGATAATATTGCGACGGAATCGGGACTGTTGTGGGTAGGGATGTACCAAATGCATTATTTACCTCTTTGAGGGCCTGAAAACGTCACCGCAGGTAGGTATAAATCTACGGTGGTGGGCGGCGTGGTGGGGTGCATCGGGTACCCTACGTAGGTACACGCCTGCCCACAGAACGCGGGCAGGTACATTAGGTACTCCCACAGTTATCCTCCGACTTCCCGTCCACACGTAGGGATGTTGGCGGGACACAGACCAATCGGTGGGAGCCCGGTCACAGAGTATCGATAAGGGAATACATCGCGGGTGTGGGTATGATATGCATATACGGCAAATAACCAGCTAGACCACATAATGAATAAAGACGAATCCCCCAGACAGATTCTATGCTCCCTCACGCCAGCACTAGTGGTGAGCTCTCTCTATGGCTGATTACCCCCAATAGTTCAACAGAGGCATCCCTACAACAGACCTTGCTTCTGCAGATCGTAGTACACCTTCTCCGGCATCACGTTGCCTTCCGCGTCCTCCATCTGCACCACGCTTCCCTCGTCCACCTTGTCCTTGCGCTTATCCTTCTGCATCTTTTCCCATAACCGCAGCGCCTCGTCGATTCCCGTGATGTCCCGGAAGAGGCTCGTGTTGGTAATTCCTAAGCACTTGAGGCCGTAAATGTGCCTCGCCTCGTTGAAGTGCTTGTCGAAGGCCCGACGTCCCATGTACACGAAGTTTCCGCAGATCCCGCAGGGAAATTCGACGCCCAGCCCGTGAAGCTTGTACAGCCAGAATGGGATGGGCTTGCCATCCCAAGCGAGGGGCAGCTTTAACGGGTTATAGATTCTATCTTCGTCGTCGTTCTCCTCGCCGTCCTCGGGATCCCTAGCCTGAGACGTAACCGCGGCAACGCTGAACAGGTTGTCTAGCTCCTGTTGCCTCTCGCGCTCCGTCATACCTTGCTTTCGCTCCACGTTGACCCGCGTATCGCCTCGCTCGGTGCTCATCGCGCTCGCTAGCCGCTTCACTCGGAATTCCCTCTCCGCGATGGCGCGCTCTTTCAAACGGAACGGGGAGGACCCGCCCCCGCTAACGCCGTCGGACATACTATCCGGCCCCTCGGGCCCGCCTTGTAACCTCTGAGCTCGTTCCGCCGCTGCCCTGATGTGCTTCTTGCCCGATAGATGACCCTTGTATACATTCTCATTCTTGAACTCCTTCTCGCAGTCGTCGCACCATACCGCGTCAGCCGCCAACGACTGTTTGGTGGCGCCGTTGGCTTTCGAGTTGGGCTCCTCGCTCTGCCATTCCGTGATCTCATCCTTTTCCCACAAGGTACTGAACTCGTTGTCGAAGTCGGCGATCACCCTGTCAACGTTCTCCAATGGCCTCGTCTTCCGCATGAAGGTCTCCAGATCGAGAGCCAGCTGGCCAACGTAGTTGAAATATTGGTCTGTCATCTTTTCGGATCTCTTCAATCCGCCGGCACCGAGGGTGAAGTTGTCGAACAGGTCCAGGTACTGAAGATAACTCAGCCTCTTGGCGTTGGTGAGGTTGAGGTAGAGCTCGTGGCAGGTGTGGAGATCGAAGAAGCGGCCATACGATTCCTCGCCGGTGAACATGGCATCCACGATGCTCGGTTGGGATTCGGCGTCGGGCCCCCTCTTTGGTCGATAGGCGCGTTCTAGATTCTCAACCGGCTCGTTGGGATATTTCGCGTGGAAGCTTTTGATGTCGGCGAGCTGCTTGTAGAATTCGTCCATGGGATCGCCGGCACCGATTCGCTGGATCTCACGCGACCTCGACCCGTCGACATCGCGATAGATGGTTAGGAGTTTGGAGGACTGCGAAGATATGCGATCGAGAAATTGGGCTATTTGGTGGTCTCGCGCTAGGCGGTCGCGTATCTGCGAGGCAGTATTAGCAATGCGGTTCTCGACCCGGGAGGGAGGGAGGGAGGAACGGACGTGCTTAGGCTCATCACCAATACGGTCTGCGATGCCCTGCTCGAGGCGCTCGAGGTCCTCGTGCAGAAATCTCTGCTCTTCTAAGAGCATGCTGGGGAGCGGGGAAAAGAACTAGATGAACAGAGATACAGCCTGAGGTGGAATTTATACCTGCCGAGAAATATAGAAGATCTAAATGGGGGTCGACCTGAGAAGGTAGGGAATGAAGAGTCGAGGATACTAGTTGAGTTGATGGAGCGCAGCAATGGGATATAATTCCTACTGTAAACAGGGATTGGATGCTTAATAGTTGCCATAAGCAGCCCTTTTCGCTCTCAGCTGTCTCTTATCTCTTTATCGAGCCATAGATGTACCTATGTACCAAACAGACCCTGCTTACCGCCGTCTCCATAAAATTTTGACGACCTTGAAGTGAGGTCGACAGTTGAGCTCTCTCTCTTCCTCTCACTGCGTATACTCCGAATCGCCAAGTCAAGCAGCTTCATTCTCACATCATCTACGGATCCTCCTGCATACATTCTCGCATCTTACCATTGCCATTTTATACTAACCCCCGAGAATACCCGCAATCATGGCCGAAGGAGGAGGCAGTGGAGGAGGTATCGATCGCCGTGCCGACGAGAAGATGGAGTTCAACACCTCGAAAGAGGTCACGGTCCATCCCACCTTCGAGTCTATGTCGCTGAAGGGTGAGACCTCGTTCTCTCCCTCTCTCCCTTCCTCGCTTTCGCGATTCCCTTCTTCTCTCCACGTGCGTATGCTGATTGTAGTCTTGCCGATGTAGAGAACCTGCTCCGTGGCATCTACGCGTACGGCTACGAGTCGCCTTCGGCCGTCCAATCTCGAGCTATCGTCCAGATCTGCAAGGGACGCGACACCATCGCCCAGGCGCAGTCCGGCACCGGAAAGACTGCCACCTTCTCCATCTCCATGCTCCAGGTCATCGATACCGCCATCCGCGAGACCCAGGCTCTGGTACTTTCTCCCACCCGCGAGCTCGCCACGCAGATCCAATCGGTTGTCATGGCGCTCGGTGATTACATGAATGTCCAATGCCACGCCTGCATCGGCGGCACCAACGTCGGCGAGGATATCCGGAAGCTCGACTACGGCCAGCACATCGTCTCTGGCACTCCCGGCCGCGTCGCCGACATGATTCGTCGCCGCCACCTGCGCACTCGTCAGATCAAGATGCTCGTGCTCGACGAGGCGGATGAATTGCTCAACCAAGGGTTCCGGGAGCAGATCTACGACGTCTATCGATACCTACCGCCCGCCACCCAAGTCGTCGTCGTCTCGGCTACTCTACCCTACGATGTCCTCGATATGACGACCAAGTTCATGACCGACCCTGTTCGCATCCTCGTCAAGCGTGACGAGTTGACCCTCGAGGGTCTCAAGCAATATTTCATCGCGGTCGAGAAGGAGGACTGGAAGTTCGATACCCTCTGCGATCTTTATGACACGCTCACCATCACCCAAGCTGTCATCTTCTGCAACACCAGGCGCAAGGTAGATTGGTTGACAGACAAGATGCGTGAGGCGAACTTCACTGTTAGCAGCATGCACGGTGACATGCCGCAGAAAGAGCGCGACAGTATCATGCAAGACTTCAGACAGGGCAACAGCCGGGTGCTGATCTCGACCGACGTCTGGGCACGTGGTATCGATGTCCAACAGGTCAGCCTGGTTATCAACTACGATTTACCTAGTAACCGAGAGAACTACATCCACCGTATTGGCCGAAGCGGACGTTTTGGACGTAAGGGTGTGGCAATCAATTTTGTTACTAGTGAGGACGTTCGAATCCTCCGCGATATTGAGCGTGAGTCGATTCCATCTACCCCTTCCCTCCCCAACAATTCCGTGGACACACAATACTGACGGGTATAGTGTACTATTCCACGCAAATTGATGAGATGCCTATGAATGTGGCTGATCTCATCTCTTGATTGTCGACTTATCGAGAACTTGGCAGCTCTCCCTAAAATAGATGTAACCATCCAGTAGGCGACGTCGCGGATTGGAGGAGGTCTTAGTAGTGGGAGGAAATGGGCATGTTGTTTATAAGTGAGTACTTACCTGCCCTTACGGCATGTCGCATCTCGTCAGTATGGTTCTAAACTCCCGCTAACAACTTAAGTCATATAGCGCAGAGTCTCAGATTGTGTCCCCACTCGCGAGATCGAAAGTCTCTAGCGACCAAGTGCAAAAGACCTTCAACTCGTGGGAGCTCGACTGAGGATGTCACGCCTCGTCGCACATATAGGGAATGCACTCGTAATTCCAAATGCTACGCGATTGGCCCTCTTAATGGCCCCGAGACGCATCAACCCTGACCACACCGGACTCAGGTTTCTCCACGAACTCATCTGGCCGTCTGTTGTCAGAGAAGAGAGAAAATTTAGAAACCTCCGCACAAGCGTGACTTGATTGAGGTCCCGATACCGCCGTGGCAGGTAATAAGCAAGGAATTCGATACATAGATCTATAGCACAAATTATCGACAGCCAAATGCACGTTGGGTAACTCTCGGTAAACAACACTCTTCGTACTCTGACTGGACCCCAGATAACGAACACTACTCGATGCAGACTTCCATCACCGCCAAAGCGCTCCCGAGTGGCTTAATCACGTTGACAAGTTTGAGCTTGGGGTCTGCCGCCTTGAACAGTGCTCGCCAACTGTCTACATCCCGCTCGACGCTATTGAAGAGCGCCATCATCGCAATGTCCAACGTCCTGGTGAAATATTAGACCGAGGTGGGGCGATGAGACAGCCTGCTTACCTCGTTTGGCGCTCCTCGAGAGTGCTCAATGTGCCGCTGCTGACCGCAATATTATCCATCACAACGATTCTGGCCCCAGGTTTCCGAATACCAGAGAGCTGAGACCGTAGGATGTCCACTGCATCCCCGTCGGAGTGCAGGTGTAAAATCCGCCGAAGCAGATAGACATCTCCATGCGTGATGGGTTGCGGCGTGAAGAAGTCGTACTCCACGAATCTCAGGCGGCCACCGAGATTAGCCACCCCCTCTTTCTTTGTAACCTCCTCTGCTGTCGTGTTCAGGTTCTGTACAACGAAGTTGAGGCCAGGGTTGACCTCGGCGATGGCCTTGGAGTAATGCCCGTTGCCGCCGCCCACATCAACGATCGTTGCGCCATTGGGCAGGCTTGCCCAGTCGAAGCCATGTACCAGATGTTCGACGCTGAGCTGTCGCCGCTTTGCCATGCCAGCCATGGCGCGCGCATATCTATCCCCACTCGTCGACGTCACTTCGGCCGCCGTCCGTGGAGAGCCGGAAGCAATATGTCGATCTACAGCGTATGTCGGGCCTAGCGGCGCGATCCGACTCGTCTCGTCCTGGCCATCGCCGCTACTACTGCGACGGCTGCCAGACCACTTCCGCGGGGCAGCCCTGGTCTCGGTGAAGAAGGCGCTCGAGCGCAGCGAGTCTTGCGTCAGCCACTCGACGGCCATGCCGGTATCCTCGTCCAGTAAGACGCGCGAGTTGCGGTTGTGCGCCACGATGCGCGTGCCCGGCTCGCGGAAGATATGGTATGTCATGAGCAGCTGCAGCACGCGCGCGCACTGCGACGTCTCGACGCCGGCACGCTGCGCCAGATCGTCGTACGTGATCGGTGTGCCGTCCTCGGGCACGTACGAAGCGAGCCGGAAGTGGCAGGCATACTGCAGTGCGGCGTGCACCCGGTGGCCCTGCGCGATGCCCATCACATCTACTTCGTGTCAACAACGCTCACCCAGGAGTCCAGAACCTCTCGACTCTCCAATCGGAGATCGTGCCCAAATAAACAGATGCGAAATGCCATTAGGAGAAAGACGGTAAGGAGAGATGGCGCGGCATACTGTGGCCAATGTTAGCTCTCGATTACCTCGGCGGGCGGCAGACGGGCAACCCCTCCTCGCCTCCCTCCTTCGCCACTGACCATTCAATGGGGCCGGTAACGAGATGGTTCAGCTTATCACAAGCCTCGAGGAGCTTCGACCTCGCGACGGCGAGGCTTGGATCGCCGTGTTCATCGGCATAAGCATGCGGCGGCAGACTGGTCTCTAGGATATCCGCCTGCTGCCGGATGATGTCTGCGAGCGCAGACACTGTCATCTGATCGCCCATCGGGATGTGTCTCTACCCTCTCTTCTCGGTCCCTTGCCTGCAGCTTTTTGCACCCGCGTTCTCGAGCCGTGCGGGATTATGAATGCGGGCGCCCGGGATGCCGTCTACAGCTGGGTAAAGATGTTGCCGGCACACATGTAAGCGGTATCTAGACGCGCCCCGGGCTTATAAGGGCTTGCATGTTGCTGGATTCCCACATCGCCGTGCCAGCTATCACGTCGTACACGCCATTCCCTGTGTCCTTTTGTTGGGGTTACCCAGCAGCCCGGGGCGCGGAGTTATTGATCTAATCCCTATTCGCTGATGCCTTTCGCTCCGCGTATCGATGCCAATGAGAATGCACGGGTGTCTGATCTTCCCCCTTGCGGGGAGGGGGGTGATGCTTACTGAGGATGCGTTCAGCACCCGGACCGACGGCTTAGCTTACCTACTCTACCCTGCTAGCTACAACGGCCGGCAATATCTCCTAGACAAATCCCCTTGGCACGTAACACCGCGTTATCTCCCTGTCCTGAAGCTGTGCGAAGACGAGAGATGCGCGGCTGGACGGGCCGCCCCGCGCGATCCGTGTTTGCTGTGCGGACGGTTGCGCAGCCCGCAAGATATGTTGGCCCCGGCCGCAGCAGCAGCCTCGCGCGGACGGCCCGACTTGGTGGAGGGAGACGCGCTTTTCACGTACGTAAAACTAGAGCCGGCCTATAGTAGGCGTCCCAGCGGCAGGCCGCCGCGCGTGCGGGCCTCCCGCTCCCTGCATGGCGCGCAGCTTGGCGATCGGATCGGGGGTCTCGGGAGCGCGATCGGTCCCGTCTCGATCGCCATGTTGCGCATGCGCCCATACATAAACGTGGCTCTGAATTCATTAAGCATCGTCGCATCAGCAATGTCGGTTACCCCGGCCCGTTTTTCTTATTCATACCGATCGATCGTGTGCTGTGTTGTGTAGCTGTGCGTAAATATGACTGCTCGGGGTGGCTAAGGGATATGTCTTGCGCCACGATTTACCCATATCGATTTACCGGGGTTGAGGCAGCTTGCCGTTCGGCTTTCCCGGCGATCCCGTATATAGGATAGCAAGGAGTCACGTTGCGTTCGACCCTCTTGCAAACAGACAGAGGAGAGGGGTGCTGAACACCGTCGAGAAAAGTGCTGAGGCTGAGCGGGACCACGACCAGCATTGCCTCCTCAGGCCCCATCACCATCAGAGAAGAGCCGCCGACAGAAACTACAAAGACCTTGTGGGCAGCCATATATACTACTTACTGGTTACCAGAAGTACAGGTGAAGTGCCGGACGTGGCGTGGGACGCCTGAGCGCCCCTTTGAATTCTGTTGATGGAACTTCTTTGTCTTCATATTTCTAGAATAGCGATCCCCCTTTGTCGCCGCCCCTAAGATAAGACAGACGCCCTTGTGCGAAGAAAAATGGAGCGCAGCGCGAGCTTCCAGACAACGGGACCAAAGCCAACCCGCAGGCTTTTGGCGAAACAAAACTATTGACTCGTGATATTAAATAGCCTAGGTCGTGCGAGGCGTCCTCTGGCCACCACGTGTTCGCGAGCAAACACGGATCGGCTGTATCGAGTTGTGAAGTCGGCCCGTTGTCCACCCACCTAACCTACCTACGTATTTGTTGCTTGCTCCGCGCGCGCGCTCTGTACGCCCATCCCGCGATTCATCATCGACTCATCCCATCCCATCCCATCCACCCCCTCCCCAAACTAGGCGCCGCCGCTCTTACCACCACCACGACCACCACCGCCACCACATCCGATCGCGCAGACAGACCATGGCCGACACCGTGCGCATGCCCCGCTTCGACCTGACGGCCGACGAGCAGGCCGAGACGCGGCGCCACGTGAGCGCGTCGCTGCGGCGCTGCGGCGCGCTGCTCGCCGACCGCGACCGCGACCGGCGCGCGCCCGACGCGGACCTGCCGCAGCGCCAGCGCGACGCGCACAGCCTGGCGGCGGAGGCGCTGTTCCTGGCCGCGGACGCGGACGCGTGGGGCACCGACGACGGCGAGCCCGCGCCGCCGCCGCCCCTCGCCCGGTGCAACCTGTACCTGGGGCACGCGCTGCGCGGCGCGCGGCAGTACCGGGCGGCGCGGCGGGCGTACCGGCGGGGGGCGTCGGCGGGCGCGGGCGCGGGCGCGGGCGACCACCGCGCGGCGGCGCAGCAGGCGGCCGCGTGGGCCGCCGAGATGGACCGCAAGGTGCGCGCGGCGGCGCGCAACGCGGGCGGGCTGGGGGCGGCGGCCGACGACGACGACCTCTGCTGGGACGCCGACGGCCCCTGCCGCGTCGGCTGCGTCGTCGCCGCCCGCCCCCGCCTCGTCCACTCCACCTGGGAGGACCGGGCGCCCCGCGGGAGCGCCCCCGCCGTGCCGCAAATTGTGATTTCGTGAGGGCGCGCGGAGCTTGTTCAGATACCTAGGTATTCGCGAGAGAAGTGTGAATACCATCATCTATTGCTTGTTTGCAAATTCTCTGGAATTCGTGATCGTGAGCCGTGATTTGTCTTGCTGTGTCCTCGACCGCTGGCACCCGCAGCGCGAGTAAGCCTCAGCCCGGGGGCAAGGCGCCAGTAGTACCTACCTACCGCGCTGCCTTCGCCCCAGGTGCATCTGCGCCGCTCTGCGACACCTGCGCCGCCAATCGCCGCGCAGGTCCCGGCGCGCCGGCGCTGTATCTGAGAGGCCGCGGGCGCAAGTCGGGGTCCTCGCTATCGTCTATTTCGACTGGGGGGCTAGCTGTCTTATCCCGCCGATTGGCCGCTCGGGAGATAAGAACGCCGCGGCGGATCCCAGGAGCGATCGCCGCGGAGAATCAACAGAATTCGACGACTTGCGCCGTTTGTTGGGACTGCGCGCGCGGACGGCGATTGGCTGGCGAGGCAACGCACGGCGTGGCTGACTGGCGTCGACGAAGGATCGCCGGTTAGACGCCCCAACCCGCACGAACAAAGGACCCTGCGGAGACGGCGTAGAGGTGCTTAGAGCTTGTTTATGCATGTCAGCGGCTCGCCTTATCGAAGGGGGAGCAGCGGCGGTGCAGAGATGATGTTGGCGAATGGTAAAAGGACATCGCCAGCTCGGGGATGGGGGCTCGGCTGAGGAAGGATGGGGGTTGTTGTTATTGATAGGGAAGAGAGGCACTTGAGAATGGAATTGCGTGCGCACAGTGAGTTGACGAGATGCTAGCTGCACGTGGCGATGTATCGCCGAATGTCCGGTGGTAGCCCGTGTATATGGGAATGGGAACGGGAATAAAGGCATCATTCGCAAGTCAGATCTTAGTAACTCTCTACGGAGATAGGAATGAACGTAGGTGTAGAATCGCTGTGGCGCGTAAACGCGTTTACTTGTCTCCAGCTTCAATTCTCGGCGCCAAAAAAGGTCCACCTCGTTAACTTGAAAAACTCCATAGTCCCACGCGTAGATATACGGGGCCAAGAGAAGTCGACGATCCCCAGTCGTCCTGCTGACAAATACGTCATCAAAATACCCGTTAGTTGATGAAATTAGTTGAAGCCTTGAATACCCATTTACCTTCATCTTTTCTTTCTGTCTCGTCGAATCTCATCTCCAAAATCAGGCTGCCGCGCAGTCAGATCTAACCCCGACGCGTAACCATGGAGAACCACAGCGCGGGGTCATCGGGTTTGGTGCGGTTCTGCGACTTGTGCAATAAGCCCATCACTACGAGTGAACCAGACCCCTTTCCCCTTTTCCGCTCTCCTGGCTTTCCTTCTATTTCCGGGATCTTGCTAAACTAACTCTGCCCCCCTAGACGCGGCCTACAAACGCCACGTTACCTACTGCCGCCGCGCGCAAAGTCGACCTAGAAAACGGCAGCGCTCTTGCATGGAATGCCACTCGGCCAAAGTCAAGTGTAGCTTCGAGCCCACCTGCCATCGTTGTAGCAGGAAGGGCTTGCACTGCGTCTACGAGCAGACCGCCATAACCCCGGCCGCCAACACAGCTGGGACGTTGGATAACGCGTCAGGCCAGCCGGCCGCCAACGACCTGTCCGTCGCAACTCTCGATTCTTCGGTGTATGGCTTACTCATCTCGGGGTTCGGCGCGTCGAGCACGCTGAAGCTGCCCGACTCGTCGCCACGCTCGGCTGACGAGCTCCGCGCCGACCCGATCGCCCAGCATGGCGTGCGGTTCGTGCTCGAGGCTGTGTGGGGGCTACCCTTCATGATGACCAACCGCGAGACCTTCTCGTGGTTCAGCCACGGCTACTGGTACCACCCCGAGCTCCCTCGAACCATCGCCACCTGCTCCGACCTCGCGCGGCTGTACAGCAACCGCGGGCACGTCACCGACGACGCCTTCTGGAACATGGTCGACGAGGAGAACAGGCGCCTCCTGCGCGACCTCCCCGGCTCCTCGGTCGAGGAGGTGATCTACGGGCTGCAGGCTCAGATCATATACATGATCATGTTCGCCCTCGACAGCAGATCCGCCAACGAAATCCCCAGGGTGCGTCTGCAGATGCTCATGGTCTTCGAGGTAACGTGCTGAGCCTAGTGATGGTGCCGGAAAGCGTGGGCCTAACGAGTACTAGCTATATTGTAAGAGGTGCACCACGATCATCAAAGGCTTCCCCTTCGTTGTCGAGGATCTGACAGATACAAACGTGACGTGGGAGAGTTGGGTCCACGCCGAGACGCGACGACGGTGAGAGGACCTCATCTTCTATCATACTAGCCTTACTCTCGCTTGACCTAACTTAACCTCGCGACAGATTCTCCATCACTTGGTTCCTCATGAGTCGCGTGATCGATCTGAAGTTTGGCGTCTTATGTTCGAGCGTCGTCAATTGCCGCTCGCTACCGATTCCCTGTCCGGAGCAACTCTGGCGCGCCAGGACGGAGGAGGAATGGGAGAACTTGCGCCGGGTCAAGTATCGAGATTACGACAAGTGTTCGATACGGACTTTTGGCGATCTGATAGCAGCACGGTCGTGCCCGCCCGATTCGGAGCGCGGCCGGGATCTCCGTAAATGGTATGCGATTTCGGACAAATTGGGGTTACTACTCACATTCGCCGCGACTATGATCTGAAAGCTGTGTGCATACTGACTACATTTAATGGTGTCGGGTGTGGGGGAGGGATCACGATGGTTAACTGTCGGTACGGAGCGAAACGAGTCACAACTACCAGGTAATATCCTCGTTGCTGCCCGAGCAGGCTCGGCGTGAAGCTGTACTCAGAGCTCTCGCGCACGTTGGGTCCCTCGTTCCGCGGGTTGGACTCGGCGACTACGGCGGCGTTGTTCACGAGCACGTTGAGCTGGCTGTGCTTTTCCTCCATAGCGCGCGCCGCGGCTTGTATCGACGCCTAATCGCCTCATCGGTCAGACCGAGGCCCACAGCGATGCGAGGTACCCCTTAGCCCGCAGCGACTCCGCGGCGCGGCGCCCGTTTTCGATATCGCGAGACCCGACGATGACGTGATACCCGCGGTCCCGTACGACGCGCGAGCGAGTGCGCGATGGCCTTACCGATGCCAGAGTTGCCTCCGGCGACGAGAGCGATCTGTGGCTGTGGTGACGGAGACGTGTTCGAGGCGACTCGAAGGGGGCGGACGGCGTTATGGACGGACTTCGAATGGCTGGTGGTCAAACGGTGTGCTCGAGGCTGTGTGCTCGAAGGCACGTTGAGGATGCGAAAGGAGGGGAATCGTTCATCTTATATGTGCCGTGGGATGTTCTCGAGGTCGACTACTTGCTAGGTGGCGTGCTAGCGGGGTGGCTACGGCGCTGTCTACTAATGCTGCCTCGTATCGCCGAGTGCTTTACATCCTCGACCGCGACGGTATGGGAGGACGCGGTGATAGCGGTGGCTTAAGCGTGATCAATGGAGCTGCGGGTCTCGCGCCACGTCGGCGAAGCTCGCGATGGTATTTTACGTATTACTCGGGATGTCGAGGACGGTGGAAGACCTACCGTCCCCCTTGTCGTAGCTAACAGTGCGTGAAGCAATGCGGTGTTGATTCGAGATTCGGTTTGTGACGAGACTGTTTATCTCAATAGGGAACATCGGGCAATTTGTCCAATAATCGCCGATGGTATGACGTAGGTGCCACCAGTGCAACCCAGGATTGTTTCCCCGTAACAGCCCTTGTCATCCACTGCAACCTGGTAATACTTGGCTGGTCATCAGCCAAGTATTATGACGCAACACTAACCGACGTACGAGCTCCACAAAAGGGGTTGATTACTAAGGCTTGGTCTGCTACTCCCCCCCAGAGAGTTCTGTTCACAGAAGAAACTCGTTCACATCCTCGCCCTCTTCCGCCCGCGAGACGAGGATAGGATGGAGAATGGGGCCGTCGACCGCGGTGCCCTCTCAATTCATGGGGTTGAGGGTCGGGGAGGTCCAAGGCTTGTGAACCCGGGACTGATCTATAACGGGGCTTAAGACGTTCCAGTATGTGCTTTGAGACCTCGTCGTACGAGATGCGCCCTGCGTGCCCGAAGCCTCGATACCACTTTAGCCGATCTCTGGGACTCGCCGTCGAGGCGGGTGGGTCCCTTCCCGTCGAAGAATTTGACGAGCATCTGCACCGCCGAGGCCCGTCCGGCTGGGTCGATTCTCACTATTTTCGGACCCGCCGCCAGGCACAAAGCAGCCCTTACGGCCATCCCCTGGGCATCGCCCGGCGCTTCGATCGCCGCCAGCATCTCGCGGAACTTGTCTACATCGACCGCCCACGGCATCGTGGCCATGAGCGACCACACATCGATCTCCACCGTCTGAGCTCCCCCACATACCAGCTTCGGAGCCATGTAAGCCTTCGTCCCGAAGAACGACGTGGAATCTGCTACGCTACAGCAAAGCCCGAAGTCGCCAAGCACGAAATGGTGCTGCCAGTCAGGTCGCGACGCCTAGTAGAGTATATTTTCGCGCTTGACGTCCCGGTGGACGAAAACCTTGGCCGCCGAATAGTCGAGCGCTTGAAGCATGTGGCGCAAGAGAAGCCTGGCGGTGGCTTTGACAGGGGGGCAGAAAGATGTTGACCACCAGTGATGAATGCAAGGATCCGTTCTTGAGGCCCGTGAATATCTCTACCTGGGGACCGTCCCATCCTTGCGACGGAAGGTAGTTGACGATATAAGCCTAGTACAATCTCGCCGCATCGACAACTTCGAAGACCTACACATCGGGACCGTCCGTGAACCGAAAACTCTTGCGTACCGTATTCGTACCCTCTGGCTCGGCGCATGGGCCCTCGTTTCCATGAGAGATGGCACATCTGTTTCAGCTTCTTCCGAGGTTCGAGCTGCTCTGGGATACTCTTTGCCAGCCGGAACAACATCCGCTCCCTCGCCAACTTTCTAGGTCGTCCAAAGGTGGCCACGGCGCCATTCTAACCGGGATTCAATATAGTCCTGTTCAGTGCCCCCAATTAATAAACCAGAGTTTAGCCTATTCTATCACGGCGACTTTGCGAAGACATCCGTGCTTGAAAGGGGCGGGAGAGTCTTCGATAGCTTAGCAGGTTTGGCAGTACGACAATCGTAAAATATGACCACGTTGGTCTTCGGCTCTATCTCAGAGGAGCACTGGATCCTATTAGGGGTTCCGGGTCCGTCCAAAATGATATCTGCATCGCCTCGCCCTAGTGTTGTGAGAGTGTGTGATTTTGACCGGATATGAAAATAAACATCCAACCCCAGACTCCCATCTTTTTGAGTCGTAGGAGATGGCTGTGATCACAATAACTCACGGACATGAATGATTCTATTGCCTTCGACTTCCACTACCTACTAGCTTTTCCCGTTGCCCTGTAAGAACTGGGAGTATGGTTACGCTAATGAATATTATACTCAATAGGACATCCTGAGCGTTCTACTCAAGGAATATCTCAAGCCAAGATACAACATGTAGTGTTATACACTTCGACTTTCAGTGTACTCTTTGGACTGGACTGGGCATGTTATAATCGGGTTGCCTCAGGGCCCTGTCGTGGTTAATACATTTGCAATATCTACCTCTCACCTTGGATGCCTCTGTGTCAGTCGAATTTTTACTACGCCGTATTTTACGGCATAGGACCGCCTGCATCAGATATTATGGTAATATCTACACGCTATAGCCTCATCCCGATATCCAGACCCAGCCTCGACGCTATCGAAAAAGGGGGTGTATCAATATGCCGATGGTTATACAGCTCACACCATGACACATTCGTAGCACAATACGGGAAACCAAAGTGATGAGTAGAATGTTTGCTGCTTTACATTAAGTAGCACAGCTTGCCAGTTCGAGTCACGAATAATTCGAACTGATATGTGGTGAATCATCCGTATGACCTGAAGAGCAAGTACTAAATGTGTGAGTCTCCATCGTTCTCATTCATGGTTTCCTGGTTTCCCCAAACCCATCCGATTCTAGAAACACTAATATCAGAAGTTCCAGTCATGGGTGAGAGTGTTATAAGTCGGTGTCTATTCAAGGCCCAACAGGCTCTTGAAGAGCTCGTTGCGCACCCGGAGCGACTGGAGCAGGACAGGGAGCGCTTCAACCGGAGCCCACTAGTATACGTACCTAAACCGTCGTATTCTTCTACTCGAACAGAAACCCTATAGAGCGTTAGGCCGAAGAGAGGACCCGCGAGGCGCGAAAACTTTTGTACATGGGGGATCGCAATGCCTCGTATCCACGCCAAAAATTCTCAGACCAAACCGGTGACGAAGAGAAAACGCTTTTGGTGAAAGGTGGCACGCCCTTGGGTATGCCCTCTAAATCATTTGCTCGAGAAAAGGCTAGAAAGAGATGGGTTCGGCAACGCATCTGGAACCACAAATGGAATGCGATGGACGATGGACTATGGAAGCATCAAGACCCCGACGAACCCGAGTCCGAACCCGAGCCGGAGACTGCAGGCATGGACGACATTTTAGACGGTGTATATCTCCCTCCCGTCGCACACCACCACTTTCACAGGAGCCAGCCCTTCCAGCGCAAAAACCCAGCAATACAGGCGGCCGAAAGACTGACCGAGCCCCCCTGCAAGCGCGAGGAGTCGCGCCCGATTCGACAATTCATCTACCAGCTGTCAAGGGAGAGGAAGCGAATCGAGCGCGAGTTGAACGTCGGCAAAGACCCTACTTCTGTTCCGTGCGATATCAACACGAGGGCGTACGAGAGGGTCAAGAAGCTATGGTTGGATAGGGGCATTTGGGATAAAAGATGGGGGGTTCTGCCTGGAATGTCGTGGAGGCACGAACTGCCCCCAGAGAATTTCATGACATATGAGCGTACCCCTAAAGAGTCCGCGTTGTGGGATGACGACCCCTTGATCTTCCCCCAAAAGTCTAGCGCCAAGTCGGGGACCAAGACGCCCGCGCCGGACACGGCTCTGAAGCTAAATCGCTTCGGTATATCTCCTCCTCACCTGGAATACAGTGACGACGAATGGTTTCCTGATGGGGTTATTGGCATGGATACTCCTGAGATGAGGAAAACGGCGGTAGCCACAGCACCGGAACCAGCGCCCGAGCCCGAGCCCGAGCCCGAGCCCGAGCCCGGGCTGGGACTACAACCTAGACCGAGTCATAGTGATAGCGAGGCCCCGACGGTACCCGCCACCCAGCCCTTGGCAGGGGATCTACCACCTCGGGGCTCCTCCATAGAGCTTTGCGACTCAAGCACAGTGGAGAACCCATCGACCACAGCGCGGAAGAGAGGAAGAAGCGCAGACATGGAGATCGTAGAAGCTCTGACGGGGGTGCAGCGAGTCTCTAAGAGGCGGCGACGTGACACTGAGAAGGCAAAGTAGTCCCGCGTAGAAAATGACAACTGATAGCTCGCCCGGAAAGGTATGTGACGATTGACAGACGAGGGGGCGAGCAGGATCTCGTTACTGATGATACTAGGCATTACTACCTGCACGAATAGAAACTCGAGACACGCACTCACTTTCCTTATTAGTACACCAAAGGGGTGCCTGGAATTGGAGAAGAATATGAGTGTAATATAAAAAGGGTTGGCGATGTGAAATTCCGTTCAGAATGGTCTTTCAGCGGTTACGTTACGTTAAACGTAGTGGCTTTCGCGATGTTGTAATATTTATAGCGCAGGACCCGAAACCGTGGTGTCGCACTGTTCTAGTGGTTACAGGGTAAACGAGAGGGAATTCCTTATCGAAGACTGAAACTAATTCCCTATTAGATAGATGCTTGAGAGCGCAGGATCAGCGACAACTCGAACGTAGTAACTTTTAATATTCACCTAAGGACGGGCAAGACCGAGGACCTCGGTATTAGTGATGTGCGCGAAAGAGAAGGACTGCCCAGTAGCTCACCTAGAGTCAGGAATCATGGTGGACATACCTACGATATCGAGAACTGGGGAAACCGAGATCCAAAATAGGTAGGAGACGAGTAGAAGGGGTTTTGTGCCGCTATACCCACCGAATCTGCTCCGATTCAGGGGTCCGACCAAGCCATATCCCCCTGTTCCGCAACGCACCACTGATCCGATATAGAAACCCAGGTTCGGACTGATCAGTGGCTCGTTGCTCGGTGATGATAACGAAGTTGCAATTCTGTCGCGGGCGAACTGGAATGAGCCCTTTCTCAAGTCCGGATCTAGAAGGACGCGTATACCGATGCTAAGCTGGGTAACTTGGCTGCAATGCAACCCCGCCGACAGCGACGCGATGGAAATTACCACATCTTTATCAACCGGTGGGGACGGGATGGGAGGGGGAGTTATTTCAGCTGAAAAGCCTTACTACGGGAGACGGGTGCAGTTTCGTCTGAAATCCTCCCCCTAATTCGCTTTGGGACGTTGTTGAGGATGCTGAGATTTCCCACCTATTCACACACGCGCAGGCAACGCATACATACCCACACAACATCACAGCGCAATGTTGAACGTTACATGACATGACAGCCTGGGCCCGGACACTTGTGCCTAGCGGCACGGGACGTGAAAACTGCTCGGTTCTCGCCTCGTCCCCCGGATCCGGCGGTGTGAGAGCGCGACGCGACGCCGTCACGCACTCGAGAATAGATGAAGGTCTGGGGGCATCGGCGCACCTCTGCAGGCAACTCCCTGCTATCATATTAAATGACGTCCTGTAGCTGGGGTAGCAGCAGCAGCTCTCACGACGGCCGGAAGAGGCAAGCGGTTAGGTCGGCGGTGGGCTCGCCTGCCAGCCTTATCTTCTTGTGCACTAAGGCGGGTGATCTGCAGTGATAACCGCTGGGGGAGAGATCGGTAATTACCATCTATCACATGACCACGGGCCACCCCCCCGCGGGCCACCCCTTAATATACTAAAAAACGCTAAAATAGGCCATTTTAGATTATACCGCTTCCCATTAGTTTTAAAGCTATTTAGGAAATACTATAAATATAATTCGTGTAGAGCTTTATTATTAATCTGGCGTTTTTTCGGATTAAATCGGATGCGTATTACCGGGGTTATTATTAGTTAAAAACAGCGGTAAATGGAATTATATAACTATAAATTACTACCTAATTAATACGAGTAAATATTAATTAGATCTCGATTAAATAAGCTTCTTTTGCTATAAAATTCGTTAACGAGGATTTTATGGCGTTTATTATTCGATTTATTACTTAAGAAGGCGTTTCGATACGCCGTTTAATTATTATATACGGCGTTTCGCGAACTACGCTAGCGGCTCGGCTTTAGGGTAGGCTAGCGTTATTAGAGCTTTAATTTTTATAGCGCTTAACGAATAAGTAGGAGGAATAGTTCGTTTCGTAGGTTTTACGTTAGGAAACGTTAGGGCTAGCTCTTAATTACCGTATTATTCGCGGAATTACTTAGGATATCTTAAACGCGAGCGGCGATCTACGGCCTTTTGGTAAGAACTAGCTCTATAACTTCTTAAAGCGTAACCCTTTAATTACGCTAAAATCCGGGCGTAAAACTAAAGCTTCGCGTTTTAATTACTTTAATTAAAAGGCTATAAATTAGTATTTCGATATCCGGGAGGCTAAATACGGCTGGATAAAGCCTTATTTTACCTTTAACGTCGATAAAGGGGGTATTATACTTAGCTAGGGTAAGGAGCCTTATCTAGCCTTATTCTTTCGTTTCTATATTAATTAAGGTATTAAAGCTCGATAGCTTAGTTCTCGGGAGCTTAAATACTAGAAAAGCGATCGTTAAGAGCTCTTAGCTTAGGACTTAGGCCTCGTTTATCGAGTATATTAGCGCTACGGGTTATATTCTTTAACCGGATATTATCTTTAAAGGAAAGGAGCTTTAAACGACTTAGTTTATAAATTAATTTAAGGAGATCGCCGATTAGTACTTTATTACCTTAGATAACGGCTAGTCGGATAGCTATATCGCGTTAAAGTAATTAAAGGGGGTATTTATTAAGGAAACGGATAGCCTTCTTTCCTACGAGTCTAACGCCTGCTTATTAATCCTGGACGGCTATAAAAGCTATATAATTATTAGTTTATTTATTTCTTAATTAACTAACGTTAATTTCGTATTTTTACGATCTTTTTCTGATTTTTTATAAGCGAGTATTATTAACGTATTACGATCTTAAGATAAGTTTATGGCTACCTATTTTCGGTATAATATTTACCTATATTTCCTATTAGCGTATACTTCTTACGGCCTATAATTATTCGATAATAGCTTATTTAACGCTTTTAAAATAACTTATAGAAAGTACTTAAGCTAGTTATACTCCTTAACGGATACCGCGCCGATTAATAAGCTAAACTTCTTACGTTATTTATACGCGGCGAGAATCGACGCCTTTACTAAGAAAAACGTTTATACCGGCTTTAGGGTAACTAGGAATTAACTAATAAGCCGTAATAAGGCATTAGTATACCCTAAGCTTTAATAGGAGAAAGATATGGCTAAAACGAACTAACGAAAGAACCTTAAAAAGGAGAGCTTAGAGGTTTAGGTCTCGACGTTAAACGCGATTAATAAGGCTAGGAAATTCGCCGTTAATCGATTTCTATATACTCGCGTAACGCTTAGGAACGTTACTAACGATTATTACGACCTTTATACGAAGCTAGCTTTTAGAGATTACTAGATTTCCTCGTTAATGGCTTAATTAGAGCTAAAAAGCTAGCCGAAAAGGAGGGCTATTCCTAACCTAAATAAGCGCTTTTAATCCTTTTACGAGATATTAGCGAACGATTAGGATAGCTAATAGCTACCTAATATTACGTTAGAAGCCGTAATCGAGTAATAATAGTAATAAAAGGAGGTAGTAGTAACGGTAGCCTAGGAGGAGGCTATAAGCCTATCAAGCGAGGATAAATAGGATACTTAATTACTATAACGCGTCCGATTACCGCGCGTAATTAAGGCTCCGGCGCGCTTTAGGGATTAATTAAGTAACGGGCATTAATCTAGTTTAGTTTTTATAATTTTCCGAATTTATTTAGGTGAGCTATTTAATTTATAAAAGGGCTTATTTTAGCGTTTTTTGGTATATTAAGGGGTGGCCCGCGGGGGGGTGGCCCGTGGTTATGTGATAGATGGTAGATGGAGGGTGGGCTGCCCCCCTCCCCCCTCCCCCCTCCCCCTGCTGCGTGAGCGACAGAAATGGCAGCTGGAGCTCGATCGGAGGGCTGGGGGTCGAGGATTTTCGCCCAGTCTTACTCGTGCTGATCAGGGTCTCCTCCGCCAAGCTGCCGCGAACGGCCCTGTCCGACAGCACGGGGAAACCAGGCCTGCGCAGCTTTCCACCACACGCGCCCCCGGCCGCGCGCGACCCTCGGCTCACGAACTGGGCAGGGCGAGCACCCCCCCTAGAGCGGTTCAGGAAAGGATTGTCGGTTAGGCCCGACAGGGGGGCGTGAGTGGGCTCGCCAACTTCCTTTTTATAGATAGCCGGGGGGGGGGGGGGGATGTTAGAGGGTTGCCATTGGCAAGCTGGTCTTCCTAGCGGCGTTCCCTGATTGCGGTTGAGGGCATCTAGAGAATTTACGGAAGCTTCAAAACTCCAGACACACATTGCCGTGTCACACGTCTTGCGCCTCTGCTAATCCCGCCGTAACGTGACCCATCCCCGATTGGCTGAGACGGGTTTCGGCGCCGCGAGCTTTTGGCATCGCAGACGTCGCTGCGAAGTATCAGACATTTTTATGGGTAGCCGGCAGTATGGATTAGGCAGGTAATCGCACCGGGGGGGTGGAGGCATCGTTGAGGCCGACTGACTCCTTGGACATCGACGACTTGCTCGAGCCATATTTGTCTCAGTAGCCGTTGGGATGGGTATAAGAGGTGCCCGCTGCCCCGGAGTCGTAGCAATGGTCAAGTCGATCATCCAGTCGATCATCCAGCCCGACAATCAGCTTCAAGTTTCGAGTCGAGCCCGTCAGACACCTTAGCCATGCTGTTCAAGACCGTTGCCGCTGCTGCTTTCCTGGCCTCCTCGGCCGCAGCTCGGTCTTTCGCCCTCAACTCCACCGGGCTCTGCGGCACTCCCGAGCCCACGGAAGAGCAGATCGCTGCCTCCAACGCCTTGCTCGCGGAAGAGCGGCTGGCCCGGGTGAACGGCCAGTTCCACGCTCTCCAGGCCTTCACCGTCAACACCTACTTCCACGTGGTGGCGGCATCGACCTCCCTCAGCGATGGCTACTTGACTGTGCGCAACCCCAGCCCCTAATAAGACTTGCCTCGATAACGCTAACCCTGGCGCGCAGCAAGCTATGATCGACGCCCAGCTGGACGTGCTCAACCACGACTACGGCCCGCACGGCATCACGTTCAACCTGGTGAGCACGGACTGGACGGTGAACGCGAACTGGGCCGCGGACAGCAGCGAGCTGGCGATGAAGCGCGCGCTGCGCAAGGGCGGCTACGGGGACCTCAACCTCTACTTCCTCGGCGACCTCGGCGGCGGCCTGCTCGGCTACTGCTACTTCCCGGACCAGGTCTCGCAGGGCTCGACTGCCTTCTACCAGGACGGCTGCACCATCCTGGCGCACTCCGTCCCCGGCGGCGACGCCGCCCCCTACAACCTGGGCGGCACCGCCACGCACGAGGTGAGTAATGTTACCTAGCAGACTATCATTGCGCCTACCTACCTACCTCGCCCGCTCCCCCGCGTGCACCCACTCACCCGACGACTCGTTGCGTCGCTAACCCGCGCGTGTCCCAGGTCGGCCACTGGATGAACCTCTACCACACCTTCCAGGGCGGCTGCCGCGGCTCGGGCGACCTGGTCGACGACACGCCCCCGCAGGCGTCGGCGTCGTCGGGATGTCCCATCGGCCGCGACAGCTGCCCCGGCGGCGGCGTGGACCCCATCCACAACTACATGGACTACTCGGAAGAGTGAGTGTTTCTTTGTCTTATTGTCACGGCTCCGATCGCGTGGGACCTCCTTTTGCTAACTCGAGACCGCTAGTGCTTGCTACGAGGAGTTCACCCCCGGCCAGGCCGAGCGCATGTACAGCGCCTGGTCGGCCTACCGCTCTTAACTTGTTGGGTTTTGACGACGCGCGGAGTTGGTTGGTTCCGGTCATCGGGTGGTGTTGCGGGTGTCGAGTTATACTAAAAAAGAAACGGTCTGGGCATTAGCATGGGTGTGCGAGTGTAAGGGTTGGCTGTTGGCTGTTGGTTGTGAGGTGTTGAGTGGAGTCGAGTTGCGATAACGAGATATCCAAGTGTGGTTCATGTACGGGGTATGAGAGACGCAGGTTGCATGGGGTGAATAATTTGATTATTTTTATACGTTGCGAATGGAGCAGCCTTGATGATAATATTGCGCTATGATGCCGACCGAAAACGTCTTACAGTATTACTCTTAACTATTACTATAGGCTCCGAGATTGCCCAACGCAAACTCTTCTACACTCACATTTCCCCATCTTCTTGTCGTTGTACTTTGGGCACCGTAAGCTGACAATACCGATGGGCTCCGAACCTGATGACCCTCGCCCGGGCTAAAGAGTTCTCAGGGTTCCACTTTTACCGGCGTAGGACGGGGCCGAACGGTGGTCAGCTCGGGCGTGACGGCGGAAAGACGTCAAAGACCGAGGCAGAGGTGGGCGTGTCGGGTGGGAAGAGCCGGGCAAAGGCGGGGCCTGGCAATAGGATAGCTCCGGCTAGGCGATGCGTAATTCTATGGCAGCATCCGAGAGCCCGGAAGATTCGTTATTATTGCGCCTAGCTGCCTCTTGTACCTTGACGAGGTTGTGTGTCGTCGTTCGGTCACGATCGTAGAGACATTCGTATGTAAGATCCCCGCGTAAACCGTGATGTATCCCTCATCACCCAACGTCGGAATGGTATGCAGTTTCGGTATCGTCGTCACGGGGCCTTGATTCGGGATGGTGGGTTGGCTAATCGGCCTAAGCCGTCGTTATTCTAAACGCGGCTCGTCATTCGCGTAGCGCCTCGACTCGTTGTCTGGTTTCACGGTTATTGGGGCTGTAAATGCAGAGGATCTCCAGCTATCGCTCTTTTCGATTGCGTTATTCATCGTCCTGATCCTACGTCTTCCTCTTTCCCCTTTTCCTGATTTATACCCCGTCATTTGCAAGTCCAACACTCCCCAACCATCTCATACGCGTAGCCCCAATCGGTGGGGATTTTGCAGTACAGAGAGGAGCCGTGGCAGGCGAGATGCCCCATCCTCCGCTGGCACGATTCCGGCGTCTGGGGCATCTTGAACGGTGTACACGAGGTTGATGTTGCGTGTGGCTGCGACATTTCCACCGCCGTAGCGTTCGCCACGGCTCCCATGCCCATCATGCTGAGCACATCCATGAACCCAAGCTCATCGTTCCCCATAGGTCGCGCTCTAGTCGAGTGCGCGAATATTATAATAGCTGCCGTCCGTAAATATCTTGTAACCCTCATCGTTAATTTCGGTTGACCTCGATTCCACCGTTGCGGTGTGAGGGGTGTGATTGGGGATTCGTGGTTCGCACACTCAATGAGATATCGGTATTAACTTGGAGATCGAGGAACATCTGGTCAGGGTTCAACGGATTTATATGGTTCTGGCGCCAATACGGATGACATCGTGGCCTCGACGTCGTCGGTGCTCTTTCGGGATGAATATAGGCTAAATGGCGGGCGGATGCTTGGGTTGAGTTTAAGAGAATGGTGAGTTCATATATACGACGGCGGTGGTTGGTCGCTCAGGACAGCCGATTTCCTCACTGGGTATGTGAACGGAGCATATAAGAGCGCGTGGACCTCATAAATATTCAACATGTCCTCGTGGCTCAGTTACTATCTCTTCTAGAAACTTCGACCTAGCGGCCACATGGCCTTGGACACCTGCGAATATGACATCCGAGGGTGGTCCACGTCGGTAGCCCAGCCGAGCCTCCCTTTTGACTCACCAACGGCCGTCTTCGAGTGACAACTGGCTAGTTGTCCTTCTTTACTCCCGAGCCGTCTATACCCCGCTTACGATCATACCCTCTCTATGCGCTCCCTATGCGCTCGCTCTCCGCGTCAATGAAACTCATCGGCCGCTGTCGCTGCGTCATCTCCGCCTTTCCAAAGACGAAGACGGATGGGTTTTGTATGAACATATGATCCATATCCTCCAGTGTCCTGTTTGAAGTCTCGGGGTAGAACAGGAGGACAACGGGGAAAAAGAAGAAGCTCATGACGGCGAATACTACTATCATTGTTAGAAGACTCCTCCTCAAGTTTTCCGAGACATAATAAGGGCTTAGCCTAAAATGCTGACTTACTCAAGAAAAAGGCCCACTGTAGGTTGTCGATACCGACTTTGGTAAACTGCGTCACCGCGAAGCCACCCATCCAGTTCATCGCAGTCGCAGCAGCGGCCCCGCGAGTCCTCCATCCAAGAGAGTTGATCTCGGCGCTGTAGACCCACGGCGTACTCGCCCAACACGTGCCGAAGAAGACGTGGTATACGATAAACATTGCCGTCGCGACGTTGCCCATCTACATCTCTCGTTAGCGTGATTTAGGGGGTACAATAATCAAGGGGGCTCACCATCTTCCTCTGCGAAGCGTCTATTTCACCTTGTCTCAGGCACAGGGACGCTATCAAGTGGCAAGCGCCCATCGCAGTGGTCCCGGACAGCATCATCCTACCAAAGGTTAGCGGTGGATGGAGGTAATGCAGCGAGAAGGGCGGAGCGTATTACTTTCGCCGGCCGAAGCGATCGATAATGACCAAGCTTCCGAATGCGGATACGAAGTAGATCGTCCCGTTTATGGCCGCTATCAGCCTGCTCATCTCCTGGTTGAATCCGACATTCTCATTCAACAATGTTGGGAGGTAGAAGCCTGGAGAAAATGTTAGTAATTCTATAGGGGGCATGGGAAGAGTATGTCTGACCCAAAGCGTTAATCCCGCTGAACTGTTGCACTATAATATGGAGTTAGCAACCATTATGTCTGAACCTCTTCGAAAGTGATCGGGCATCCATTGCGAGGGTAACAACTTGGCGGACTGGCCAGAAGGCGCACATCTTAATGGGTGCCATACTGAAAGTGAGGGACGCTGAAAAACGGGCACGGGGAGATACATACTGAACTGTGTCCCGCACGACAATATCAGACGGCGGAAGTTGTGAGTCTTGTCTCGGAAGCAGAGGACGTCCCAAAGGGGTGTGCGGTCTTCTCTCTCGAGCTCAATGGCCGATTTGATCGAGCGGAACTCGCTCACCACCGTCGAGTCGTCGATCGGAATGTCTTTCCCGGCCAGCAGGGACAGCACCTCTAGCGCTTGCTCCTCCCTGCCCACTAGCAGCAGCCATCGTGGGGTTTCAGGCACACAGAACAGGAGAGGGGTTACCAGGAAAGGGAATATCAGCTGGAACGCGAGGGGGAAGCGCCATTGCAACGGTCCGTCGCGGAAATACAGGGCGTAGCTAATCCAGTTCGCCAACGAGAAGGTGGTGACGTTGGCAGAGGCGCCGATACCGACAAGCTTGCCGCGCTGATGCGGCTTTGCGCACTCGGAGAGGTAAACGGGCGTCATCGTCGAGGTCAGCCCTATGCCGATCCCGTTGACCAGCCGGCCGAGGATCATCTGCGGCATGTGCCAGGCCAGGAACTGGAGGATGACGCCGACGAAGCTGCACATCAAACCGAGGGCAATCGTCCGCTTCCGGCCGAGCTTGTCGCCCAAGACGAAGGCCACCAGCGACCCGGCGAAGGCGCCGAACTGCGATTGCCGTCCCCTGTCAGCCCCTTTACACGTAGAGGTCTCGCCGCGAGAACGAAGAGAGCAAGAGCGCGATGCCTCTTACAAAAAAGCAGCTCGCGGTGATCCCCGACACGTTCGGGTCAAGGGTCTGGGGAAAGCTTTGTTTGAAGTCGTCGGAGACAAGCACGCCGGCGAACACGCCCTATCCCGCGCGGTGTCAGCATCGCGTCTCTCGGCGTCGGCCGCGGCTACGGTTACGAGGCATACCTGGCAATAGCCGAACCAGCACGAAGAGACTAGAGGGTCAGCACGGGAAACCGTTCCTCAGGGGCGTACTGAACTAATGCTAAGCTTCCTTACTCGCATCCACCAGCGTGATCGTGGCAATCAGCCTGCCGCCGTAGATACGGCTCTGCTTCCGGATCATCCTGACGGAGTTGGACCAACGGAATACGCCGAGGGGGTTCGGGAATGACAACTCAGTTGTTGATTGGTATAGACTGCGTGAGTACTTGGCACAACGGCGGTGTCTTCCGTGTGTCCCTTTGAGGTTGATGCGGAAGCCGAAGGGTGGCTTTATGTGCAAAGCTGCCGCCGCCTGCCCTTGGCTGCGTGCGAAAAATTCTAACCGCCAGCGATGGGTAGCTTATATCTGCCGAAGCCGGCGGCAATCCTCGCGAGTCCGGCCTTGGCCTGCAGCCGGACCCTTCTGCTGAAGCCAATACCCCGGCCAACGGTGGGCTGTGGTTAGTCAAGGTGGACCGCTGCGGGTTGTCGACTACACACCGAGATAAGGGGGAGCATCTGGATGCTACCACACCGCGAACGCCAGGCACCGGCGAAGATAGGACGGGCCCTTATCTCTTCCGGCAAGAATTCGACACGTCATCTTTCCGGTATTATTATCCGCGGAAGACGTAGGACGCCGGGAAGCCTCGTCGTCCAAGGATCGACGCCACCGTAGGTATAAGACCGACCGAAGAGTGACCTGCTCATGATGCTGTTCCCGTCCTGTCTAGAATTCAAACTCGGCATGTAATCCCCTCGCAAGATTACCTTCCGGAAAGTATGCGTGAATCCTATCCACAGAGCTTGACACCACTCTACCGTAAACAGACGCATGTGATGCTCCCGCACCGGATGCCGTCGCTGGCGGAGCTACTCTATTCGGCCTGACCGCCTCTTCCCAGCCCCTCGGGACGACCCACCGAGCACAACTAGCTCTCTCCCTCTCCCTCTGACGCTTCCGCCGTCGCAGCCATTACCAATGGACCTGTCACTGTCTCGTCAACTCGCGCAAGTCTAGAGCGACCTCGAGTGCCCGGCCCACCGTTATCGTGACCACCACGCCTCCACCGTAGGGGCTGACGATAGGACCGCTTACGGTGGCCCTAATGCGTCTGCTCCCAACACCCCCAGTTCTTTTCCTTGGAAACTTCGCTGGCGGGGGATGAGACCGTGCCGCCGTAGCGCCCCGTCGAGCTCCAGACGCGTAGGCTGCGTTTAAGGGTGGCATTATTGTTGGTCCCCTAAATCGAATAGCTACCCATCCCTCCTGCCAGGCCGGCAGCCTGCACGCACCAGATCTCCCGAAAGGCATTCCTGTCTCTGTCGATCTCGATGGTTACATCAAACCATCTGAGGGGCACGCCAGCAGGGTCATATATTACCTATATATGCGGTCCCTGTCACGTCGCCTTCCCCGCGCTATTGCCGCGCCCTTCGAATTAATATCGAGGACAGAAAGCTAGTATCACGACCAGAACCAGAGGAGCACGAGCTCGGACAATTACGCCCGTTAGATAGCAGAGCGTATTCCGGACCGGCGAGGAGAGCCGCCGTTCCACTACGATTTCCAGAGTCGACTCCGTCTGAGCGTGGGATTAACTGCACAGATCCCATGAGGAGTATTGGGGTATCGAAATACCCGTCTTCTGCACATCGCGACGCGCCGACGTGACCTAGCACACTGTAGCCTGGCGCCGCGCCTTATTGCGTCGTCGACCAAGTCATAGGGGGCGCTGACACTTGCCATCTAGGGCCCTGCGCCGGATGAGGGGGGGGCGGCAGCGCAGGAGCTCACGGTCAACTATGCCTCCGTAGCGCGTGTACCCCAACCTAGATGCGTGTCGACATTCCGCACTAGCTGGTTGACGACATGGGCGCGCTCTGCGGAGCACCGCATGTAATTGGTAAAGTGAGGGCCGAGATCCTCCGGGCCTCCTCCCCTCCTCGGCGGGTGGTTCGACACGTAGATACTTTGGTGGAAACGACAGGGTGTTACGCTTGTGCAGGGTGCGCGTGTTGATGTTTCTCCGCCGGTGATTCATGTGACGGCACGAACTCGAGGTTTCGGCTTGTCGCCTGTACATGGTCCCTGCTATCGTGCGCGTCTCGGGCTACGGGTGTGATACTGATCGAACTCAGAGAGGTAAATGTAGGGAGGAAGCGGGAGCGCGAGGAGCATTGTAGGGACATCTTTGACCGCGCGCAGCAACCTTACTCTGTTCGTGGGTGCCAGACGTGTCGTGGGAGTCGCTGTGATGCCCGATATTATCTTGCACATTCCATCTCGGACTTGCGCTCTTCCCACCCTTAGCATGGATGGTCCAGACCCATTTTCCGGTGCGGTATTTCTAGGCAGGTTCAGGGAGGGATAAGACGGGTATAGAAGCGTTATGACATCCCGAGATGATAGATCGAAAAATATTTGTATTCGGTTATTAGAGAGGTGAAGCGGATATTCGAGGGCGGGTATGCCATGAATGTGATGTGTAGCCAGGAGCTGCTCCGCTCGACGGCCTATAGGCATGTGTACCCCCCCCCCCCCTAGTTTCTCTCGGAAGAAGCTACTACGATTTACGACCTGCCCTGCCTATTCCCCTTAGCAAGCATCGTTACTCTATCTCCGTAACCTCGGGCCACGCATCCACTCCGACGCCATCCAAGAGGCCGTCGTTCTCGCCATCGAGGAACCTCCTGAACAGGCTCGTCAGGAAGGCCGTCTGCACGCCCATGATCCTCGTGCTGTTGATCGGGCCGGTGAGCTCCTCTATGGCGGGCGGCAGTCCGCGGCCCCATAGTTCCCGGAACAGCGGCACGTCTGTGAACGCGAGGTGTTCGGCGCCGTGGACACGGTACTCGCGCCTGAAGCCGCGCAGGTTCGGCCAGGCCGCCGCCCACCTCACGTCGTTCTCACGCGTGTGGTTCCGCCCCGCGAGGATGGCAAACGGCTGGTCTGTGCCGACCTGCGGCTGGTCCCCCCAGAAGGAGCCATCCGTGTTCGCACCCACGGCGAAGCGCGTGTCGTTTGCGGTCGCCTGCAGCGCCGTGGCGCCGCCGAGCGAGTGTCCGAACACGCCTACCCTGTCTGTACGGAGTGTACAGCTCCCCAGTCCCGGGATCTGGCCGGTTATCGTGGCGTTATTGAGGCCGTCGAGCACGCTTACCAGGTCGGCGGTGCGCACTTCGATGTTCCGCAGCGTGTATTGGAGCTGCTCCTCCTCGGTCGTAGCGTTGGACGGGATCTGGTATACAATGCGTCCGTCCGGATACTCAACCGCCGCGGACTCATACGGGTGGTCTACTGCGACTACGTTCCAACCGTAGCTGGCGATCTCAGCCAGGAGAGCGGCGTGGGGCGATATCGGAATACCAAGCCCGGGGCTGAAGAGCAGCAGCGGCGTGGACGGTTGCGTCCAGGGCGCGCCGAGACAGGCATGCGTCACTATATTATGCAGACTGCCGTTGGGAAAGGAGTTTGACCCCTCGAGGGCTGCAGCAGTGCGATCGGGAATCTGTGTCTGCGGTATGCACTTAGCCGTGTCTATGTTGGTCGGGTAGAAGAGGGAGACAACGAGATCCCGCGGTTGGGGTATCGGCGCGAAGGGATCGCGGCGCGTGTAGTCGACAATTTCGAGAGCGGACGTGCCGACGACATAAGGGCCCGTCGAAGGAGGCGTGAGGATGGCCTGGGCGAGACGGGCGAACAAGGTGATGTAGAGAAGAGCTGACATGATTACGTGGTCAAGCAGAGCAAGCGGTGGGTTTATTTTTGCTCCTCTACACAGTCGCTGACACCCATCATGCTGGCGCAGTGGGATAGTGCTCAGCTCTCTTCTTTATAGCTGCGGAACACCGCTCCTGGACCAGTATGCCGACGAGAATGCTCGGATCACTCGGGTAAAGACTGCGGACCGGGGCGCTTTCTCTGCCTCGATCCCGGCTCCGCGCCGCTTCGTACGATTGTCAGCATCATCCCGTCTATCATTCTTGGCGTATCCACGGCAAGGAGTGATATGACCGAAAACGGGAGGGGGCGTTGAAGATGAAGATGAAGATGACAGGCTATACGAAGTGCGTGGGGTCGCTGGGTATGGCGTGAGCCAATGGCAGGCACCGCATCCAGGCCCCAAAGGTAGGTTATGCACTGTAATCCTTTGATTATTTATACGAGGTAGTCGTGATTTGCAGCCTGCGGAGGTGACGGGGATGGTGTTCGTGGTCCTGGTGTTGTTGGCGGGGGGAGGTTGATGATAAATGCAACGATCCCGGCGGTCTCTTCATTCTTCCGCTTCTCAGCGCGCGACGGTTACGTGCTCCCCCTGGAACGTTCGCTGGAGTGTTCGCTAACCTCGCGGGTGAGCGAGCCACAACAGCGGTGTTGTCCACTATGATATACAGGGCCCTAGGGGTGCTAGTGAGTACGTTAGCTACCTCCTTACCTCTGGTAGGCAAGTAAAATGCCTAGCTAGGTACGTTACCCAAGAAACGGGGCCTTGGTAAGCCGCCTTGTGACGCGCGCTACGAGGACTACAACACACCTCTTTATACAGACGTCATTGTAACTACATGCCTTATAAACATACATACCTACGGTGAATATTTATTGATAGGGTTTACCTCGCTTTCTTTCCACTTGAAGACCCAGGCAGAGCGGAAATGGTGTGGGGCATTGCGACGTGTGAGCTTAGTAGGTACTTAAGCACACAGAGTCCCCAGCGATCTTCTGACGAGCGGCCGGATACGTAGACATCGACGTCTCGGGACAGCCGCCTACCTAATCCGCCGAATGGGGAACCCCTGGGCTTCCCCCCCTTGGACTTTTCCGCCCTGGCCCCGTCGCTAACCCTTCCTCGACATCGCTCTCGCGCCGCTGCGACTCGATGACGGGCAGGTCCCCCTCTCCGCGCCCGCTCAGCCACCCGATCCGCTGCCGTAGGTTGAGGGTCGCTAGGTTGAGAGTCGCGAGGTTGAGGGTCTCGAGGTCGAGCGGGCGGTACAGGAGCAGCATGCCGATGACGACGGTGGCCAGGACTATCGACGCGACGCAGTAGACCCAGAACAGGTTCTCACCGGGCGCGTAGCTCCCGGGCATCGACAGCACCGCCGCGACGGTCGAGAAGGGCAGGTAGATGATGGCGATCTGCGTCAGCGCCTTCACACTGTGGTTCTCCTCCAACCCGTGCCGTGCCTGCCGCGCCTCCCTGATCGACGTCAGCCCTGTCAGCAGGCTCACGTTCTTCTCGATCTCGACCGAGAGCTGTCCTAGGTCCTCCTGCAGCATGCGGAGGTCGCGCACCACCATGTTGTTCTCGTCAAATTTCCGCTCCCTGAGCTCCACCACCGTCTCGTCGAGCATCTTTATGAACTCTGTGCAGTTCTGCCGATGCGTAAACAGGTCCTTGAGCATCCCCTCCGCTACGTCGAAGTTCGGGATGTCCCTGAGCATCAGCTGGATGCGGTGTAGATCCCACGACATGTAGCCCTGGACCAGCTGCCATTGCTTCGAGATCAGCCTCCCGATGCCGCGGTACGCGTGGTCTTTCCCCAGGCTGTCACTCAGGAGGGCATTGGCCACCCGTTCAGTCGGCGTCAGGACACGCAACTCTTCCTCACTGCGGTGGCTCTCATTGCTAGCGCGGTCTAGGTGGAAGTTGGGTTTCACCTTGAGATCGGGCGGTTGCGGGTCAATAAGTATCACCATGAATTCACTGCATCCCATGGTGGTACTCCACACCGATAGCGGTCCTGGGATAAATGCCACAGGTGTCCCTGTTTTGCTCCTGGCTGGTAGGATTTGGACATCCCGATTCGCCCCCTGTGAGACCCGCAGGTCGCTAGCCTTCGCAACATCGAACTTCTGGGAGTTGGTCAGTGGTCGTGATACTGTCTGGATAAAATCGGTCGATTGACTAAGTCGAGGATCGCAGATGAGCTGTCGCGGCTCGAGATATTGGATGTTAAGCGAATGGTCGTGCCGATCCTCCTGCCTGGAAGGAAGTGATGCTAACCACGGGTCCACGTCTTCCTCCCGGGTATGATAGGATTTCTCAAAGTGCGTGGCCCAGTATTTTGGCCGAACCCCGAACTCCATCCCGAGGAGACAGATCGAATGTGGACAAATACTCTCTGCAATTATGGCGTGGAATTTTAGATTATGGACGTTTGTTTCTTTAAGATGCTGCCGGAGCTCGTCGTGGCCGCGGAGTACCTTTTTATGGGGACGAGCAGCTTGACTCTGGGACGGACTCTTATCCAACATAGACACGATGTGAAACAGCGACTTGCAGTCGGCAGACACGAGGTCATTGCCGCAGCATTCGTTGACTCGGAAGAATTCTTTCAAATAATCGACGACCTTGGGACTTTTCTCCTCTTTCAAGTACTCGTTGATAGTATCCTCGATGGGAAAGTTGGAGGGGGAATTCGACCGAGCCACGGTTTGTTGAATCTCTTCAACCGACACAGAGTACATTTTGGTTCTAGCTTGGGGCTACTGGCGCAATAGAGGAAGGCGTTAGTAGGCAAAAACCACTCGTCGAACGATATAGACTTAGCCATACCTAAGGTACGCAAGAGTTTAAGATACAGTGTCCCAATATTATATGCGAGATATTAAGACAAGCGTCGCCTGTGGATGAGTCTCTTCAACTTGTCTCCGCATGTGGCATAGAGCGGTGCCTTATATTCCGTATCGTCCTGTTGAAGCGTCAGCCTGGTTGATCTTGTGTTTATGGAAAATGTGTACGACTTACTTCTTACCACTTGCTGCAGAATCGACAGAAGCGAACAGAAACTCTTCGTTTTGTAGTCCGTAAAATCGGCTAGGCACATCGTATTATAGGGGTGATATAATCTGTGTTAGTCGATTTTCGGTTCCTTGCCCTCAGCTCTGAAGATCCCGACTCTCCGGAATCCTGGGGGCTTTACAGTAGCGACTTTAAATGTGATGTATTATATATGGACAACAGAGGATGTGATTCGGTCATAGCTGTCCCCCTTGTCTAATGTGTACGTGTTGCACATATGTCGAGGGCAACGGGGATATCCTCAACAGGGTAGAATCTCACCCAACCCTCCAAATTGAAAACAAGACTGACGGGCGTACTTGGTCCACTACGGCATTGTAATGTAACGGTATATAGTAACTATCAACTATAAAGATTAGACACCCTTTACTTGTTATACTTAACTAATGTGCCCGGTTGTTCAGAGTCGATAAATTAACGAAGCCCTGATTGATTAATATATGATTGTCTACGTATTGGTAACTAGCCCAAAGCGGGTGAGAGAAACAATCTAACTCTGTCATGAACGAGGCTGGGAATTTGTCTACTGACCCTAGTAATGGTCGCCGACTAGACTACGCAGATCGCAAGGCTGCTGCAACGTCGGTTATGTAGGCAGCCTAAATGAAGAAGCGAATACCGTAATATGTATGATAAGGGGATATGCTTAGAATAGATTTAATTTAGTTAATAATTCTATAGGGGATCTCTTAGGTCCTTACTTTCTTTAAGTTTTTCTAGTGTTATTTTTATCCTAATATATCCTTAAGGTACTTCCGTACCTTAGTACCTAGGTACCCTAATACCGAAGTTATTCGTAGCTTATCTAGGACTTTTCTTGGTAGGTTATTAAACCAGCGACTTTAATGCCTAATGTTATCCTCTTAACCTCTTATGACTTAATTATTAGTACGGGGTTTTATTCCCGTATAATATTATCTCCTTTCTTCGGAGGAGCTCGTCTTTAAGCGCGGATTAATTACTTAAACTTCGATAGTTAATAGGTTTATTAGGGTTTTATTAATGAAATAACTAAACGGTTCCTTTCGCCCCTTCGGTAGTAAAGTATTTCTACGGTTCCTAAGTTTAATAGCGCTTAATCGGCTAGCCTTCTTACTTTACTAGGTACCTAACGACTTTTCCGGTCCTAGCGGAATCTAATACCTTATTTACCTCGTAGTTTTCTACCTCGATCGGGGCTACTTTTCGTAAGACTTAGTTAAGGTTAAGTAGTTCCTAATTATTAACGCGGTAAGGTTCGATAAGGAATACGTAGAAAATATTATAAATACGTTAGCCTTTCGGGAGTATTAAGGTTACGGTAATAAGCGAAACGACCTTCTAGATCTTAAAGAAACCGAGTATCTTCTTATTTATTTTCTTAGCCGGGCGTTTGGTTTTAATGTTACGGGTATTTAATATAACGAGCTATCCTATTTCTAAAGGAGGTTTCTCTTTTTTATACTTATCCGCTTATCCTTTTATCCGTTATCGCGCCTTTTCTAAATATTACTTAGCTTCGTTATATACCCGAGTTATTTAGTAAATATAGAGGTTACTTTCTAGATTCTTAAGGGTACCTAAAGAAGGGTTATATATTATTAGGTACTATTTATAATTAACGTAAAAGGGTAATATACCGGTAGTTATCGAAGCGGTATTATTATAAGCGAATTCGGTAGTAGGAAGTAAACTTTCCTAGTCGCTTATTTCGTAGTTTACAAAAGCGCGTAGGTATGTTTTTAGGATTTAGTTAAGTCTTTTCATTTATTTATCCGTCTAGGGATAGAAGGCGGTACTTATTTTAGGCTTAACTCCGAGGAATTTTAAGACGCCTTTTTATATATAGGAGGTAAATCGTAAGTCTCGGTCGGAGATAATATTTAAGGGGATCCTATATAGCCGCTAATAATTACGGATAAAAATTAGTATTAGGTCTTCGGCTTTTTTACCGTCCTTTTTTAGCGGAATAAAGTACGTTATTTTAGTAAAGGGGTCGATAATAACCTATATAAAATCGTAGCCGTTAGATATTAATAAGTCCGTAATAAAGTTTATCGCGATTATTTATTATAGTCGGTAATATAGTTCCATAGGTTATAATAATCCGAACGGGGTATATCGGGGTACCTTGTTTTACTAGTACTTACGATATCCCTTAACGAATTCCCTAACTATTACTTCTAGGTTCGGCTACTAAAAGTTTCGAGTAATAAGTTCCATGGTTTTATCTATGCTTATATATCCCGTTACTTTAGTATCGTATTCCGATTTAATTACTTTTTATTATAGGTCCTTAAGTACCTAAAGATGGTTTCGTCGATAGAAAAGGCCTTCCTAGAATACTATCTCCTTATTAAGTAGTTTAATTAGTTTAGTTTAATATTCCGGGTCCTATATAGCTACCGTTTTAACCTATTTAACGAACTTTAGGGTTTAAGCGGGTATTAGAATGCTACTTAGCCGTACGTTAGAAAGTATTACCGTAAGTAAGTCTGAATTTCTTAAAAAATGCTTTTCCTATAGGATCGTTACTATCGGCTAGTCCTTAATTCCTCCTTTTTTAAGGCGATATTATAATAATCTAGATAAAATATCGGCCTTTTTATTTTACTTTCCTAGGCGGTAATATATCATAAAGTAATACGAGAAAAGCTATTAAGCTTAATAGGTTTATCGTCGATTTAATACTTTTACCGTAGTAAAGTACGTTAGGTTTTAATAATTTAAGTATACTTTTATTTAATGCTACGTACCTTTAAGATAGTATCGCTACTTTTCGAATGCGTCGACGATTACTAGTAATTCCTTATTATATATTTTATAATTTATTTCTGTTAGAATAAGTCGCCTTAAGAAAAAGGCTACCGGTTTTAGTCTTTCTTTATCGTTTTTTTACGAGAGGATAGCCGAAATAATAAAGTCTGAGGCGTCGGTTTTAACGATCGGGACTCGATTAGGATCGAAATATATAAGTACCGGGGCTTTTATAAAGGTCCTTTTTAATTCCTAGAAGGCCCTTTTTATTTCGATTTTTTATTTCTATAGCTTACGGTTTCCCTTATTAGCGCTAATAATTAGCGTAATTATACCTAAAAAGTTACGTATAAATTTACGGTAGAAATTAGCAAACCTAATAAAGCTTTACGAGTCTTTAAGTATAGCTAGGATACGTTAGTTAAGGATAGCTTTTACTTTATTCTTAGATATAGTAATATCCTTAAGGCTTATATTATACCCTAAGAATTCGACTTCCTACGTTCGCTAGGTATATTTCTTTAGGGCTACTACTAGATGATTTTCTATAAGCCGTTTTAGGACTTTTTTAATTAGTTTATTATGTTTTTTTAGCGTATCGATATAAATTAAAACGTTATTTAGATACGCGATAACTCTTACGTTTAAGAAGTCGCGGAAGATATGGTTTATTATAGCTTGGAAAGTAGCGGGGGCGTTAATTAATCCTATAGATATAATAATATATTCGTATAGCCTATAACGCGTTTTAAAGGTAGTTTTTCATTCGTCGCCTTCCTTAATCCGTACTATATAGAAGCTAAACTTTAAATTAATCTTAGTAAACCATTACGCCGTTTAAAATAGGTTCTATAGTTCGTTAATTAACGGGATCGGATATCAGACGGGTATCGTAATTTTATTTAACCCCCGGTAATTAGCTACCGGTCTTAGGGCGTCCGGGTCCTTTTTATGTATAAATATTATAGATACGCCGTAAGGGGCCTTGGATTTCCGGATTCTTTCCATGGTTATTATTTCGTCGAGCTAAGGTTTTAAGGCGTTTAATTATCGTTCGCTTATAGCGTATAAGGGTCTTTATAAGGGAGTAGTTCCCGGACGAAGTTCGATAGCGTAGTCTTATAATTACCGATTAAGGAACCGTTATTCCGTTTCCTTAGTTATAATAGGGACGAAGTCGCGGAATTATTCGGGTACTTATAATAAAGCGTCCTTTTTTCGCGTAGTTCTTACCCGGATCGGCCTAGGGCGATAATTCCGGTACTAAGATACGTTAAAATATAACCGTCCTTCCGTAAATAAACCTTAGGGAGGATATTCCTTTATTTATTATTAAGGTAGGATAACGTCGACCTCTTCGTTTAATTTACTAACTTCTTAAGCGATAGGGTAGATATATTTATAGCTACGGAGCTTTATTTTATTAGTATACTAAAGCCTTCCTAACGAAATTTCCGAGCCGTCGAATCCTATTAAAGTTCTTAGCTATAAGCGTCGGTTAATAGGAAGGCGTAGTTACTCGACCTTAGCGGCGTTAATTAAAGGTATCTCGCTACCGGTATTTAAGAGGACCCGTAGGAGGTATTCTTTTCTTTAATATTTTATTTATATTATATAAATAAGCCGTTTACCCGACCGAGGTTTACTTAGGTTACGCTAGGGAACTCGTAGTTTCTTCGCCCTTAGTACTACTTCCGTTACTTCGGGCGTTCTAGGCCGTTTTATAACCGTAATCTTTACGTTATCTTTATTATCCCTTTCTTTTATTAACGCTTGCGGGAAGGTATTTAAAAATCCCGTTCTTTATCGGAATCAGATAGTTCCATAATACGGGGAAGAGTTTCCTCTTATCGTATAATAGTATCGATTCTAGCCCTTTTATTAGGTAATGGTTCGGGTTCCTTCCTTCCTCTTTTTCCCGATAAGACCTTCTTAGGTAATATAGGTAAGTCCCGTCCTTCTAAGTCCTTTTTTACGAAGTAGGCTAAGGTTTAGTAATTATTTTTTTTATATCGCTAGTAGGCTTTCTTATCCTTCTTTCGCTAATCGATTACGGCTTAGTTAATTTTAGTTAAAGCCTTTTTATTACTTATCTATCGTAAGTCCTTAGCCGGTACGGGTTTTTTATTTTCCTTACTTTTACGTTCGTTTACCGGTTAGCTTAAGCGGAAGCGAGTCTTTTTTACGGGTTACCTTTATTACTAATCCGCTTTTATATACTTCTTCTACGAAGCGGATCCTCCTTTTCCCGAAATCCCTAGGTTAGTTATTATGTTTTTATAGATTTAACCGGCTTCTTTAATTATTTTAAGGAAG